ATCGCATGTGCGAATCCATTTCGATGGAGAGACCAGTCGTCTGAGCTCACCATTCACAGGGAATTTATCGAGCGATCTTCCCCGATGACAATTGATGTTGTGTTTCATGAAGAATGAATAAGAGTTTCTCAACTTTCATAAAACTCGCGCGAGCTATGGTGCAACCAGAAAAATATACCTGCACCACAATCTCACTTTACTGTAATCTTTAGCTTGCTTTGTCTAAAGGAAAAGTTGCTAGTGGCTGCTGACACAAAATTCCCCCATCGGGTGGGGAATATCCAAAGCTTACTGGGGACGGGAGGGTTGTAGTTGCACTACAACTCAACTATTCAGGCCCCGACTGAGAAAACAAGAAAGCAATCTCCTTTCTGTCCTTGAGCTCCAGACATGAACATCTTTTTCAAGCACACTTCTATCTTAGTCACAAACTTGGATATTTTACACACATCTTCGTAGGTTACAATTCAGTTCTTTTAAATGAATGATTGTACATTGGATCTGAAGGAAATATAAGAAGTCTCAATTTCATAGAAATTATCATATCTGGGCATTCTAATCTTCCATGAATCATTACTGGAATTCTAAAGGACATTTTGTCGTGGAGAAAGCTCCGCAAATCGCTATCTCGCCTCGAAAACGATCGCAAGTTTGCCTTCGAATCATGCTTCCAGTTTGATAGGACAAACACCTAAACTGAGCAATTATTTCATTCTCTTACTGAACTGACAAAAAGACGTTTAGCAGAGGATCATGTTCATGAATCATCCTGCGCTCATTCAAGATAAATGAGATTGAAGAATATCAGAAGTTGGCTATAAAAGGCTTCGCTTCATAACTAATTCTTTTTCCCTCCTTTCTTTCCATCATCAAATACAGCTTGATACTTGGAAAATTCATCTAATAGTTATCAAAAATACTCAAATTAGTACTGGTAGTTGGGCTTTCGATCCAAACCGAGCCTCCAAGCCCATTCATTAAAACAGAGCCAGACTTTCCGCTTAAGATCGAATACAACATCAATAAAACCTACTTCACCACCAACCTAATCATGAATATGAATCCCTACCACGTCCACGTCTATCCCTACGTCCAGTACCCCCACCACGAGTTCATCCAACTCCCAATAACATCCGCGACTATTACGCATTTCCTCAAAACCGACTCCCGCCTCTTCGAATCGTACACGGTAATAATCAATCGAATGAAGTTGTACGAAGACACCCCATGAATGTGGGTAGAACCATGGAACCCAATGCGAGAATTAGTGGGCCATATGATAGTCCTTATGTTCGATATGTTACTTATCGGAGAATGGGATGGGGTCCGTAGTGGTGAGAGGGGACTGTGAAGGTGTGGTGTGAGTTGGGAGTGATGGAGAAAGAGAGATTAGCCTGAGAGAGGAAGGCAGTCTGAGGGTAGAAGTGATGCTTGGCAGGAATGTATAGGGCATGGTTTTCACATGAATATTTTTAATGATCTAGAGATATAGATGAAGAACTAATAGTAGACTTTGTTTTATTCATGTAGCTTGTGCAATCGCGCGAAGACGACTTGTACTGCTCGATATAAACATTTGAGCCTGAAAACTCACGATCCAATCGTCTGGACTATTGCAAAGTCATGAAGCGATTTCCGCAACGACCCGCCACTTCTATGATACATAGATTAACGCCCCTTGTTTACTTCTAGTAGATATGTATTATGAATGGGGACGATGAATGATCCTGATAATTCTATAACACTTTCAGCATTAAACCGCGGCGACCCAACAGTAATGAATGGGTGGTTCAATGCTGTGTTTATGATGTTCCACAGAAAAAGACCGGAGAAACGATACCACGACGTGGACGAGGTACGCTTGAAGACGGTTAAGATGATACATAAAAAGGAAAGCTAGATTACATACGTTTCACCCGTTCAAGGTCATATTTAGATTCTGACTCAGTACTTGTGGTACCGGTTCCAGCACCTCCCGCATCGCATAACCATTTACAGGATCAAACTTCTCCAATCCTTTAGGATCTCGAATTGGCGGCAAGTTGAAGTCAACTCCCTGGAAACCGGACTCGTTAAGACGCAAGGACAAAGGCATGTTCAGTTCCCAAAAGGTATCGATTGGTTCGGGGTTGTGTAAATATATCCCGTTATGACCTTCTCTTTTGTGGTCGTATGAAACTCGGGGTGATCTCTCGGGGAGACAGAGTATGGTTGATATGTTGATGCCGTGTCCTGATGTGTATGACAGAGTGAGGCGTTTGCGACAGACTAGACACCATGAGGGTGTTGAATTTTCAGGATCCATCGTGAGGGGTAGTAGATGATGATTTTGGATGAATTTGGTAATGGATTTGATAATGAAGAATACGCAATTAGAATTCTGTTGGTATTAGAATAAGTGGTGCGTAGATGTATTGGATACTTTGATTCTGGTTATAATGTCTTGTACTGTGTTTGAATTTCAGAGATTGTAGAAGGTCAGAATCTAAGTTACAGTATATATTCAAGGTCACAATGGAAAGAGCAATTGCGGCGGTGAGCACGATAGGAAAGAGGCATCGTGATGGAAGAGCAAGAATGTAATGGGAAGCTACTTCCTCGTCAAACTCAGTCCATCGTAGCTTTAACTTCTCAGATCTTTTGATTCCACACAGTTATCAATGGACGCCATCAGACATTCATCAACTCCAGAGAGGTACGTTCAAATTGAACTTGCGAAGAAAGTAGAGAAATTGTCGGCTTGGGAGATTTTGTTGCTCGCTGAGTAGCGCCCTATTGTAACATGAGTTCTTCGAAGTAGGAACAATGTCAATTGATCAGATCTTCTTTGGAATCGCCCATCATACTTCGCCTCGCTCCTCCCTTCAACATCCAAAGGGATGGGGTACATTTTATGTCGCGTAAATTCCGTTTCTAAAACATAATTAAGTCCTTTGCACCATTTTCCATCTTCTTTGAATCGATAACATTATTGATCCGAAAGCGCTCTCTGAAAGGTTTCTGTTCCAGTTAGCATTTGTAACTTTTCCTCAAAGATTACACCACTTTTGGTGCTCTGGAGCCTTATTAGATGAGAATCATCAGGGTTGAAGATACTCGAAGCCATCAAGCGGTAGTAGATCTGATACGCACCAGAAGCTCATGCTGTCTTTCGAGCTAATGGACATCAATTGAAAGTCTGCAACAGACTTCCTGAATCTGCGTTGATGGCTTTCGGAGCACACTGTGAGAACATGTAAGAATTCCGCAACATTTCTAGGTCTGACTTATCTGATGGAAGATTCTCATTCGTGGTGACTAATCCTCTCTGGCTGGACCTAGTGGGCTCCCGAAGTACTTGAATGATTGGTGATCTAATTAAAATACCGTTCCCTGCGTTCCACATCCCAATTCCCGACACTTGCATGTCGTAATTTCATGTGCTTTTTGTCATAACTATTCGCTTTGTTTACGGTAAAACGTCCCCATGTCATATCGTATAGTACTCCACTTCGGCCCTAAAGATGTCTAAGCTATAATAGTCCGCTCCCGGAAACAGCCGACTAGTTTCTAGTTGGGGAAAGCGAATATCCCCAGAAAGCGAATTGCCCCTATGAGATTTTGATAGTAATTTTTTTTTTCAAAGTCAACAGAATCGAATGGTTTGTATCACAAGATCTTGTTTTTAACATGATCACAAAAAAATATTTATCATCAGCTTTATTAAAACAAAACCATCCAACTATATAACTCTTAGTAATATCAATTTAGATTCATCAACATAACTGGTATTATGATTTCACAGAAATAAATCGCTTTCCGGGGACATTCGCTTTCCCCAACTAGGAACTACCTAGTCGGCCGTTTATCAGAGCCGGCTATTACGGGGGTGGGTGGAGACGAGGGGAAATTCCTCAAGGCTTCGGCAGAAGTAAACGAATTCTCGGCGCCCTCAATCTATCCCTGCATCAACGTGGGGATTGAAGTGCCATTACGAGATACTCGTGCTGCCAGAAAGTATGCAACTCCTGCCTCAATAGGATTAAGCTACTGTGGGGAAGCTCCCTAGAGCTTGAAAAGGGAATAATGCAGTAGGGCTTCAATATAAGCAAGCCATTCAATTGAATGATTTTTCCAAATCTCCCATTAATACAGACCGATATAGTGTTGCATACTTTCTGGCCGCACGAGTACCACGGCTAAAAATTAAGAAAATCGGAAGCGAACGCTTGCTGTATATCTCGTGCATCATGTAAATTAGGAAAAAGAAACGAAATCGAGATTGATTCTAGTTTTCGGAGTTTGCGGTCTTCAACAAACGTGCGACGCGTAGATACTCTGAATGGAAACTTGGTAAACACCGCTTTAACGCATAATTTTCCATAATTTACTGACAGACAAGCTTCCCATGCACGGACTCAAGCCCCGGTAGAGCATTGGTCTACCCCATATTATCTTGTCCTAGTCAGGGGCTTCGTCCAACGTTGATTTTAACCTTCTTTGAAGTCTCCTTCACCTCACATACAACAAAATATGTATGGATGTTCAGGGGATCAAGATTGATTTTGAGGTCAAGTGCTTCGGTAAAACAAGGATGTTCAATCTACCGAGTGACATTCCGCTCACGCAGCCTCGTCTTGATTGGAGCTGATGCTGATTGCAGCCGATGTCAATTGACCTTCTGTATAGAGTTCCGAAGTTACATTTGGAGGGAGCCGTTCGTAAAATTGGTGGAATGTCGATCTCGTCATCATTAATCAGCGATGGAGAGTTTTTAGAAATGATTGCTTTGTGATACAAATGGCGGGTAAGCGTCGGCATAATGCCAGTGCACAGCAGAAATGGCGAGATTATTGCAGTTGGTCACGATCAGCATCGTTGGCAGATCTATCCATATTTTCTTTCGTGGGAAACATATATAGGTGCTTCCCATCTTCTATGGTGTTTATTCATCCCAGAGCAGACCACGGGCTTTGGAGTCATTTTTTACTCAAATCGTTCCTGCTTCAACTCGGTCCAAAATGTACTTCTCAACTGCTGGAGCACTTGTCGTGAGCAGCATCTTTGGCACTTCATTCGCCCGGGTAAACAATGTTCCAATCGATACTTCGACTATTGACGAGCTTTACGCTAAAGCCCTCAAAGAAGATCAAAATTGGTCGTAGCTTCAGGTGGTGATGGTTAGTAACTTCTTCGATGACTATCTTTGATCTCATCGTTTTTCTGTAAGAATAAACATGTATTGACAAACTTATAGCCAGAGTCCAAGGTGAAAGCATGAAAGCAGCTTGGGCTGCGCGATTCCCAAAAATTGCTCTCGATCTTACAGTCAACCTCTCCAAATACCACGATAGTCGAATTGATCGAGCATACTGGGCTAAAAATGAAACCGTTGATATCGCCGTTCTTCAAACTCTCAATGATTTCCAAAGATGGAAAGAAGACGGACGTTTACTGTTTTACAAGTCTCCAACTTTCGCTGATCTCTATTCGGGAGGGAAGGATCTCGATGGTGCTTTTGTGCCTATTTACATTGGTTAGTATTTCTTGCTTGGTAAATTTTGCTCGAGTATATGGTATTAACTTCTTCCTTAAGGCAGCTTCGGAACTTTCTCTTGGGACAGTACCTACGTTTCAGCATCCGACGCTCCAACCAGCTATGCTGACCTCCTAGACCCAAAATGGAAGAGTAAAATTGTGGCCACTTACCCTAACGATGACGATGCAATCGGCTATCTCTTCTCCATCATCATCGAAAAGTACGGTTTTGAATGGCTCGATGCTCTTGCAGCACAAGATGTTCAATGGGTCCGCGGTACCGCCACCCCAGGGTTTGTCATACGGGACAACCACAACAACGCCACCAAATCCGCATCCGGTTCTTCCCCTAAAGGAAGAGTTCTCTCATTTACCACTTATCCGCCCTCAAATGAAACATACTTTCAAACGACCCAACCAGCAGCCCCAGAACAGTACATGGCATGGGCACAAACAGCTGCGGCTTTTGCTTCTACCAAGAGACCTGCTACTGCTAAACTTTTCTTGGCTTGGATTACCAGTGATGAATGGCAGAAGGCTTCAACTTCTGGATCGCCTAGAAAGAGCTTGGATATCGGAGGCACGGTTTACACGAGTAACACAACACAGACTAGTGGGTTTAGACAGTTTATGCAGGATCGTAAAAGAGTTGAGTGGTGGAAGTTGCAGTATGAGACTACGTTGGGAACGGCTCAAGGAGTTAGTCCTTTGATTCTGTACCCATAGTTTCAGAGATCAGTTGGACTAGAAGCTACAGGAGAGCTAATGGAAGCAGAACGAGGAGGCGTGGACTGACGGGATTGTTTGTATGATGTATGCTCTATGTATTTTTCAAATTGTATATATTATTTTAGTGGTGTAAAAGTAGTCATGGGTTACTGTTGAGCTATTGCAAGAGTATCTGCCACGAGTTCATTTGAAAACCTGCTCCTGCTAAACCAGACCCAAACAGCAGCTTCGCCGACATCATTCTCGTCGACGCTGCTTGAAGTGAAGATGGCAATAAGTTTGGTGTCATGATTTTCGCCAGAGAACAATGCCACATGAAAGTTTTACTCAGCTAAGTCTGATATTTACATCCAATATAGAATTTTGGAACAACTCATCGTAAGTATAGCGTGACTTATCAACCCATGCGCCGGGAACAAGATTCATTAAAGGCGGATCTTCGATGAGCGACCAAAAGTCTCCAGCAAATCGATCCGTTGGTTCTGAGAACCAAAAATTCCAATTCTCAACACAAGGACCGTAGGTAAAATCAATAAAACTAGACCACCCTAGTTCATAACTGATTACCGGCTTCATAGGGCCCCCAAAATCAAAAACTTCGGCTCGGTTTATGCGACTCAAAAATACTAGTGACTCAAAATCGTCGCGCTTTCCCATCTTGAAGATAGATCGTTCTTTTTTGCCATATTGTTCCAGATCAATACCAGAAGACTTCAATATCTTGACCCAGTCAAACATATGCCGTTCCCTGTGGTTTATTCCTGTTTCGAACACGGTGTCACTCAAAATATTCTGTAGAAGTGTAAGTCCACGATGGCCAGTCTCATAGAGAGGAACCTGTGCTACTATCAATTCCCGTAGAAGTTCTTCCCATGATGGGTGTCCAGAGTGTGTGAAAGAATTTCCCCCGGAGTTACATTTTATCTTATAATTCCTAAAGGCAGCAACTTGCAGACATAAGACCTGGAAAAATTCTTTCAGTGCTTCTTCATTGTTGTGCAGCCTGACGTAGAATGAAAGTTTTGACCCGCCGAGCAATGATCTGACGCACTGCTGGGTATTGTAATTCCTGCTCCGTTTAAACAATCTCGTTGCAATGTTGCATTTTTCTGCGAATAGGGGCTCATTCAAAAATGTGTGGTGTTGTATGTAATTAAATATTTCCACAGGCATATCTGTTTCCTCGAGAAAGTGACTGTTGCCAAGAAATTCTTCTTCCGCCCCTCCTTCAGCAAGGATGCGAAATGTTTCCAAATGTTCCTTCCGGTTGTCGTTCTTAAACTTCGAGCATGGCGAAGAAATTAGATACTGCAAAGGGGTGGCACTAGCATTTTTGTTCAGCTATTGCGGAACATCTAGTCAAAGTGAACTTTCAAAGATTCTTACCCTGTGCAATAATCTCCAGCTGAAACATCGGTATTTGCAGAAAAAAGCAACTTACATATATTATAATGACAGTTATGTGCTGCTATCTGAAGAATATTAGAGGTGTGGAAATAACTCAAAGATTCGGAGACGTTTTGAAGACTCACATGGAGAGGAGTTGCTCCTACCCACTTTTGCGTAGATTGGGTCAAGTAAACGCTGTCAATGCTGCAATGGGATCTGTCATTCACAAACCCTGTCCGTTCTCGTAGCATCCTTTGCACATTGAGGATATCACCACTAACGACACAATCAAGGAAAGCCGTATCCCCGTCCAAAGTGCGACATGTTTGAATGTTGATATTCCATCTCAACGAGGATAAATCCTTCGTATACATAACTTGCCATGCCCTGCGGGGTATCCAAGCCGGGGGGTGGTACACAGTTTCGGACTCCTGGAAAGCCCCTTTGTGGTTTTTCTTGATAACTTTTTGCATTCCGATTGACCCAAAAGCGAAGGTGATCCAACTTGATGAATCGTATTGACTCATAGTTTGAGAAGATTCTTGTTCATAAAAATCATCATCCACTGGGAGTCTAGCTTTGGCCTCCATGGTGATATTGGTGGTTTGCGCTAGAACCGCACTATCCATAGACACTTTTGTGCTATATGTAGGCTGGGAGAGTCCTGAGTTCAAGAGGCGATTCTGCCAGTGTTGTAAGAAATTATCGAGTGACGCTTGTACATTTGAGGTGAGAGTTGAGGACTGCTGTTGTAGAACTGTACTAAGATACGTCAGTATTAGATTAATGATTGTTACAGAAACTCACTTCATCTGCCAAGATATGGCTAAATGCATGGATCTAGTGGCATTTTTCATTCTCTTTTTCAGTTTTTTTAACTGCTCCGCCTTCAATCGAAAATGGAAACGCACAATGGGTTCTGCCAACGTTCTATTGGAGTTGATATCCTTGGTCAGGGCGTTGACAAGCCCGTCTAATTCCGAAGAAGCATTCTGACATAGTTTTATACTCTGATCAAAGAATCCACCTGTAGGATGACATGAAGATGTGAGCTGCGCTTGCTTCTCCAAAATACTGCGAAGGATGGTATGGTGAATTTCAATTTCGCATACAAGGAAAGCGATATCGTCGGGTGCATCCTGGATCTGGTACCAGTAGCTTTTAAACTTGATGATGCTAGACGCAAGGTTTCCAGCCAACTGCGCGATACTGATCCCGCTGGCAATAGTTCCCAGAACTTCGGCCATCGTCAGTGATTGTGCTAAAAATTTATGTTCGATATGTATGAAAAAGTCTGAAGAGTTAGAAGATAAGTTTTGAGAGAGATAAAAAACGATCCAGAAGTACCCTTCTTCCCACACTGCGCCATTTGAGACAGTTCGAGGCTCGATAGTCGTACGGATGCAGTCAAACGCTTGATGTCGCACCAAACTCTTCTTCGCCACCACTATGTGCAAAGTGGCACTAATCAAATATTCGGAGCATGTCTGATCGGGAATTCGCATTTTGATCAGGCAGTGCTGCGAGCCTTGGAACAGCCATATTATCAAGTATTACCAATCGTTGTTCCAAAAAACAAATTCGCCTTGTTTGACAGGAGTGGAATTGGCAGGCAGATTTCTCATTTGATCCAATAGTTATTGCAGAATAAGAGCTTGTATTCCCAATAAGCAGGTATCCGCATTCTTCCAAGCCAGTTGCCATGGCATGAACTGCGCCGCGAGCTCAAATTACCTGCACTCAAACGAGAAGCACCATGTCCAGCAAGGCTTTCACGAAGCCATAAGGTCACATTGCGAAAAAGCCCAGAGCTTCCTTCCTGATATCGTAAAGACCAAAAAGAAAGGGAGATCTGGCAATGGTGCGCGTCAGTGATCAATCAAGATTCCTCGCTGAAGTGGTATTGTGTTGTGAGGACGAAAAACATCGGAGGATAATGCTTCCCAAACACGGGCCACCGTATGATGGAACTTTCGGATTATTCGGTACTGGTCTACGAAGTGGCACATTGGAGTGTTGCAATTTTTTTGTGTTGTACTAATCACATGAACCTCTAATTATTGGTGTAGATACCTTGCTTATCAGTACTGAAACTGTTCAATCACATCCTCCCTCCCTAAGAAGCCACATCTCTCTACTAACCTCTCTCCCACTATTCCGCTATTCCCTCCATCACTTCCAAGCTTGCTCATTCCCCAGTTTCCCCCTCCGATGACAAAGATCTCTCCCTCTCCTCCCCTAGTTGGCCACGCGGATGTCCACCCCGCCATCGATCCATTAATCTTCGAAGGGTTCCCATATTTTCCAAGCGAAATCCACGACAACGGTAAACTTTTCGCCAACGCATAATCACTCTCCGTAGGCTCAAAAACATATCCTGGAAGGTCGAAATCCGTGACATTGAAGAGATCAATATTGTTGAAAAGATACGCAAGCTCACTAGTGTGGATAACCCCAAACCCAGGATCACCCGTAGCATTGAGATAGGAGGTCAGAATTGTTTGATTTCCAACGTACAGATATGACGGTGGATTTGTAGTGTTGTATTTTTTGGCCATGGCTTGACTAAATAGAACAGTGGGGCAGGCGAGCAAGATATCCCGAAAAATCTGGGCGCAGCGATAGTACTCGGCACTTAAGTTTGCGCTGGGATCGGCTTGGAATTCGGATACAGGATACAGATCTAAGAGCTCATCAAATGTAGTGGTATTGACGTCTCTGTATAAGTTGGACAGGAAATCTCTTGTATCATTTGCGGTTTCAATGGTGATCGATGTGAAGAGTGTGGCGTCGTCTTCCATCCATCCACCAATGATAGGTAATTTGGCAAATTTCCCTTGTGCGAGGAGTTTCGATGCTTTTTGAGGAAGGAAGTCTTGGTCGACAATCGGGAGATAGATATCTCCATCATTGCTGTCGGCGCTGTCGACTTCTTGGTCAATCATGAGCTTCAAGAGAGTCTCCATGGGGAGTGATCGCAAGCAGGCAATCGTCGCCATCGATTGATAATCAGTAGTATTGCATCCAGCAAAAGCAGCAACTGCAGCGGTAGAATTGAAGCTGATATCTGATGACATAGTTGGCTCGAGTGCAGTGCTTTCCATCACAGCTGCGTGAAAGGGTACAGGCTTCGAGCCTCCGTACGCGAGAATTTGCAAACCAACGCTTAAACCTCCTGAGGATTGTCCGTAGATTGTCACTTGGTCTTTGTCTCCCCCAAATATTTCAATGTTTTTTTGAATCCATTCAAGGGCCAATCTTTGATCCCGGAGACCCACATTGAGAGACTTGTTTGGTCTCAGAGCTTCAGAAGCTGCAAACCCGAAAATGTTGAGACGGTAGTTCATTCCAACGTAGATTACAGGCTGACCGCCTTCAACCGAGGCATGGATAAGTCCATCAGGTGCAGTGGTCCTTTCATTGACGGTGCCGTCAATTAATGAACCTGCATTGGTTAGTGGCTTCGAATAATAGAGATTCATAGACTTACTTACCTCCATAGATGTAAACCATGACTGGCAACTTTGAGCCATCCTTAGCCCAAGATGGTCTGGCAATATTCAGATTCAAGCAGTCTTCTGAAATATTTGTGACGTTTGTTTGGAACAAGAAGCCCGCGCCGGGAGGCTGAGGGCAATCAAAACCCGGGATTGTAGCATTGTAATGATAGCCGTGGGGAGGGATGAAAGCTCGAGGAGGTGCGAATCTGTTTTCACCACTTGTATCTAAACCGTATCGGATACCCCGGAAAGTTTCCACCCCTTTGCTAGAGGTAACTCCTGCGTACGAGACATTTGTCCTGTGGTCCAGAACAAATGGTTTAGCGTTAACATGATCGGTCAGTACAGATGAGATCAACAAACATGTCGTCGACCGCAAAGACGAGAAGAGCATCTTGACTTTAAGCAAATTGAGGTAAGGATTGAGACGAATGATCTACGAAAACTTTCGAGACTATCACGCCTTTTGGTATAGAAGTTGCATATCCGATTATTCCATCTAAATCTATGAATCCCACTTTGATCATTGTGAGGGATTTGTTCTCGTAAATGAGATCTACGAATAGCGTCCAATTTGAGTTGGCACGTGTGGATCTCCTAGCTCCACTCAAAATTCCGGAAGACTGATCTCAAGTTCTCAACCCTTTGACTTCTGATTCACTAAGGATTCAACTTTGAACGTCAGCGAATTTCGAAAGCTATAAGCATAAGTAAAAAGGTGTGACTTTGCTAAGGGGTTTTTGAAAATTGCCCATCGAGATTGCATCATAACTGAATTTCCATTCGCCAATTCTCTTCATGCTAGACCCCTCTGGCTAAATCCACTAACGGTGTGTTTGGGGAATCAATTCATCTCTTCTGATACGGTCAGAAATTTTTAAAAAACGCATAACCCCTGGCTGGAGACTGATTGATGCAGATAAGATCGCAAGCATGTTGCTTGCTATCTTATCTGATTGAATGTCACTGCTGTCACCATCCACTGCCTATCCCAAAAGGAAGTGACTATAGTTTGAGATACTTCTTCTTGAGTCTCGACCCATCGATTCTGGAACGGAGAGACGCGTATAACTCTTGAAAAAATGTTGTCGCTTCTTATTTTCGAGCGAGAAAATCGATAAAGTGGATTGAAATAGATCAATTTTGATGTAATTTAACAACTATAAACTCAAAAATTCAACCCTACTGAGAAAAGTTGTATGGGAAGTTGTTGATTTGATATGGTAGTTGACCATCTGCTCGAAGACACAGAGATTCCCAAGAATTGACTTCTGTACAATCTGGAGGGGCTCTCTCACTGGGCATCCACGCTTTTGGTTGAAGAGCGGATTAGACGGAAAGTGTCAATGCCCCACTTTCTGACATATACTCTCTCTTTTCCGAAGTTTATCCTGAGATATCCCGAACATATTGTGCTCAGTCGGCGGAAGGGCTCGAAGGAAACCCGCTTCTGTAAATTGGGCGGAACACGGTAGACTTTATTGCCAGAAAAGATTGACCCGAGACATTCTTCCTGAGTGCAAAGTAACCTTCGGCAAGGAGTCTTCGGCACGTAAAATACTAGCAAATCTTGGCTGGCACGGGCCTTTTTGAAGCCGGTTTGAATGGATGTTGATGTTTTATGGTGAACATTGCTGAACACAAAGTCATAGGTTACCATGATGGTATACCCGCATGGAGAGTGACCGGAAGCTAGGCTTTTGAACTTCTCCGGCGGACCGGCGGAGACTTTGAAGGCTGATATGTTCAAATGTTTTTGTAAATATTTTGCACTGCTTATTAGACATCAAGCCATTTAGGTAAGGTTCACCATAACTTCTTGGCGGGATTCCGGCCGCCGCTCGCCTTCATCGTCACAAAACTTGATGCTCATTGACCAATTGACCGTGTAATATTTCTCGATTTATCAGCGATGTGAGACTTGTAGGTGAATTTGATGGATTCAAACTGGATGCTTTGATGATGTTTACCTACATTGATGCCGTGAATGAGACTGGGTCCGTCGATTTCTATTCATGACTTTCTCAGGAAAATTGGTTCGACAATTGATCTTGATGAAGTATAAATATGTCGAGAAAGGTCGCTTCTCTGGAGGTAGATACAGACAAGCTCTGAGTTCCAAGCCCCTTTGAAGCCTCAATCCTACGCATTTCTTTCAATCTCTTGCTTCACACTTCCACGAGTCGTCATCATGGCCAAAACTGTCGTCGTTTTAGGAGCAACTGGCATCCAGGTATCCTACCATTCACCTTCATACGAGTAGCTCATACTTACATTTATCATAGGGTGGTTCTGTCGCTGCCAAGTTTCTCTCACTAGGGTGGAAAGCCCGAGGAATCACTCGAAATACGTCATCGCCATCAACCCAAGCTCTCTCAAATCAAAGCATCGAGGCTGTCAGTGCCGACCAAGATGACCCAACCTCACTTGTCGCAGCTTTCTCTGGCGCGGAAGCAATCTTCGCTGTCACAAATTTCTGGGAACCGTTTTACAGAAAGTATGAAGAGCTTTCCAAGCAGGGAGATCAGGTTGCCGGTGAATATGCGGCTGCCATTGAGATTCTTCGAGGCAAAGCAATTGTTGACGCTGCGGCCAAAATTTTGCAAGAAGAAGGAAAACTTGAGAGATTCATTTGGAGTACCCTGCCCTCCTTCAAGAAGTTGAGTAATGGAAAATATTCCTATGTGTACCATTTTGATGCAAAAGCGGAGGTTGCGACGTATTTGCAGTAAGAGCAGAAGGGCTTGTGGAAGAAGAGTAGTTTACTGAATATGGGCATCTACATGACGAATGTGAAAGACTATGGGGACGCCTTCAGACTCAAAAGAAAGGCATTACGTCATGTTTCCTGGCTGAGAAATCGTGGAGCTGATACGATTTTGAAGGATGATGGTTCGGGTGAATATATCTACCACAATGCCAGTCCAAATATAGCGGAACATCCATTTGTTGTACCAACTGATGCAGGTTCTTTGGTAGAATTATTGGTCCGAAGTCCTCCAAAGCAGGACTTATTGGGAGTGAGCGAAGCAGCAAGTTTCGCTACCTTTTTTGAGATCTGGGGACAGGTAACTGGGAGCAAAGTCACTTGCGAAGAAGTCACTGTCGAAGCCCACGATAGGGCTCGTCCAAGAGGACTTGGAAGAGAAGCAGCAGAGTCCATGGCTAGTAGTGCGGAATTTGGGTGGGGAGACCTCGTCTTGCCTAAAGATATAAGTTCTATCCCATGCGAGATGAGAGAAATGTTTGAACTGACGTGTTCAGCTTGATTCCAATATCAAAGTCACCAGCATAAAAGAGTACATCGAAAGCGAAGACTGGAGCGAATATAGATAAATCTATCTAAAGAGATATGAAGTATTTTTCGGGGCTGAAAATCACTCGACTGATATATCTGGAATAACAAAGATACCGTCTCAAGATACTTCCTGCATGAGGAACTTAACAACAGATAGACAATGGCCAAAAAATTAATAGGCACTCCAACAACCCATGACTAAAGGAGTTGGTGTGAAAATTGTGAGGCTCGGGTTCCATCACAACAGTCAGGTGAAGTTTTTGTGGTCGATATCCACAAAAGCAGCGATAGGTTACAACACCATGGCTTTGATGTTACACTGCATGCCAAAGTAGCAAGGGTTGATGATGCAACCCCACCAACAGTCCCAACATCCCAAAAATCCAATCAAGTCGAAGTTATCGCTGTGGGTAGCCAGTCAGAAGAGAGTATTTGACCCGAAAGATTGCTGCGGGGTGCTTTACCAGTAGCCTATGAAATTTTTGGTTCCAATAAGGCATAAGAATAGGTAACATTTCGAAAAGTTACTGGTTAAACACTCAGACAACAGTAAGAAAAACACTGTATTTTGACTTGTTCCGAAAACTATGATGATAAAACGTCAAATTGAAGAAATCGAAGCAAACAATCCGGCCATAGCACGAGTGAGTTCTGAATTAGTAAATCCACCGTTCAATTTCAATCAAAATATCATCGGAAAGAGCTGTATTGCGAAGCAGAAGAAGCAAATAACAAGGAAACCCAAATCAAATAATAAATGGCAGGTCGAGTTGGTCCATAACGAAAGCCGTACGATTGAATCTCGAGAGGAGGTTCTTGAGGCCAGAGAGAGAGAGAGAGAGAGAGAGAGAGAGATGGGCAAGAAAAGTTACCAGCCAGCAATGAGTGCGTCAGAATGCATAATTCGTGATGCTAACAAGCAAAACAAGAAGCAAAGGAAAACAGGAAAGTAGGAGATATTGCGGAGAGGTGGATTTGAGATATGGATGCCGCAAGAAGTGCTCATATATGGATAATTAATATCGCGATTCAATGAAGATACCTATTTCGAAATTTTGACCAATCCTGGACATGAAACTGGATCTGGACTCGGATCTAACTGGGTACTTCCTTCCTATTTCGCCATTTGATTACTTAATCACCTCGCCCACAATGAATGTCAACGAACAAAACCACTGATGTCTTCGAATATGCTTTGATCTTCTTGATATCTTTGTTTTCTAGTCTATCTCAAAAAATTCGTACTCGCCGTCATCACCACGTTTTCCTGACTCCATTTACATGTCTATATCATAAGATTTACGTTCTTTGATCTTGCAGACCTCAATCATGCCCTCAGCAACATATCGCAATGCAAAATTTCACCCATCTTCAGATCGACTGTGCATCGTGCATATGTTTTGTCAACTGGAAGATTGAAACCAATCATGTCGAGCTCTACTGCTATCTTTAGGGAACATCATCACAGCTAGCACAATGCTCAAGATGAAAATTGTCACCCTCTCTACCTCATCCCTCATCAATCGCAGCGAATTAAGTGATTCGCGTCGATAAGACAATAAGCATCCCCTATCTACGTGAGTCCCGATCGATGAGAGCACCCTAGCAGTGTACTATCCATGGAAAAGCCAATCGTAAGCAGATTCCAGCATGAGAATGAGGAAGGTCGCGACGGTGATGTCCTCGGAATATGATGATCTGATCCGGCCCTGCCTTTCTGATGATGGAGTTCGGGCTCAACTGGGGTGGGATTGGATGAGATGGCGAAATGAAGACGTCACGACCTTAGATGCTGCGCAATAAAGACTATCAAGTGGTGTCTTCATACCTCGGTTCATCTTTGGATGCAAGCATTGTAGTGTTTATTCATTACTCAATTGAAATGCTTATCAGTATCGATATCTTTGAATTCGACATTCATACTTTCAAAGATAGTTCCGCCGGTTCTGTGGTTTCAGGGGTTCCTTATCGGTTCCAAACGCTGTGACCATTAGCAAGCATGGCATGCTCCCCCAGATTCCTTATCTCAACATCCCGAACTCCCTCTCATCATGGCTCGCATGCCACTGCATGGCTTGTGTTGTCTCCGTCGCGTAGGACATCAATGATACTAAGTATGTAAGAATAAAGTCGTTCATGCTGCATGGCAAGGCTCAACGATGGGATGATTTCACGGCCTTAAGCCTTGGATTCATGGGTTATGGTTTCCTTATCTCGGATTTGAAGGAAGCTCGGGTCATAATTTAAAAGAATTTCATACCCCATTTTTTAGGATCTCATAGACTTACTTTTGCAACAATTCTGCAACACATTATTCAAAATTGAATCATTAGTTACTGGAGCTATCAACACAATTAAAAAGTTTTGACAACGTCTTGTATGGTTGCTCTTCCCCATGTCTGAGGAAACAGGCAAGTATCCTGAAAAGGGGGGACGTGATGGCAGCAACACCTCATCCATATCACGATCTGAACAGATTGCAAAGGCAGCCGAAATGCTGGGTGTGGAGAAAGGTGAGACAATATCGGCCGACGACGAGTTATTGGCATCCCTGGGATATCGAGCTGAACTAAAACGCGAATTCTCATACACCACTGTCTTCGGACAAAGTTTTGGCTCTATGGGGATTGCTCCAGCAATTGCCGAGAGTATGGTTTTCAGTTTGGGCAGTGCCGGAAGTGTGGGAATGGTATGGACGTATCTGGTTGGATGTCTGTTGCTTATTCCAGTGGCATTGAGCCTGGGGGAATTAGGAAGCAGCATGCCTACTTCCGGAGGATTGTATTATGCAAGTCGTCAATACCCGAAAATGATTAATTGACTCATGAATATTAATAACGCTTGACAGTGGGTTGCACGTCTCACACCACCACGGCAGAGGGCTTTCATGTGCTGGCTTGCGTACGTTCCTTCATCTGTAATCATATCTACACCAAACTCTAACCGTGTCGTTTTAGCGGTTATATGAACGTCTTAGGGTATATCTCGATATACGCATCGACAATCTATGCAGCGACTCTTATTCTTGGCGCAATCTGTAACATCAATACAGATTCTGCGTTTGTCGCTACAAAATATCAAAATTACGGCATGTTCGCAGCAACCACCTTCCTGACCTTTGCAATGACTTGCGTGCCGTCACAAATCCTCTCTCGTCTTAATATGTTTTACATATTCCTACAATTTGCTATGCTTTTTGCTCTGATTGTTGCTCTTGCCGCTGGAACACCCTCGGAACTCAAAAACTCCGCGAGTTTTGTCTTTGCAGATTTCGAAAACACCGGGTTTTGGACAAATAATGGTTGGGCCTTCATGCTCTCATTTCTTACACCAGTATGGGTTGTCTCCGGATTTGAAAGTGCAGCGACTATAGCGGAAGAGGCCAGTAATGCCGCCAAAGCAGTGCCATTCGCAATGGTTTCTTCATTGATCACGGCTGCAGTGACGGGGTGGGCAGTTATTATAACGATTGCATTCTGCATGGGAACAGATGTGACTGGTATAGTGACGTCACCACTGGGCCAGCCTCTGGCACAGATAGCATTCAATAGTTTGGGCAAGGATGGAAGTGTTGCCTTGTTGGTTTTCCTATGGATTTCGAGTGTGGCCAATTGTTCGATATTGATGGTTGCGGCTTCGAGAGAAACTTTCGCTTTCGCTAGAGGTTAGTTATTCTATTTCGTTACTTGCTGATATAGAATGGTGCCATGTGGCAGAGAAAAACTAACACAACTTACAACAGACCACGGCCTCCCATTTTCATCCTACCTTCGTGTTCTCTCATCCAACAAAACTCCTATCCGTGCCATCTTCTTCGTCGCAATTTGCACACTCACCGAAGGTCTTCTCATGCTCGTCAACACCATCGCCATAAACAGCATCTTCAACCTTGCAATCATGGGCCTCTACTTCGCTTACTGCATGCCTCTCGTATCCCGTCTCCTTTTTCGCAATTTCACACCCGGGGTGTGGTACATGGCGATAAGATAAGTTATATCAGTGCAGTCTACTCGGTTGTGTGGATGACATTCATTTTTGTATTGTTGTTATTCCCGAGCTATGAGGATCCAAACGCCGATGAAATGAATTATGCGGTTGTGGTTTTGGGATTTGTATTGGTTTTTTGTACGGCGTATTATTGGTGTCCGAAGTATGGGGGAAAGACCTTCTTCAAAGGACCAGTGAGGACGATTGACGAGGTTTTGGAGGAGAGAGGTGATGTAAGGGAGAGATTGGTGGATGAAATTGGAGAGCATGGGACGAAGCGTGAGGATGGAAGTAGTGGTTAGAGTTAGGTTATTTTTGTTCTTCAGCGTCGGCGTAGTGATATAAAAGTTGCTTGTTTTTTCATAGAACTTTTATAGATGAAGATTGTTGTGGTGTCTTCCGGGTTGGTTGATACATATTGATAATGGATGTTACTTAAACCATCATTTGATGGTAAACTCATTCACTGCCTTCATTGTTTCCAATCTTTTATTCAGAGTCTCGGATCTCATTTCTTTCCTAATTCATGCGGTTCTCAATGATTGTCAAATTAGATTTGGTAAGTTCTTAACCGAAATCATTGCGAGTTGCTTCAATTTGCGATGTTTTCCTAAGAGATCCCCAAAATACGAAGAGTGATATCATGGGGAGTCTCTTGTGGAAATTTTCAGTAGCGATTCAAGATTCGTATCAATGTGAACATAAACAATCGAACATACCCAATCAAGTTGAGTGATATCTATGGTGGTATTTCGTGGAGGCTTCAAATGGATTTCGATGTGTGAGGTATCGAGGTACCTCGGTGATAATTATTATCAAAAACGTTATATTAATACTAGAAACTATTATTTTAAAATGATTATAAGTTCTCCGGTGCGTAAATAAATGGCTTCCTTTATACAAAGCATTCTGCTCTATTCGAGAAAGCCTTTCAGTAAATGGAACATATGAACATCAACATTATGCTGCAAAATTAGATTTCCTAGAATGAGATCAGCCTCCTCAACCTCCCTCGATCGACCATCTCGAACTATTAAACTTGCTCGCCACGGTGACATCATCATTTGTTGCCCCAAGAATTTCGCTGGTGTGATTCCATCTCTTTTCGTCATTCTTGATCGCATCAATATCTTGAATACTTTCTTGAACAAATCCACCATCGTATCGTTCCTTGCCGCCATTGACCACAAATGAATTTTCTACTTCCTGAAACCATAGAGTCCACGATTCTCCAGCTACATCATCCTCAAAGCGATCATCTCCTGCAAATTGAAAGTAATCGTTTGAACCCATCGCTTTCTCGTTATCCTCGTCTTGTGGGAACATATCTAATCTTGGTATATGGCAGTCAGGGAATCGGCACTTTTCTTTCTCGAAAGAAGACTGGAAGTACCTTGCAGCGCTTTTCGCAAAAGCTACTGGCATGCCGTGTTGGAAGTCGCTTTCTATTCCAGTGATTGTAACCAATTCTAATGAATGGAATTGTACCATGCCGTTCCAGCATGTGGGTAAGATACCTCTGTAAGTGGCAGCAGGCTCCTCCTCGAGCATGATCATAGGAAGATAGAGAGATTTAACCATTTTTAGAATATTCGGTGCGCATTCTGCTAAGTCCTTCAGATCGAGAGAGATCTTTTGGTGATTGCGAGCACCTTTCTGACGGACCCAACTGCAACCTTTCCCTGGTCGTGTTGGAAAGTATACTTCCAGAGCCATTGTGTCGAGTTCCGAATTGAAGTATACTGGATCGCGAAATAGCGCCGGATTCTGGATTAAATCTTTATATTGAGAAAGAGTTACCTTCCGACTTTCAAGATTTACCCACAGAGTTTTTGGCATGTTTGCTTGTACAAAATCGAGAGTGATCTTGATTCCTCTTGGGATGAAAGATCGAAAGTAGCAAGATTGATTGAAAGTATGAACATGTAGAGTGACGGTTCGTCCTTCGAAAGCTAATTGCCATATTTTGTTGCGGAGCTCTAAGGGAAGTCGAGGGAAACTTGCGAATGACAACTCGTTCGTAGGTGTAGCCACCTGCGTTATTGTTTTGGGCCTCGTGAGTAGCACTGTAAATTAACATTAGCTTGACAAATGGAAAAGTTGAAACCTGAAATTGTGACAAAGTCTGATTTGGTGAATTTTGAAGAATGCAGAACTAGCACTTTCTTGCTCTTATGATTAGGCCAGTACAACAATTTCCATTCAATCTCTGTATTGTGGGCATCGATTATCCTTCCGCGATATTGACTGATTTTTCAACTTCTGCAGCAATTCATGGAGTTTAGGTATAGGAACTGAACGACTAAGGTTGAATTTTACTTACAAGAATGCTTTATGATGCAGAAAAAGGACCCTATCATCGATCCTAACATCAAGAAGAGGATTTTTAAGGAGCAACTTTGTTTCTTGGGACTATGTGAACCGTGAATGCCGGAGTATTGGACCATTCTGAATAAAAGATTTGGTGATTGTTTGTCGGTCTCAGGTGGAGAAATTAGTATGCAGATTTGTGTTTTGTCGAGTCGAGGTTGCAAATTATGATGTATAAGAGTCGCTGTCTCCTGAATAGAATGGTAATAGCAATGGATGAATAGGCTCACAGTTCATATACAGACTGCTGAGAAGTCCAGAGTCTAAATGAAACAATGCCGTATCAACGATTCGGTGTTTCGTGAGACCGTACAATTCTTGAATGCAATGCATGTATACCGTATTTGATGATCCGTAAGAAGTTGAGTATTTTTGGATAATGCGCGACAGTATGTGGAAGAAATATCGACCGAGAAGAACCTTGGGAGGTAACGAATATGACTGACTAATCTAATCCTTCGTAGCGAATGAATATCTTGAGGATTCCTAAGGTGCCATAAAGTTTGTAGCATAAATCCAACCATGAGAACCACGCGATATAACGCGAGCGTGTGACTGAACAATAGAGTAGCAGTATTGCAGTTATGAAGGAAGGAGTCGAAATTGAAACTCGAAGACGGTTAAGCTGAGTTACATGTGATAATTCGCACAAACAATCATTTAAATAGGTAAGTTCTGTAGATCTTCCACGGCGGGTTTCTTATTACAACAATGGTAGATTGTGGTCATCTGTTTTTGTGATCCGCCAATTATTATCTTCGAAATTCTCCCTTGATTTGATGGCCTTCCAGACGCGTTTTCTCATGGCCCAACTACAATCTTTCGAAATGTTGTTAATGATCATTGTCTCATTGAAATCAGGCGACTGGACCACGATGGTTTTTAACTGATAAATTTGCCCGTTATTTTGCGATAACGAGGGAATAGATTCCCATAACATTTGTATCTATCGCAGAGAGCTCCATGGCGAGATATGAGGAAACGCACCATTTTGCACATACTTGGTGAGTATATCGAAATTTCGGCCAAAGCTTGGATGGTAAGGCATAAACATTGATCAGCCATTATACGCGATTTTCTATCACGATGAAAGAGCTGGGGGAGACAAGCAGGGTGTCTGTCTTTGTCGAGTACGTGAATGGCGAGCTTATCAAGCCGTGGATTGAAATATACTGGGTCACGAAATAATCCAGGGTTCTGAATCAAGTCTGGGTAGTGCCGAAGCGTTTCAAATCTACTTTCTCTGTTGATTCTAAGAGTCAATGGCATAGTCGCGCGGACTGATGATACGGCCGGTTTATATTCGCGCGAGCCGTCCGTCCAGCTACATATACGATGAGCGCATATGGTGACTACACGAGATTCGAAGCATTCGTGCCAAATCATTAGACGGATTTCGTAGGGAAGGTTTGTAAAGCAGATGGACTCCGAGTCGACTGGCTCTGCTACAAAGCGCTTGTAATTACCTACGATGTCTATCAGAGACTATTCATGTGCGTATATCTAGTATTTTGATACAAAAGTTTGCTCCCAGTGTTATGGAAAGGCGAGTGGATCTGACAGGATACTTACCTCGCTCACGAATGCTGCGAGGGGATAGCCTGGCAAGAGCTTTAGAGATGACAACTCTTGTTTTTGGCTTCAAGCCACCGCGGACATGCAAATATTGCACCATATCTTCAATGCAAATATAATTATGAGAATGAATTTTGAGTCAATCGATTATAGCTACAGAAGTCCAATGAACTGATTAACTGGTTCAGAACTGTGTGGAAGTGGTTTCTGCGGAGAGAGAGGTTCTTCAAACGACAATTCGATATAAAAGGAGATGAATGTACGATACTTGGTCAATGAGTGAGAGAAGACATATTCGTTACGAACAGACAACAGATGAAGAAGCAATTATGGAAATCAGTTTTAACTTAAAGTCACATGGTGCGCTTGATTAACTGCTTTTGTTCTACGACGCTAAAGAGCTATTAGTCTACTTAGTGGGTGAGGTATGACAAAGTAGCTTCAACGGCTTTTTTAGTTGATCTGATTACTTGGGGAAATTTTGAAAGTACAAGAAATCTAGTCGAAGAGAATTGGGTCTAGTTTCTGTCAGTCACTCGAGCCAATTATAGAAAAATGGATTTTATTTTAATGGACATGGTTACCATTGGACCAGCCATACCCCTTAGGGCTCTGGCATCGAACTTATAATACATGATATATGCCTATTTTAGGCTAGCACCTTCCTCTATTATTGACCAGCAGCGATCGTCGACTATGGCCTTGGCTGACAAGTGTCTTTTCTCTCTTTCCTATTTTCTGGGTAGTGGGGTTCCTAGTTCACTGATGACATCTGGTGAAGCATGCAATTATATTTGGGGTCTCCTTATAACAAGAATCCTCAATTTTATCAATTGTTCGAGGTATGCGAAATGAAAAGGGCTCTTTCCCGAGAATGCGGGCAAACAGGAGAATCACACTTGTAGCGAATGAATTTCCAGATGGTAAATGAGTTCACATGACAAATAGCTGCATGTATCACCTTGTTGTCATAATATCATATCAATATGCCTTTGAAATAATCGCCGTTTTACCTATGGACTTGTTCATGTACAAATCTACTTCCCTTTCTCATGCCGACGCCTATTCTTATTCAGAAATCCGACTCGAACCACTTAACCCAACATGAATCGCATCTACGAAAGCTGCCATAATTTTTATCGATATCTTCATATTTTCCACCCCCCATGATGGCAGAGAATCCGTCACTACTGTAAGGTAAGTGGCCCAAATGATCTAGAATGATTCGAATTCTCGGCACAACGCAATCGGGATACGTTCGCTTTATGATCTTAAAGTGCCTTTGAAGAAATCTCTCATGCTGCAAGTGGTAGGCTGTTTTGTCGAGATACTCTAACACGACAATCTCCTTCAATCCCTCATAGCCCCAACCTTCATTCCATGCCAACTGCAATCTCGTATCCCAATATCGATCGTGACTCCAGCATGCTCTCGGTATAGTGATGCATCGAACGAATTTCGGAATTTGTTTATAGACCGAGCCCATATGACCCAGAAATAACAGAATATCTTTGACGAAATAAGTGACTTCGGTCCATCTTCTCTTCGGGTCTGCATTACGAGCAACCTTCATTATTCTGATTGCGAAGGAATCAAGAGTAGGATGAAAGTGTATGGGCCTAACATGTTCGGGGACTAGATCTCTGTACCACAAAAGTGCTTCAGCTCGACTTTCTCGGCAAACTCTCAAAGCGAGTGGGATGGTCATGTGTGCTCCAACAATTTTCATCTTACTAATATCAGTGTCCACTTTACTATGCACTTCCACAATGACGATACGACTTTCAAATGTTGCTCTCCAGATCTTAGATCGAATCTCCTTTGGAAATTTGTGATAAAACTTGAATTCAAGCGGTCCAAACTTTTGTTCTTGTCGTTTTTTGTTCCGAGGAAAGGTCTCTGTATCACAGAGGGGATATTTTGGGTTCCCGAATCGCTGGTACAAGTCTGTGTAGAAAACATAAACGTAAATTGGTTTAACTATAAAACGTTACTGTTAAAAATGTCTGTGAGATAGGGAGCAGAAGGATTTTACTTACAGAAGTTTTTCAATTTAATGTAAGAGATCTTTGGCATGTTTACCACCTTCTTTACTTTGCTATATCTTGTGCTCTTTTCCATGCGTGCTTTTGACCTGCGGTTAGGTACATTGAAGGTCCGCTTATCCTTTGTTGACTTCTTTCCATTCTTATTCTTTCTCTTCCCAGACGTCTTCTTGTCAGCTTTCTTCTTGGATGGTTTGTGTTTTGCTTGGACTCTTGTAAGGGCGGGCTTTCGCTGCTTCTTGTCTTTTGCCAAGTTGGGTAGATGTGAGGTTGTTACACCTGGTTTGACTTTGGAAAAAGCAACAGTTAGGAACTGATTATGTATCTTCAAAAGAATGACTTACATTTCTGCTTGATACTGGCTATAGTGAGCGAGGAAGTCTTGGAGAGAGCCACAAAAGCTTTTCGAAATCCCAGGGACTTGGCAGGCCGAGATTGGACGTCATCTTTCGACATGTTGGAGATGTGAGGGCTTATTTGCTGAAGAGTTTGATGCTTATCCTTGCGTTAGGGAATATTTGGTATGCAACCCTCTAGAATAGTATGAGTTTCCTGATATCAACCTGGTCAACTTTCAAACAAAGGTAGCCGATTTAAAGAGCTTAAGAAGCGAGCAAGTTCGAGTATTCACTGAACATGATGGGATTGCTCATTCGAAAACAAAACGTGGATTCACTTCATCTGCTGTATCCTGATGCTTCCCAAGGCTCTTATCACCCAGTGGCATTTTCTGCATGGATTTGAATGTCTATGATACCCTGCCTGTGCATCAATCTCACACATTCTTTGTCACTGGCAGCTTACTTTGCAAGTTTGATAGATTTAAATCTTGATTATGCAATATCTGCTGCCCCTCTTTCAAAAATTCACATTGGGAATTAAAAGAAACTTGTTCAAAGACCTTACTGTCTCATAATGTCTCAATTTCCTGTTGTAGAGTCCCAGACTGTAGTTTTGGATGATTTCCATCGATGGTGCGAGCATGTGCCATTCAATTTTTTGTCTAGATAAGAGTGAATGCCCAGGTGTACTACATAAATATTGCAAGAATAGATGCTAGAGGCCAACCAGCAAACTTGAGTGAATGAAGAGCTCTGGTATGTTGCTTTTACTAGTAGACGTCTCAATTCTAATTCACCACAATTACAATTGTTTCAAAATGAAGGAGAAGAGAATTAGAAAAATCAATGCGAAGTTTTAAATATTAAAAAGTGACAAAGAGCAGATCTTGATTCGAAGGTCTTTCAAGACAAACTACGAAGAAGTTTCATCGAAAAGCCTCTACCAATTTGATCGCTTTCGAAATATTTAGCCATCAACAATCCCAACATAATAGTTTCCACACATCTACCAAAACTTTGAGGTAAACTTCCATTATGGCGACTCCTCCAGACAAACTTTCTCCGATCACAAGGTTGAAGCTGAAGAGACAAATCCAAAAGTTTCTGCTGTTCCGAATAATTTTGATCTTGATCGGGTTCCAAAAACCATTCAGCCCTTTCTACAAAAAGTCTTAGAAAGCTCTATCAATACAGGAGAGATTCCAGCCAGCCTCTTTCCACCATCCTCAGAAAACGATCACAACATTATTCCACACAATAGCTCGGTCTCATGGCCAATTCTCAAACCAGATGCCAAAAACAATATCCTTCTTTATCCAGGCTCTTTCAACCCACCCCACCAAGGTCATCTAGCCACGATCCGCTATTTTTCAGAGCGTCGCGAGCAACTCGGTATCACCACTATGTTCCTCTTCGTGGATCCTGGCGCGATTATCAATAGCAAAAAGAAGAAATGGGGTGACGTTATACTTCCACAAAACTTCCGCTACGAACTTTTCTACAAAGTCCCCGAAATTTCTCAACTCGTTGCATCTGGATGGCTTCAGCTCCTGGTTGGAGATATGAATAATCATATTAAAGTTCTACAGGCGACAACTGATTTGGTTTCGGAAGCTGGATATGCTGTTAAGTTGGTCGGAATTTTGGGTGGGGATAAGTTGACGGTAGAGAGCGCGCCACATACACATCCGGGATGTTTGCAGGACTGGGGTCCGGTTGATGAGTTTCTCATCATTAATTCAAGAAGACCAGTTGATTTCTTTGATCCAAAGAAAGAAACGGTTCCAAGAGACTTACCGGGTTGTACAAATTGGAAGAGAGGTACGGAGAAGTGCGATGAGAAAGAGGGAGCTATCGACGATGGAGCCGGTGTTCTATGGACATGCCAGACCTTGACCGTTCCTAGAAAGCCGATCATACAATTTCGTGCCTCACAGCACAGCGCGTCAAATGGTGTTAGTTCAACTAAGATTCGACAGATTATGACCGAGGCACTCGATGAAAAGCTCATGGAGGGACTAAAGGATAAAGTCATTAGTGCAGAGTTTTTTGGTAGAGTGGTTGATACTTCAGCGTAACCAGTCGCGTGAGGTCTCCGATGAGAAAGCGTTCCTTTGATTTTCTTGCCAGAGCGGATGATGGCTCTCCTACACTGGGTCTCTACTTGTGGTTCCTCCGTATTTGGTCGTCTATCGTCAAGCATAGTTTTAGCCCATGGAATCAGCGCAGAAACGCGATTTTGTTGAATCATAGCTGTCTCCAGTCTCATTCTCTTAAAGCTTCTTCAGGCAATGTTATTCTCTCTCGCTCAAGGCTGCTCTTGTCACTCATGCCACATTTTACGTGAACCACAGATATCTTCGTTGCTTTCATCATTTCGATTTAATTAGAAAAATCATGACTCTGTAATACCTTTACCACACAACTGACCTGCACTAGTTGCGTCATTCCAAACCTTTCCGTAGGATGTCAAGTGTTTGTGTGTTACTAATATTACTCGCCGCATCAAGCCCATGAATGCAGAATGAAATGGTGAAACAATATTTAGAATGAGCAGCCTATGTTGCCAGGAAGAAGAAACAAGCAGTAGCACTTTGGGAAACGCTTTTCTAGCTTTCAAATGAGTTATCAGACTTGTATTGAAACTAGGCATGAGGTAGGATACTATTCATTTTGATGCGAATCACAGGTTTCGAAAAAAGCCCCCGAGATGAAATTTCATTCAAGTAGTTGTTTTGATGATGTATTATTTCCTTTGAAAACTATTTATAGTTACAGCTAGATTTCTCCATATCTCCAGTCAAAATTCGGAATCAAACCAATCTGCAGTTTCCTTCAAATCGTAATTCTCATAGACCCGGGATCCATTTGCTTGCTCCATCTCATCGCAAAAAATAGGAAGAAGAAAAGGTTCGGTAGAGATAGTCACTTCTGGAATCTGAAATGAGGAATTTCTTTCCATTTCAGCTTCAAACGTATGAGTGAGGCAATTCTCTAGATGCTGCACTTCAGTTGAGTTGTCAAATCCAGAGCTGTCGGAATCTTTTTGCGGCCTGCCACTTATGATGATACTCTCTTGCAAACAATCGAACTCAGTCAGAAGCGGTTCAATGACTGCACTATAGGTGCCCCCTTGTGGTTTTGAACGGGGGGGATTAATGATACCATAGTCATATATGAAGCAAGTCGGAAGTTTCAACGATCTGATGGGTCTCAATGGTACCGACGTTGAAAGATCAATCAGGTGCCTAATCCCCCACGAGAGTTGCTCCCTGGTGTCGCATTCACGAATATTATGCCCTGAACAATAGTGACGAATAGCAAAGGAATCTAGCTGGTAGTTGAAATAGATCGGGGAGTCGGAGACACCTGGCAGGAAGTTGGAGTAGCATTTAAGTGTCTCCATTCGACTTTCGTGGTTGGCGAAAAGAGTTATTGGACTCGGTGTGATTGTGCGACATTGGAAAATTCGAGGTGGATCATTAGGGAATTCGATCTGAAGCTCTAAATCATATCCCACGGAGATGTCAAAATCCACACAGACTTTAACATTGCGGCCGCGAAAGCTATACTCCCAGATCTTGATTCTTAGCTCGATAGGGAGTTCTGAGAACAAGACAAAGCTCGAAGAAGTGTTATATCTTTCGCGCATGGGGAACTTTCTCAAGTTGATCCATCGTCTTCGTGGAATGCCCCTTTTCCAGCGGCGTTCCAAAGCTCTAAAACGTTTGGGGCGACGCTTTTCAAGCTCATCCGACTAGAGCCTTGCTGAAAGATTCTTCCATATTCTTGCGGTCAACTTGTTTTCGGGGTCCATGTTATGAGGTCTGTGTTTCCGTTAGCATAGGCGAGCTTCACAGAGCCGTAACCGCTTCCAGGGCACAAAGGTATCACTTACTTGTTATATTGTGCTGTCTAGGGTTTTACTCTAAAACTGGCTGGTGTACAAAGCGCTTTTTGAATGATGTTTGACACAAACCTGGGATGAATGTCATCGACGCCAAAATTTTGCTGCAGATGAGATTTAGTGATTCGAAAAACTGAGTTTAGACTGTTCGCAAGGTGGCCGCCACCTGTTGAAGCGAACCTTCACTATGTATATATCACGTTATCAGAATACATTACGTCTGCAGATCAGATTCACTGTTATAAAATTGCAAGTTCATGCAATTTCTCCTGTGAGGTCCCCGCTTTTTCTTGAAGTGCGACGATTTTCTATGCAAATTGCTAGCTTGAAGTGAATACATAACGATGAAGGTCCTATGACATATCTTACATGTCAGAATGGGGTATCGCAGCAATGAAGAAGCCAATATACTTACGGAATGGAGAATGGGTCGGAAACCGATGAATCGGGAATGGAAGCGGAAGCAGAAACTCTTTAATGGAAGTAGATTCTCGCCATTAATAAGTTTTGATTACATGGATGTGGAAGCCGCATGGTCGCGCTTTTGAAGAGGGGAAGATTGGATTTACCATACCTAGTTGGCCCTAAAAAGTTGAGCTGTGGGCATTTGCCTTCGCATTGAATACCGTTGTTTTCTTTGATTGTTCAGTGAAGATTGAACTCTTAAAGCCAGTTCATCCCTTTTGATGTTCTCATTCAGCATTTTCTAGCGTCACTACTACATTGGGTGTGTACTACATTTAATGCAGCTTGTTTGCACCTGTCATAGGGTTCTCGGCAATTTACAGGGCCTTGGGTACCAACTTGCACTGAAACGCTTGTAAAAGATTTCTCATAATACCAACCGTTTTCTATCCATTCTCTATGGTAATAATTGAATAATACTTCAAAGTTCATATTTTCCCCCTTTTATTCAGCAAGTTCAACTGCAAAATTTAACTATCGCAAGAAACATGCTCTACACCCAAGCCATGTAGTAAACCCCAACAATTGATCACTAAAAACACTAGAACGTCTACAAGTCAACGTCGCTCTTTATTTAATATATGGAAGCTGGAGGGTTTTTTTTAAAGTGATTCCTATACTGAATTAAAACTTAATTTTATGGATAGAAGCACCAAGGCATGCATCAATAATATAACGTCCAGGTAATAGCTGTCGGCTCGCTACTCGTTCGCTAAATCTTGATTGATTTTCTTGCTTCGATGAAGACTCCTTTATGGAATGGAAAGGTTAAGGGTGACTTAGCATTGATAGAGCGCAAGAGGGCCACAAATTTGATGAAGGCGATGCTTGAAGGGATGGTATGGATGCTTACTGTTTGTCATTGAGGGTGATGTCGCACTTCGAGTGATTATTTTCTTCCCTTCTTAATTGGATGAATCGAATGTGATATCTTTATGTGTGTGGTCATTGCATATCGTTCAGCATCACAGTCATTGCGTGAGTAGTTTTATCGGGCACAAACTCTGACTCCTCGTCTGTAATTCAATCTTCATTTTGAAATTCGAATATATCAAAGCGAAATGCTGAAAACTCTTTTAATGTGCTCAATGTACCCCCTTTATGTATGTATGCGCGAAGAAGAAACAAAATCAGGCTATTAAATTCTCATGACCCGCACCCATTAGTGATTCGACAGATAAATATGCGTATAATCCTGTACCAGCAGTAATAAACCAGCTATTCTCCCTCACATGTCCCCATTTATCTAAATTTATCTCACAATAGAAAAGACATCAAAGCTACAAGGAATCCGGACTCCCATACCCTCTCGCTGTTTTCCACGCCTCTTTGTGCAGAACTCTTCTTGCCATCTTCCGGCGTCACAGTGCATGCTCCTTCACATTTCTCTGGGGGCATTCTTTTGGGGGATTTTCCAAGAAACAACAGCCATCTAAAGATCCTCATTAGTTATTTATGCTTTGAAGTAGTTGAAATCTTTGCTTACCATAAACAGGAGTAGAAACAGTAGTACCAGAAGTGACTGTGACGGTATATTTCGATGCAGTTGCAACAGGATCGTTGGCAAAGTCGTCAGGTACTTGATAGACGCAGGATTTTATTGGATTATCTTTCCCTCCCTTTGGCTTCGGCTTTGGCTTTGGCTTTGGTTTCCAACCTTTTGCTGATGCTGAAGTGATGAGTGTCAAAATAAAAATAGTTGAAAGATGATCAAGATGTGGATGCGTGAGAAGATCATGATGACGAGAGGTTCTCTTGTGAAGGTATCGACAAGTTACTTTTGTTTGAAGCGGATCAAATACCTTAGTGTGAGGACAATGTACCTTGCAAGTGGTGCTTGTTAAGACAGGTTCATTTTACGTTGCAGTGTTTCAATGCATGAAATGTTGGATTGCAGTGTTCTAAGAAACTCTTAGAGACATTTGGAATGCTTTTGATGTGTACGTTCCTGGAAAAATCGAGTCATCTATCATGGGTATGATTCATGGATTCGATATTTAGAAGTCACTTTCACGAAATGATACGATGTGAGAGAGAGTCAGCGACCAAATCATACAACCAAGTCATACAGAGACCAATGAATCACGTACTATCATAGTTGTCATCCTCAACATTATGACAAATCCAATGGAAGCATATTTTTTAGGAATTCATATATTCATCCTACAAAATCAGCTCCTCCATAAACTTCTAATCTCCCAACATGACAGCTCATAATATTTTCTCATCTCAAATGAACACACTGATTTCCATTTATTACATTAAATGAAGAATTCCAGAATGACAAGCAATCCCAAAACAACTGTAAACCGTTATTAAGAAGCAATCTGTGTCCATGCCTTTTAGTCCAAAGCTCTGAGTTGGACTTGCGGTGTTGCTAGGGTTGCCTAAATCAATCCAATTAGCAACTATTAAATTAATACACATAACGGCCGTGAAGAGCTTACTCTTGGTCTGTGTACCACTGGTGGAAGTGGAAGTGGAGCTAGAGTCAGTAATAGGAACCGAGTTCGAAACGGAAGTGGAAGACGAAGCGGTAGTGACGGTGCTAGACTTTGAGGTTGAGACAGGAGTCGAGGTGAAAGTCAAAACAGAGGTAGAAGTTGAAGTCGAAGTGTAAGAGACGGTGGAGGTTGTTGCAGGAGCCACAATTGTAAGGGTGGACAGTGGGCTCGAATCCACCTGTAATAATTACCAGACTGGTGATTAATGTTCTCGATGACTTGGTAGTCTGAGTACCCATGGATCCGCTTGAGGAATGTAAAGTGGTTTGCTACAGACTCTGGTGGAGGAATCGGAGGCAAGCTCTGAGCGACAGAGAGAAAAGCGAGTGTAAAGATAACGAACAGGACAATCGCATTGTTGAAATTTGCGCAAACCATGATTATGATCTGAAGTTGTTATATATGATGGATGGTAGTTTTATATTATATCCTTACGTCCAATTGATTGTTCTGTCGATGAGGTTTTGTCGATGGATCAAGTTGTGGTATTTGGATGAAAGAATTGAAAGTTGTCAGGTACAAGGTAAGAAAACTTTGTGTTCGGTATTATATGCACCTAAGTCACTAAGAAGCTCACTAGCTCAAGACGCATGCGTGATATGATTAGAGTGAATACTTTCCCGAGGCTTTTTAAGATTTAAGTATTTTCCAGAGTGTCTACACTCTGAACTCCGGTCTATAGATGGACCTGAAACTTTTATTACCCCCTGAAACAAGTTGACCCATCCAATAGATCTCAATAAGTGCTGAGTATTCTTAGTTACCGTAAAGTATTCGAATGCTGTATGGCTATGATGAGTCTACTAGTGCGGACTATAAGACACAGTATACCTTCCCATTCATTGGGGTCTGATGTCATCTAGGTCTTTTTACGGATGAGCTTTTTCTTACCCAAACATTTTACTTGATTTTTGGCATTTTGCATTCACTTTCAGATTGTGGTATTTGAATTTCCACGTTTTCCTCTACGTAAATGAATCCCCCAAAAGATCGATGAAGAGTTCTAGCAACATGAGAGAGGCCTTGGAGTAGGCATAATATACATCTTTGAATCTCGCCGAGCCACATTCACATTGCAAAAATAAAAAGCACCGATTTACGCTTCGATTCCACAAAAGTCTTTGAACCCTCGAATCTGTGCGATTTCATTCTAGGTTTTATCTAAAAGTCAGGCATTTTCAATTACTGTATAATATCGAGCTCACCCATGGATGATTCCCTCTCGATCTATGGATAGATAATTTCTAGTGTTTCCTGCATACAGCCTTCCATTCGCAATTTACAAAATTCGTCCGCCTTTAATATCAAAATACCAAATAACTCAAGGCCATCGAAATCAATCCCAACACAGCCAACGAGCGCAGTGGAGAGGTGTCCAACTCCATGCTCCGCCGTCCTGAACTATGACTTGGGCTTGGACTAGGACTCGGAGTTGCGGATACGGTAGGATTTGAAGTCGGTACTGTGGTTGGCAGTGCTGGAGTTCCTGTTTGTGGCTCGCATGTGGATTGAGTCTCACATGATCCTGGAATTCCATTGCTCTTAACGCAGCAACCAGCTAGAAAGAGCGGGTTGTTAGTGGCTTCTCGTACAATAATAGAGTGAAATAACACTTACGCAGGATCTGGATATATGTTGAAGATGCAGATGTCCAAGTCGTGGTGCTTGAGCTGGGTGCTAAGTTGGAGTGGAGGTGAGAACTGCTTGTTCTAGTTGGATTGATTGGACTTCCGCCTGTCGTTAATTGAGGCAGACTGATAGAAAAACTTCCTTGGGTAATGTTTTGTGAAGGTAAAAGTTAGTAGGATGAAAAGAATGATTCTGTTGTAGTGTGAGGAGATCATGTTGGATGTTAGAAATTCGTAAACGATAATGTCTGGTAAGCTCAATCGCCAAGTCTAAGAAATCTGATATTTAGGGGTTTGTGTGCGCTTTGTTTGGCTGGAATCGATATTCTTGATGGGTTCCCAAACCCTTTTGTAAAAAGAATTAAAAAAAGAACACTGTGTTGTCAAAAATATTCTCAAATAGAGACTTAGTTCGTCCTTTGATGGTGACTCGACACTTCCTAGTCATCCAATTCTTCATCATTCACTGCGAATAACTAATGACTGGGTATCTTTATTCAATGGAACTAATCTTTCGAGTATCTCCATATCATCTATTAATAGACACTCATGCTGAGTATTTAGTGACAGGTTCAGTTCAATGATCATAAGATAGAAGTATTCGCATAGAATGGAAATTTCAGGCTCTAGTTATACACTCCTGCACTCTCCTACCGACACAACATCCTAGCGAGCTGCGGTCCAATCTTGACCCTCCATTTCTAAAACTGTTTTCTAATCACAAAATAAAACTCCCATTCAATTCAAAACTCCTAAAACAGAGAGCAAAACCGTCAGCAGCAAATTCGCATGTACCATTCCGTTACCCGAACTCGAGCCAGGGGCCGGATTTTTGGTCGGATTTATAATAAACGATGGAGGATCTGTCTTTGAGGGTGCTTCTGGTCCACCAGATTTCATGTAATCAGACACTTTCTTTGTAAGATATGCCGCACTACATTTGGGATTGTTTACGCAGGTGCCCCATTCATCTGAGAGATAGAAACAACATCCGGCTGTTCAGCTTGTTAGTAAGGTCTTTAAGATGAGATTAAGATATTTACCTCTTACCGAAGGTTCCGATATATGTTGAACCTGAAATTTGGGTGGATACTGTGTACGTAGAATAGTGTGCCAATTTATCTGTGCCTAACAAGCTGCTGGGTGTCTCGTAAATGAGGGTTGACGTGGTGCCAGTAGAGAAGATAGAAACTCCCGTGGGAATTTTTTGAGGGTCGGAAGATCCAATAACAGTCATGGGTGTGAAAGCAAGCAGGGTGAAGAGAATGATAATCTTCGTGAGATGTGAGGAAATCATTTTTTCGATACAGATGGTTCTTAAGTTTTGTTATGGCGAAATCTTGATTGCCTTGAGTTTTTAATCGAACGTCTAAATGATTTCGAGAAATTTGTGAGAGGAAGCGGATATGCATACGAAGATGTGGTGTTAATGTGAATATGGGGGACACGGAGAACAGTGGCACGAATCAGAATTTCGAATTAAACTCTGACTCATTGACAAAATTGCGCCATAAAGAAGATTCACGCATCAATGACTCAAAAACAACGCGTGACATGCGTCAGTCTAAAAATCCAAGTTTACAAGGTGAGAAAGATGCCCGCGGTAAATCAATAGAGCGCTAGTTTTGAATCTCATCTACAGCGGCATGGAGCCTATAGTTTATCGGATACCACATTTATTGAGATTCGTCAGGAGGAGACACAATTTTTTACTTTCCCAGAGAGCCTCGCCACAAAACCGCCATCAAATTATCTTGCGGTTTTTTGCAAGCTCACAACCCAATTAATTTCACTCTTCGGATTAATCAAAGGGGGACTTGTTAGTATTTTTATTTAGGTTATGTAAGAGGTTCTCTTATACCAGCTAGGCCGAATCACAGATCCAAAACATATGCGATCTAGAATACGGTTCATGTAGCATCGATATCGACCACATTGGTGGGGGGTCATTCACACCACAAATAAATGCCCCTTTCGCTTAACCAAGTAGCAAGCGACGACTAAGTATCTCTATTCCGCATGACAGTAGGAATATTCTAACATGCGATAACCTCATGTATTACTTCGATACATATCCATGGTACGACAAATTTTATGTGTTGGAACTTAATCATGATAATTCAATACTAATCCAATCATAAAATAAACATATCAATTTATCTCTCAGTTCACATTTCTAACGATTTGAGAGCTCTTCCAAACTTTCACAATATAGCAAGCCCGGTCACCGTACCCACCATCGTTCGCTTCCTAAATTGATCTCCACTCCACTCCGCCCACTTTCCACAATCACCCACACATCATCTGCACATTTTTTTCATGGTAATATATATTCATTTTTTGTACTATCCTACATCAATAAGCTTATAGCTTCTGTGGTCCAATGGTTAGGATTCCACCCTTCCAAGGTGGAGGTTCGTGTTCGATTCACGGCAGTTGCATTTCCTTTTGTTTTTTTTGTGTTGATTTGTCCCATACATCTAGATATTCTTTTGCATGGGCTCATGGCAGCGTCGAAGATATTACGTAGTTATCCAAATCCAATACACATGAGGGAAGGTTTTATTGACTGGGAGGAAGGAGATTTTGGAGATTTTTCTCCAGGATAAATTCGAGAAAATTGTTCTCCCCCACATCCGGGCCCGCTACGCTGCACTCAGATATTTTTGAAGTTAACAAGCCTCGTGCAAGCCACGTGCAAGCCTATTCTTCGAAGAATATTGAGGTGAGATATCCTCCTAACCATCTAATGTTTTCACAGCAAGGATAAGACTTTTCTATCATTGGCTGTAAGAAATGTCGGGTGCAAAATATCAAAAGCATCTTGTTAACAATTTGACGCTCTAGACACGATCAGAGATCGAAGACTTCGCATCAGACCGACACAGATTTTATGAGAATTGGAAATCCAACTACCGAAAGTTGACCCAGGTTGTGAAAAGAGTCAAGCATGAGATGGAAGATTATTTTTTATTCTGTAAGTAAAGTTCAACAAAAGCGGATGTAAGGTTTTGAGTGCATACAATCTTCAATTTCGTAAGAACTAATTATTCGTATGTGGGAACCTTGGAATACTAAGATCACTCGAAGTGGCATCATAAATGAGCGAGCATCATAAAGTATCAAGACCAAATGTGAAATATTCAGAAGAGCGATTAAAAAGCGAACAATGATGTGAAATCAATGTTCTTGAGTTGAAATCAACGCAATAAAATAAAATAAATTCTACACTAATAAATTCAGTCGTATTGACTACCGATACTTCATTCTAAACTTCTTGATGAGCCCCTCTTGACATGGCGGCGACCGGAAGATTCCATAGCTCTTGACGTCTTTCCAACGGCTGGAGTAAACGGAATGATCTAGTGTAATAGATTGTTGTCCAGGGGGGGTTGGATGGCCCGGTATCTGTCGTGTATAACCAAAAGGAATTGATTTTTCCAGATTGTTCGGTGCTTTGTAAGTGATTCCCTTAATATGTGAATCGGCTAGAAGAATCAATTCATGTAGGTAAGAGTAAGCAGACGAAGGATTGGTGTTGATTTCATGGTCTCCAAATGAAAACACTTGGTAGTATCCGTGGGCCTCACCACATGGAACACAAGTAAAGACTTGATATCTCGCAATTCCGCCGTGCTCAGAAAGTGGTTTATAAGTCCTGCATTAGCTTGATAAAGCTTAGAATCTAGACGTTTGAAGACACAAGCAACATAAACAGCTAGCATATCAAGCTCATTATTGAAGTAGAATTTTGAAACTAAATGTCCAAGGGCTAATGGCGCGAGGTTTAATGGCTTATAGTGTAGTAGCGTTTCTGCTCGACTTTCTCGATTGACTGACATTGTCGGGGTGGTGGACGTGCCTTTTTTGACATCAGTGACGGTCTCTGGCATATTTGAAACGCAAAGATATTTCGTGACAATTCCAAGATTGCGACTATCCCAACTCATCCGTCATATTCCTAGACGTAGCTCAATAGTAAGTCTTGAAAATGGATGAAACATTCTGCCATAATGATTGTCGGGTTCGTTATCATCCCCTTGTACAAGAGATGAATCGATAGGAGCGACTGCTTTTTTGGCACTTGATCGAGTTCGCTTCAAGGGATTCTTTCTCCCACACCAGCGTCCTATTGATCCTGCCTTTGCCTGTAAAGTTTTCAGTATTGAATAGATCTTCGAATTACAAATTGATAAGACCGACTTGCCTTCCATCTTGTCAATTTTCCCTGAACCACCCGAGAGAGAGCATGATCACCGTCCATTATGACAGTAAAGAGAGCTGAATTTGGCAACCAGTGACTGTCTGACAGAGGGACCGGTAGATCGAAAGGTAGATGTCGGTATATGGGCTGCGACAAGGAGTAATGATCCTTCGATTATTCTCAAGAGCGCAGTTGAAGAATCACACACTGGAGTAGAAAGTAATATGCAGAAGAATCCCTGACTTTAAGACCAGATTTGATGGACATGGAAGTTGTGTACCATTTAACGAGGCGGAGAATATCTAAGTAAATGTAGGCCGTAAGAGGGTAAGATCGAAGAATTCATCATTTTTCTGGTCCTCGGAACTCCATTCACTTTCATATCTCGTACCATGTGCCTGTAGTACCCCGCGCCATCTCACTGAGGTGACTGAGATTCTTCCCGGATTCAACAGTATGACATGACAATCTTAATTCACAATTCGGTTGTTTTGAAATCAAACTTATTCTTGCAGATTGAATGAATACATTCGTGTGATTACAATGGAGGAAAGAAAAAGGAATTGAAAATGTTGATTTTTGGGGTCCCGACTACGTGTAAAAGTTATGAAGATGCGGAATATCTCAATAAGTGTGCGGGACCCCCAGTTTTGGGTATATCTTTAAACGCCAAAGCCATCTCGTTCCTTTGTCCAGCCGCGATACAGACAAAGTTGTCCTGCAGTCCATAAACTTCCAACCCACTGCCTTGCCCTCTACCAAAGGGCTTTACCCTTGATATCTCAATCGCCACTTCATCAATTAGCAGTTATAAAAGTTAATTTCTCATTTCCCACCACCGTCTATCATACACATTAGCCTGGGTCTTTATATCTTGGATATTCGAGCATCGATGCAACATCGGAGCTCAAGGTTCGGAAACATACCTTCAAAACATTTCCAATCCCCGTAACCTGACCAGAAGCATTAGCGGACATGACATTAGCATAATTCGTTGCCATCAATTGAACTCCTGATACGAAGGCTTTATTATCGAATCCACTGTATCCCCCAAATGGTTAGCTATACTCAAGAACCCAATATCCACACCTTCCATTTCGGGCAGGCGTTAAGAGAAAACATACCAATGACCCCCTCCATTTGGTGTATTGTCCACTGTCTGCAGGCTGCCAATTTGATCCGTCGTCATTCCCGCTGCCGTAGCCAATTTCTCATACGCAGCAACTGCATCCGGAATAGCAGGTTGCAATAACGTCAATTCATCTTTCGAGCTTTGAAAATGAATCTTCGTATTCTTCGCCAACGTATCTGGATCCACAACCGCCACCTGTGGTGTCAATGCACCACAATTCAACAAAACTCCCGTCTTATACTGCGCTCCGAAAGCCGGCATGAAAAATCCAGAAAGAAGTAGCGAACCCCCTGAAACACCCGTGAAGAAGACATTTGTATTATCGAATGCTACATCTTTTGATAGTTGTGTTTGAATGAGCGAATTAACCGCAGCAGCGTGTGCGACGCCATCCGTACGTTGAAGACCTGATCCACCTCCCCAGAACATATTTTTATTGGGAGCGAGAACAACGACGCCCATGAGATTGTTCTGAACTGCTTGATTGGGGAAATCGAAGAAAGATGTTCCTCCATCTCCGTGAAGAAGAACGTTGAGACCTGCGGTTCCTGTGGTGTTGGCTGATGCCGTACCGCCAGTTACGCCAGATGCTGAGGTGAACGTATTGGCTGGAGCACTGATTTTGTAGCGAATTGGCAAACCGCTGTTTGATTAGTATTACATATGAAACAGAATGGTGTAAAATTACTTGATTTGAACAGTTTTATCTAAGATCATTGATCCATCCGATGCTGTTGTGATACCGCCAGATGTAGCTGCCTTTGTCGTACTAGTTGTGGAAGAAGCAGCATTTTTCTTAGGCAAAGCATTAACGGGAGCGAGAAGAGTGAGGAATAAGAAAACTAATAAATCTTGAGTGAAAATCATGATGAGATTAAACCAAACGCCCAGCGCTGAGAAAAGAAATGAATGGAGAAAAAGATCGAAGTAGCAAGAAAGATCGAGGTAGACTCAACCAAAATCGACAAAATGATTGAACTTCTCATCTTTTAATGTAATTATCACTTACAACGCCTAGAAATTCGGCAATATCTTAAACTGACCATCAAACTACCAAGCCAAATGCTGTGATGAATTTCATCCTAATTTTGTAATGTGAAGCATTTTGAGGTTTGACTTGGCGGTCATGATTGGGGTCAGGAGTTTGACTCGGACCAAAACTTCTTGGCACAAGGGTTGATTCGTCAAATGGAATACGACGGAAAACTTGGGGTTCAGATTTGAACTGAGGGATCAATAAGTGATCAATATGTATTGAATCTGGGGTTTGCAAGGAGAATGAAAGATTTTTAAATGCTGTAGATAACATGTGAGAATTTCAAGTGGGATTACTAACATATCATGGAGAGAACAAACAAATTCTGTCTCCGGGATAAGCTTCAGACATGGAACTCAGACCACAACAAAAACCTTTAAACACGCCTCGGAATCAGCTAAATTTCATAGGGTCCAAGAAAATGACAGTCTTGACAGTCGAGGATTGAAATACATAGTTTTGTAGTAGGAATGAATTGTTCAGATCCGTACGAATGATACCTAGGTATATATCCCAACTTCGACATCATCGTAATTGATGTGAAACCGTCTAGCGACGACGTGGTTTGAAATGAAGGGGCACCAATCGCGAATTTAATACGAATCGAAAAAAGAACAAATCCTGTTTTACGCCTGCAATATAGAAATTTGATTTCTACATGGTGTGAAAAGTTTCTGATGCCTTGATCTTCAAGAAGCTACAGACGGAAATCGTGATGATGTTTGAAGTTGATGAAAATATCTTTTATACGGTTTCTAATACTTGCACTGACAGTATATTTTTGTACATCTAGGGCGTTCCCCAACCGTGCAGAATTGAACTACAGGAGTTGGAGCAACCACTGCATCTGGTGCGGAAATGGCATTGTGAAATATGCAGCTCTACCGCTAAGAAAACTAGGTTACTCCTCTTGTAGTTTACCATCTTGTAGTACGAAGTAAAGAGCATCTAACTTCGGAATTGCATACTTTATGGCTCCACGAGTATTTTGTTGAGGTTTTGATACCCTAGATCTATTACGACATACTTGACGTAGTTCAACTATTTTCATCTATCGTAATTCTATATTCAGGAAGTATCGACAACGGCTCGCAAGACCAATGTGCTAGGCGTTGGACAGCATGGAAATTCCATGGTGGAAGTATCCGAAATTGATTGTTTGTTGGGCATTCTTCGGTCAGCCTTTTCATTCACAATGAGAACTTTGCTCTGTAGACTCGCTCGCTCGCCATGGACAATTGATTGTAAATTAAGTAATCATGGCTTTCGGATCAGGCACTCTCGGCATCTCACAGTGCGCATACGGATATGTCATTCGCTGCAAATCAAAGGTATTGTGTGGATTCCAAGTGCACCGCCACAGACTTTCATAATCATCCACTAAAACCACAATCTTGGCGTACAAACCAGCTGAAGAAACCTAGCAAATCTATACTCAAACGTCATCTAGTCAAGATAAAAGAAACCAATGATGTAAAAGTGTTATGCAAGATACTCTTGGGCATCTTAACCTAAGTAGTCGTGGTGGACTTACGAGTAACTTCGGGCGAACATCTAGAAAGGAAGCTCGTTGTAGAATTTTCGTATGGACAGTTCCAGAAAGACAACCTTACTGATCGATGCGGATACATCGGAAGACTTCTACCTATTCTTGATGTTGATTGCTTCTCATTGAGCACAAGCACCTAGACATGTTCGGATAGCCTTGATTAGTTGAATACATTCAAACTAAACTTATATGCTTGCTTCTTACGTGAGCACAAGAGCAACTGATAGTCAGGAGAAGTTCATGTGCAGCCCTGCAGTTTTCCCCATAGAACAGAATCATCGAGTACTTTAGAACGATCACCTTCCTGTGACTTCGGCCAGTAAACATCTTTGATACGATAATAACAAACTTAATTATCAAATATGTTTCACACGGGCGGCTCGGCATCTATTGAAAAGTTTACTTGAATGTTACTTCAAGGATTTACAGCCTTAAGATCCCCCTACGATACCCATAGCTTTATGAAAGGTTTGCCCAAGATTTAAACAATCGCGTCACAGTATATTAAAAGATACAGTAAAGATACCACTAGGAAAAAAGATTACTAGGCAAGACTTACATACCGTCGTCTCTTTGGAGGGGTTCGTTACTCCTATTCCGCCTAGACTCAAGGGAGAGCTTGCGAAACCACGAAACTCAAAAATTAGAATATCTATAGTTGAACAGATATTAAAACTCCATGGAACATTGGAGCTCTTGAATCTGAATAATTTCAACACGGTACGGTCGTGCGAGGAAAGTACAGTAACCCACCATACAAATCTAGTCATCGTTTGTTTGTCTTTCCAACGTTGTCGGATAAGATAGCCAGAACCCCAGTGATCATCATCACTACAAAAGATCCCGCTGCGCCACTTCTCTACACCTTCTTCGTTTATTCCGTTGCAGCATCCCCACTTCACCTGGAATAACAATAACCTTAGCAAGTTTCCCATTTACCAACAGGATACGAAAAGGATACGAAAAAGAAACAACCACAGACGAGGTGTTCCTCTAGAGCTTCAATAATACGATGGTTGATACTGGTGTGGTCAAGAGGAAGGATACTACAAAGGGTCCTCCTTTGCGCATCTTATCTCTAGGTAAAGCAAACAATCCCTTCAACCTTTCGCGCATCTTACTAAGACTATATAGATGGAGGTGGTGTACGAGGATATTCTATGCTCATAATTATTCAAGAGCTCATGCATAGAACCTATGTCGAAATCGAAGGAAAAGCGCCCCGACGAGATCAAATTCCAAAACCTGCCGACCATTTCGATTTAATATGTGGTACGGGAACAGGCGGTTTAATCGCGATTATGCTTGGCAGATTGCGATTGGATTTGGAGACTTGCAAAGAAGTTTATGTACGAATGACTAGGAAAGTTTTCGAAACGGACAAAACAATTGCAGGTATACCATATCGATCGACTTTATTCAAGGCTTCGAAGTTGGAGGAAGCGATTAAGGAGTGTGTTAGAGAACATACATTATTCGAGAAGGAAGGAAATGATGGAGATAAATCTGCGCCAGCATCCGCCTTTCCCGGAAGTCCAATTAGTCCACTCAGCCCGGCAGCGAGATCAGAACCAAGACGACATTCAAGTAATGCTAGTGTCGCAAGTTTCAGTAATAGAAATCCCGCCAGCTATCAAAATAAACCATACATGTCGTCGAGGTGGGGAAATCCTAACGCTAGATTATATGACAATCGCCCAGAAAGGACTAAGACGTATGTTACACTGCAAGCCTCAAATACGCAATAATAGCTAACATAGAACAGGGCTGTGACGGCGATCTACAAAGGTACACGCAAAGGTGGCGCGCCAGCCATACTAAGATCCTATGATTCACGAAAAGAACCATCACCTGAATACGATTGTAAAATTTGGGAAGCAGGAAGAGCAACATCAGCCACAGGACTCGCATTCAAACCTATTCAAATCGGACAATCAGTGTTTATAGACGAAGGAGCTGGACAGTATAATCCTGCGCCATTCGCTCTCGATGAAGCTACAGTCAATGAATGGCCTGGACGAGATGTCGGTGTGTTTGTTAGCATAGGAACAGGAAAGAGACCCCCAGGAAGCGATCAAAATCAACATATGTGGTATGAAGGTTTCTTGGGCGAATTCGCAGATGCAAGAAGACGATTGATAGCCAAAATCGAAGGATGCGAAATCACTCATCAATACATGAAGGAAGAACATCTAAGCAAACGAGGCGTCAATATTGAAAATTATTATCGACTAAATGTGGAAATCGGTGTGGGAGAATTTGGTATGAACGAATGGAATCGTCTCGCAGATATTAGCACCGGTACTCGAAGATATCTCGGCAAAAGTGATGTTCAAAAAATGAACATCGAAGCAGCTGTGAAATTATCAAAAATTTACAGGGCAATTCAGAGAGCTAATGGTCACATGAGAATACCATCTATGGGTAATAGAGGAGAGAGTTATAAAAACTTACCCGATGTTCCAGAAGCTAATCCATTGGCTGTGGAACTCCCAGCTGAAGTCCCTCCCTTGACACCTGTTTCCGGTAATGCAGCATGGACACCATCTCCGAGACCAAGTTATGAATCAGGACATCATGATAGTCTCGAAGTTGCTCCTCTTGGTTCTATTAAAAGTGATCCTTTTTCGCCAGTTTCGTCTCCAGATCATCAATCACCACATTCATCTCCTTTGAATCATCCAGCAGACCATGGAGATCGGTTAACAGTTAATTCTCCAACTCCGTCACAATATCGAACGGCGTCTGGATCCGATAAAATTGCAATGATGAGTTTGGATGAATATCCTAGACCAGAAATTAGAATCTCGGATCCGCCGCCAAGAAACCCAAGGAGAGTTTCAGGTCCACCTCCAGTACCACCAAAGACACCGATTAATGGGGAGAGGCCTGGAGATGCTATGCAGAGGAGACCTATTGGAAACGGAAATGGCATTGTGGCGCCTTATCCATTGGAAGATGGACCGCCGCCAGTGGTTAATATGGCAAGAAAACCTAATTATGGAAGGTAGAGAATTTGAGCGGAGTGTGATCGTTTGAATTCGTAGACTTGGTGATACGGGTGAAGATGATCAACTGGAAAGGAAATCGGCGTTCGGCTTGAGGTCTCAGAAATGAGCAAGTTATTGATTTATTATGGGTTATGATGGAGTTCGGAATCAACCGATTGGTTGTTGCGATACCTTTTTGTTTTTTATGCTTCTATGGATGAGGATGACTGGAATGAAAGCGGATGAATGGGGGGAGTACCATTTCAATGGAATAGATGCGAGTGAATTAGAGTGATACGTCCTCCTGCACGGAAACGGTTTTGATATTCAAGTAAATAGTTTTCTTCTTCTAAGGATTTAAAGATTTATTTATTATTCGAATTTATGAATTTTCTCTTGCCTCTGCAGGTTTCATGATAGATTGCTTTTGGTGCTTGTGTGAAGTGGATTTGAGGGGTGGGGGTGGGGGGATGGGGGGTCAAGCTGAAAAAGGAATTAATCTGTCTCTGTATTTTCATGTTCAATTTTTGTTGGATAGAGATGTTGGATAGAGATTTTGGATATTGAATACCTGGGATGTATATGGAGATGATACATTAGCAGTACCGATCTTGTAACGATTCGAGATATCAAACGTGGGAAGAGGGAGGAGCGGGGCTGGGAAACTGGGTATCTGCTGCTGTCCTATCTATGAGAATGATGAGATGATGGTCGATGAGGGAGTGGACTAGAATTATGGTCATGATGGGGTTAGATGGTTTTCTTTCCGTGTATGTGTGCGTGTGGTGGGTAGGTAAGATGATGTGGGTGGAGAGGTAAGAGGGGACGAGTGAGTGGGTAAGTTGTAGGTGTGAAGAAATCGATGTGATGGGGATGGTGAATTGGATGTTAGGGGTGAGAGGAAGGGGTGGGGGGGGGCGATGGAGTGATTGAGTGATGATGGTGATAAAGGTTAAAGGTAGCGAGCAAGTAGTAATTATTATGATCACTTCGCTTTCAGGTATCATCGCCATCACCATCACCATCACTATAGCTGTCGATATCCTTTTCTCTTTTTGTCACTCTCAACACTGTACATATATCCTCGTCCTCCAATCGTCGAGAACATGCGTCTCAAGACAAGAGATAGGAGTAATGGATTTATCACTCCGAAATGCTAGAGCTGCCAGGTTCTGGGTTGGCGGTTGGCTCGGTCTTAGAATTGTGTTGGTTGATATGGTTGTTAATTTGGTGCTCTGAGATATGGGATGAGGATGGGGTTTTTATAGTGTGAGATGATGGATGATTTGGGTGAGGATTTTCTGGTTAACAGATCTGCAGGGGAAGAGATAGAATGAGGTTAGCGAAAGAGAGATGCTCAGAACGAGCAGGAATATATCTCGCGTGAATTATATTGAATCGTCTGATCTAATCATCGTTGATAGGAAATTTTGTGTCTCTTCGCTTTTCGACGGTGCGTGTTCACGGTTAATCCGTGAATGTCCAATTACTTTTTCGGCATTCGACAACGATACCTGAGATCATACCGAGCTCGTTCCGCAAACTAATAGATTTCCTCTTGAAAATTGAGTTTCATCCACTTCCTCCTTCGTGTTAAGTCCGTCACTCCATCACCGGCTCAAACCCTGAGACTTCATCCGCTGCAAGAGATATAGATTGAGGAGATCCAGATCGGAAAAATGCGAGGCTTTTTCGTTAGGATTCCACGCCGAGAGAAAGTGCGAAATGTGAATCCTTCTAATCTCTGACGTCGTGCGAGTTGGTTATGGAATTGCGGGTTCGTACTAACAGGTCATCGCTTGAAAATGGCTTGGGTATACACGCGTACGCCGCTTGGTATAAAAAGCTGAGTTTATTTTATGCTTGATGTCTATATGTGATAGTAGACAATCATATGTTGCCATTCAGGGGGGTGTAATACAGCTAATTAGTTAGTGTCAAATATCTTCAATTAGTAATAAATTGACTATATTCCGGGTTGTGGGATGTATCTAGTTAACGGGATGAGCGAACTTTTGTTACCATTTTTTCTTATCTTTGTCAATTTCTGTGATTCAGACTAGATCAACTTTTACTGTCAAATAAATCTAAGCATTTTGAAAAAGAAATCGAGGCTTATATTCATGGATTCCCTAAACCAAGGATTCGGAAGTTTTCTACTTAAAGTGATGTCCACTGCACTCTGCGAATCTTTTGATATCACACCTACAGAGGATAATATTTCTGAGTGGCTTCGGTATTGTGGATTTGAGATTGGATAACAGTTTATCTTTATACTTTCATGAAGAAAGATTAGAGAATTCTTTGGTGAATACATCCAAAGAATTGGGGTTGAACTTGAGGGTGTCATACCAGGATCCGCATTCCATCATATTCTTAGGGCTCTTGGAATTAGGTAGTATAAGTATCTCGCCGAGTTCTATTTTCGCTTCTGGTCACCCTTACTTGTCCCACAATTGGTAGCAAGTCAGGAAGATAGTACCTTGAGAAATTTTGGTGGACTGGAATGGATAATGAGAACTATATAAAAGCTCTCTCGAGAAAAATAATCAAAGCAGAAATTTTAGAATCCCCGAAGAAACAGGAGTTATGAAAGCATACCGTCTATTCTTCTAGGCACATACCATACTCGTGAAGAATTGGTAGTATATTACTTGGGTCATAAGATAGTAATTGACCGATATTATGAAAATTGACTGGTATAAATTTATTAATATCATTATATCATTCCTGTTGTCATTTGAGTTGATTAGTATCAGAATTGAGACTCCTAGATGTGTAATTTTGCGTTAAAGATCTTGACTGGGAATTTGTAAGAGTGGAGGGGAGTAATTTTGGGGGACAAAATGAGTCGGATGATAGAATTGAAAGGAGTTGATGCAGATTATGATCACAAAGAATTTTGATTATTGGGCAGCAACCCTACCATAATTATTACCTTTTCATCCTCAATTGATCTCGAGTCACTCTTTTTGATCAGGATTTTCATAATAGTACATGTGAAATAATACTTAAATTCTTGGTACCGTTTTCTTACAACGCTAAATCCCATCTACGCCTATGAGCCCTATACTATATCAATCTCACACGTCGAATATATCCTATTCGCTACCTTAAGCGACCCATTTATCTGGAGATCTTCCTCTATGAAAGCATGAGTTGTCGCAAATTACGCACCACGCTCTGCAAGTGATCTTCACAATTCAAACTCTATTTTTCCACATGCTTAAATTTATTGCATGATATTCTTCGTCGTAAACTTCCTGAGCGATGAAAGTACGACAATGGGTAATGGGTGGCATGGCTGCCAATTCTTCCTGTATCCTTTATCTGCCGCTGCCCCTGAGTTAGACGACCACGAGAAAAGTCACAACAGCAGTCTGAATCCCTGTAATACACTATCATAGTGAAGAAGACTTCATGCCAATAACAATGATGTAATTCCATTTAAGCTACTTGTCTTATGCTATTTTTGGATAATATGTGGCCTTTGACTGGTTAGTGCCTTCTAGAGACCTTCTAAGGTATTTACTAAAGGAGTGGTCCCACTTTTTCACAACTACAACGCAGTGCTCATGAGCTGAGACTGCCTGTGATTCGTTATTCGTAGAAGATAGCCCGTCGTGATACTTTTTGTAGTTAATGGTGTACTAAGAGGTGCTACTGTTTTCCAGATAGCTCTACCGTTCTAATGTGAATAAAATGCTTTTCTCCCCGTACTGTCACAACCATTCTCAAGAAAATTAATCAAAGTACCGCTCAATACATTTTATCAAGACCAGGTCATCTGGTAAAATTACTAGATATATAAGAACAATATTTCAAACATTAAAGGAATCACTACACAAGCAATTCCCACCATCTCGAGATCGACCACTCTGACGTCATGACCATTCGTCGGATGCACAATCCGATGCCTGGGAGGGTGATCGAGAAAACGAGAGTCCCAAAGGATGGCAAGGATATCCAGAGACCAGGACCACGTATGGAGAGGCAAGCCCTCCGGGCTACCTTCAGACCCCCATATCCCGGAGATGATTTGGTATCGAGCGGGAAGAAGCCTGCCATGGAAGAAGACTCCTTGGACATCGATAAATTTCTCTCACTACCACCCAAAGACGATACTCCGATGATATCTGAGAAAGAACCCGAACCCGAGATTGCTCCAAAGCTCCCCGAAAACTCAAATGAAAATGATTCAGAATCAGGCATGTGTGAAGAATTGTTGGAGCAGTTTCCTCATTTCTTTCACCTAGACGAAGATCTCCCGATCCCCGAGCGTAGTCCACCGATCTTCGAAGACACAATCCAATACGATTCAACCACCGAATCCGAAAGGAATAGAGCAAAATCGGCCCTGTTAACATTTTTCTCGTCGCCGAGTAATAGGCGCGGTAAATTAAGAATAACCAAGAAAGACGGTGGTCTTGAAATTTTCAAGAACTGCTGGAGCCAGGATATGTCTGGTATACAGTTGAATGTTGATACTGTTGATGATATCATGGAAAGATTCTTTTCGGCAACTAATCAGTACGTTACTTTAATGATATCGAGGGGGATAACCCAGAGTCATGGGATCAAGATTGAATTGCAGGGTTTGAAGAAATCAGAGCCGGCCGCAGAATGCAGCAGCGTGGATATCTCTGGACTGAGCTTGGATATGTAAGAAGTAGGGGAAGACGGGTATACTGTGTCAGTGAAGAAAGATAGATCTATCTTAAAAGGCGGACTGAAGTAAAATCTGTTGATTTCCGTCAGTAAGCATGTTTGAAAAATATCAGTGGGAGGACTGCTGTACAGGAATATTTTAATCATCATTAATTTTTAATTTTAAATACATTCTTCATCCAAGGTGCATTACCCTGAGATTGAAACCATCGGTAAGAGGAAATTTGCAGATTCTGATTCTGCCATCGCCCTGTTTCTTCTCATTATCATAATTCTAGAGCATATTTGGTGGAGCATGTGTAAGTATCAAAGATGGCATGGCTTTCAATTGTGGATCGAGGGTTGGCATGTGAACACTTACAAAGACACCTTTGGGTTTTCGAGAACACCCCAAGTCCATTCCATTCGCCTGTGCGAGTTTTATCCGCGGTCTATTTCAAGGTAATAAATTTCTTTCTAATCCAAAAAGTAAGAGCACAAAATGTTCATAGCACCCATTGATTCCCCAGTCCAGCCAAAGATTCCTTCCATCCACTTTTCCTCGCGTTGCAGAATGCTTCTCAAAAGCAGCAGATATCAAAAGCTCATAATACCTAGACGCCGTATTGCCCATTGGTAACGAAGAATAAAATGTTCAAAAACAACGACCCCGCCTCATATCTCATCATCCATCTCTATTTTACACGTCCCCCTTCTTGATCCAATCTCGGTCCAGCACCTATCCCATATTCGCACCCATTTCACGTCCACTGGTAGTCGCAGTTGTAGGGTTGTCGTTATTCCAACTCAAATATGTGTGATCACCCAGTTTTCTTGGTTTTATAAGATGAGTAACGGTGAAGAGCGCACCGAGTAGGATACAGAGACCTCCAACCACGATATAGGCGATACCTAGGAAAGGATTCTTACCACCCATAACGGTACGGGTTGAAAGAACGATTGATTTAGTACCGCCATATTCGGTAACATTGAAAACTGTGGATTGTTAGGAAATAAAAATAGAACTGTGGAGTTTTAAGGCTTACGATGTGTGATGTTGACTTGATACTGTCCAGTTTTCATAGTATCGTCGTCATTTCTCTGTAACAGTTTACTAAATGTTGGCAAACCAGCCAATCTCATCCAAACTTGGAATGCTTCATCGTTCTCGAGATCAGGATGGTAATCGTCACTGTAATTGTTTGGATATCGCTCAACCCAGTTTGGAGGAACAATCACATCCGACCAATTGTATTTTGTTTGACCATATAGCTCCCTATCACTACTCCATGACACATCTGAGTTGTTCTTCATAGGATATACTACGCCACCCGAGGTGCTATTCGCGACATTTTGTAGAAATGGACTTGAGAATGTGTCATTAAACACGGAGTTTGGAGCTAGACCACAAGGATAATATGGCTTATCGACACCATTATCGTTTACAGTCGTGAGTGGCGTACAATCGCTAGAATGTATGGTACTTGCGGGAACGGCTTTTCCGGAAAGCTGATTAGAATCGAAGGACTTAGCATATCGTCGATGGTTTTGGTAGAAGTTTGTGAGCTTATAGTAGAATAGAACAGGAGGCTCCATTTCGGATTTGATTGGAAATGTGAGTCGACACTGTACAGCTGGAACAGTAGCATGTGCGACACTGCCGTTGTAGTATGTTTGGTTGATATCTTGTCTGCACCATTGCGGAGGAGTTCCCTCATATACATATGGTGTTTTGAAAAACATTTCAACATTGTCATCAGGCATAAGAGAGCCTGTATCGAGGTAGTCGGTGCAGGTTGGCGCATCCGTATGGCATTTCGAATAATCGAGTACAATTTCTTGGACCTAATCCAAAACATCAGTCATAACTTTATCAAGACAACTCCTGTAGAAATCGTCTTTCATTTACTGACCACACTACTAGCATATAACAACCCTCCACCGATTGGCGCGAAAATAATTCCGATGGCGAAGAATAATGGGAGGACGGTTTTTGGTGTTAGAATTGGTCTTGCATCGTGTCAGCTTCATTCTTGGGCAATAAATACCAAACATCACTCACTGCCATGCCTTCAATCTTTGTTGTCTAAACGCCGTATCTATTTATTACAAATTGTAATCAGTATACAATTCATGTGCGTAGCATTAAATAATGGGTCCCTCACTTGCTGGCCGTCTACTCTTCGTCTTTCCTTTGTCACCATGTAGATGAGGATCTTGCGAACTGATGGAGTCCTCATGTTGCATTGCTGGTGGTTGATCAGCCATCTTGAGATTGACTTGCGATCATGAGCCGAATATTGTGATTGATGTTATTCCTCGGCGTAAGTCGCAGAAGATTCCAAATGATTGTTGAAAGATGTCGTCGCGATTATGATGATTGATTGCGCAGTTCGAGCCCGTGGTTTCCGCAGCCGCGATTTAAATTTAGCGCACTTCAGCCACACTTTCAAAACGTTCAGCCACATCAAGGAGGCAGCAGAGGCGAGGAAAGGAGATGAGGACATGAAGCTGTAAAAAACGATGATATACAATCAATTCTGAAAAGAGTCATTAACCATCTGTCGAAACTGTTTGGTGCAGTTAAGCGCCCATCGTGATGTCAAAATTTATTTCATTATATTTATATCAGCTCTAAGGCTCATAGCAGTGCTGTGTATTGAGCAATATTCCCAGCCGGCCCCAAAAAGAGTCGTTACAGATGCTTGGCATAATGAATTGAGAACCCGACAACGCTATTTGGATATATCTATGCTCCCATAAAACTCCCATCCCATCCCGCAAGTACTCCTCAATTGGATCACAAGATCTTGTATAATCATTTACTCGTCTTTGAACAACCACGCACCTCCCGGCCTCATAGCTTCCGCATATCTTTCGGCTACCTTTTCTCGCTCTATTTCCTTTTGCTTCTTCTTGAATGCCTCATCTTCTTGCGTGGTAGGAAAATCAGCCTCCCAGAATCCAGGTGGTGTACTTCTCCTCGGGACAACAGATTTATGCTTCCCCATTGTGTTGGATGCTTTCCATTTTCTAGCTTGTGCTAAACTATCCTTTCTTTCTTCTTTTCCCATCGTCCAAATCTTATGCTTGTTGTCACCTAAGTACTCTTCAAGAAGTGCATCTTCCTCTGCCTTTTGTGAAGTTGTAGGGTTTTCCCTCACGGGATACAAAGCTTGCGCTAAAGCACCAAATTGCTTCCCGCAACATTCTTCTCTAACACAACCCGGAAGACATTGACGATCCTTACCACGAACTACTTCTGTGTATGCATAATCGTAACCTTGATTGAAGTGTGGATTGATTTTGAAGTGATCAAGTTTTAACGCAGTCACAGGTCGTAATCGATAAGGCTCTCGTTCGGGATCATCTGAGTCAAGATCTCGCCCAACTCCTCTTCTTGATCTTCCCTTACTTGTTGTCGGTGTCTTGGACTTTCCTGGCCTTACTTTCGGAGTCAGTTCGGTATGCGATTCAATTGCTTCGCGAAGTGTTTCTGTCGAGCCTCGTCTTGAACCTCTCAGTGAAGGTCTAGAAATATCTCTCACAATACCAGCTCGAGGAAGGCCAGTGTGCTTTTTGGCGATTTCAGACCCTTCATCGCTTACCGATGCTCTCCGTTCTGGTCCGGAAGTCTCTTTCTTGACAACACTCCGAGGACGGCTGGAAGCTCTTTTGATAAGTACATTCCCTTCGTCGCTTATGATCGCTTTTCTTCCTGGCACCGGAGTATCATCCTGTATTTCGAGATCTTCACGATGCTTTTGCAAGTGTGGAGTAGTAGCTAGGGTCTTGTGTTTGTCGAGGCGATTCGTCATTATCTCTGTCGATAACTTGGACGGCGGGAGTATTACCGATCGTACTTCTGGGGCTACAGATTGCGGTGTTGGATAGGCGGTGATTTTCGTCGGCGGAGAGCTTGAAAGAAGATTATCAAGAAGGTCAGCGGAATGAATGCGTCCTTTCCCGGCAGCCACGGGGGTTTTTGCGGGACTGGTTGACTCTCCATCTTCGAGTATTTCCTCCACTCCTCGAACGCTAGCACTTGGGTTTCGTTGCCGTTTAGTCGGTAGATTAGGGTCCACTGTATTTGGAAGAATGCGGTTGGTACTGAGTGGTCGTAGAGGTTTGCCAACTGAGCTTTTACCTCTCTTACTCGCTGGCGTAATCATTGTCCTTCCTGGCTGCCCAATGGTGGCAGGTGTAGGGACTTGGTTTTGCTCGTTCATATTGCCATCTAGTAACAACTCATCACTCACCGCGTTCTCAACTCGGTTCTCAACATCTTCAACGTATGGTATGAATGCTCGGCGCCGCTTTCTTGGTGTGACAACCCTGTCACCAGTGTCATCTAAATCCAGACTTTCGCTTGCATGGAGAATTCTAGCTGTGATAGGGCTACTTGACTCAAGTTCCTCTAACTTAACCTTAGGTAACGGCGTTCGTTGTGATTCACGCTCGTTCCCTTTCCTTTTCCTTTTCCTCACCGGACGAGCAGATATAAACTCTGGGACATCGTCGGATGATGGTATCTTGGGCGTCTCTATGTTTGACTCACCGACAGTAGCAATCACCCTACTACCAGATGGTGAGGATTCTGGATCTTGAGTAGAACTCGAATGACATGGTTCAATAGGCAGAAACTGAGTTTCTTCGGCGCTAGTCACACGCTGGGATCTTCGCACATGCCTCGGAAGTTGCGGGGATTCATGAACTACTTCCTCATTTCGATCAAGTTCATGGCCAGTATCATCCACATCGGACTGTAGTTTATTATCATTCGATGGAAGATCTTTTGTAGGACTCGTTACACGAACTTCGGTCGGCTGAAGAGCGACATCAACATGTTCTTGGTTGTTAGGTGTCGTAAGCTTTCTTCCTTCCAAATCTTGCGACTTCGACCTCGACTTCCGGGTTCTTTGCGCTTGTACTTCAGTTCCATCAACTTTGTTCGTATGTGATATATGCAGCTCGTTGTTCCACGCTTCCCATCGACGTAATTGCGCATTCTTATCTCGCAGAATTTCGGCATACTTATCTGCTCTTTCCTTCTGCATCAACCATTGTTCCTTGATGCGCTTGCGCTCGTTGTCGAGTTCCCTATAATTTGATTGCCGGCCCATCGAAGGTACTTTTCCGTTGTCAAATGAACTTGATCTCTCATTATCGGTACTAGCAAGCTCGGCATCTCTTGCTCGTATGGCCGCGTTGCCTAATTCCATCGATAACTTTTTGTTCTGATCCTCAAGATCTTCCACCCTCGAAGTCACATTCTGATATTTCTTTAATTCTTCCCGAAGATGCCTGTTCTCATCTTCAAGTTTATCTGCCCTGGTTGCCGCATTCTGGTTCGACCGAAGCTCCTCTTTGAGCCTTGACACATCTTCCTCCAGAATCTTAATCCTCACTCCCTTCTCATGTAACGAATTCTCGTTCGATCTGATCTGCGCAGCATGTTTTTCATTATCAATTTCAAAAGAGTTTGCTTTCAAACGTAACTCTTCCAATTCATCCTTTCGAATAATAGTATTATCTCCGTTCACAAGTTCTGCGAGGTAAACATGGTCAGCAAACAATCCCAATCAATCAAAAGATTAACCTTACCATTGTCAAGATTCTGCTCGATATTATTGCAGATGTTAGTCAATTGCTCAAATAATTCGCGTCTGCCATTCCTCCATTGCTCCATTTCTACAGTTGATGCTGAATTTTGTGTTCATCGCGGTTGTGAAGTGAAGTGTTGAAGTGGCGCGTCGCGTTGTCAAATTACTTTGACGTCAGTGATTTTGGCGTGGCACGGGCTCGGTCAAGTCACTGTACAGGTAGGCAGAACCCAACTTCACTCCCGAGACCCCGATATTGTGGTAATTCATTCAACACAAACAAACACGATTGATCCGCAGAGAATACAATTCTTTATTTGCAGTACTTAAATCCAAATATCCACTTGTTTTTGTTATGCATTTATCGCAGTATAATGGTTTCACGACACACTCTTAGATCATCTCGCAAATGAATGGAACTTCTTGCTCACACTTTTGTGCGTAAGAATTGATGGATTTGTTGGAGAAGCTGCCCCTCCACCGAGTCACTATGGTTCTTCGCTGGATAAGATTCACCGGCCTTATATCAGTGCCTCAATTCGAAACGAAAAGAACTGGCTGTTTCGTCAATTTTCAGGATGAGCATACCGGCGAAGGCAGTCATAAAAATGGCTGGGTGGAGAAGGGTGAGGCAGTCTTGTGTCTGTGTTACAATTAGTAGATTGGCATACAGAAGAAGTTCTGAACTTAAGAAGCCTATGTCTCTCGGGTCTTGCTAGGTCTCCATCACTGTCTCCAGGTTTGACTTGAGACCAAACCGAGCCTGAAGGTTCGTTGCTGAGAAGTGATTCCGCAACCCTCAAGCCTACCATCACTCTTTTATGCTCCCGCTTTCGTTGCTAAGACCATGCGAGCATGTATTGAGCACCTTTTTATCAAGTGAACAAATTTTTAAAGTCTTGCAAATCCAAGTTTTGTTGGTACAAGTGCCATGGAGATGAGATATTCCGCGTAGTCTGTTAGCCCTGGTCTTCTTGTGTACCCAAAAGTGCTGGTTCCAAAGCTACCATGCGAGCACATCAAGCACTTTTCTTAAGAAGCTCTGGTACTTCCATCTCATTCCATTGTCTCAGGCGAGTGTGAACTCCGCGTAGGGCTTTGAGTATCTTTTTAACATGCGAGTGATTCATGTGATTTGGGCTGATTAGCGAGAATTTTCCAACTTGCACTGCTGTGTGGAACTGTGATTCTAAATCTCTTTGGGTCTAATTAACAACTATTAACTACGGTAACGCTCTATTTTGCAATTCGAACTTAATTTTTAGATCAGGAAGAGCGTAGGACTTATTGCTCGGGCGTGGCTGCGTAGGAAAAAATCTCAATGGCTCAGGGCTATTGCTACAACTCGTCGGGAACCTCCCATTGTAGCACATTTACCACATAATCTTCCTTTTCTCTTGTCATAATAACCAAAAAACAAAGTCCTTAAATTCTATTTGTTCGGCCTTCCCTGTTCTTTTCATCAGGTCAAACAACATACAGTACACCAGTGGGTGCACAGACTCACGGGATATTCGAGAAGAAAGCACAATTTCACACCAAAAAGAGCGGTTTTAAAAATTCAATCAAAATTTCAAATTATTGTTGAATTTCTTCAAAATCAAAATATATTATTTTTAAGCATAAACATTCTATATGTAATAAAACTTGAATCAAAAGAATTAAAATTGAAGTTCTGATAATAGAATATATAATCTCCCACCAAAATATTTGGTGAGAAAGTGTACTGTTGAATTTTTGAATGGCCGATTGCAACAGAGTTCCTCTGGTACGCACATATTCGTAAATTTCGGTAGAACTTTAAGATGCCATGTAGTCAGAGCTCTCCATCTTTCTCTGCTGAGGTGGGTGATTATTTTATTTCAGCTAGATAGCGAAAGACTGAGATTTGCGGCAGGAATTTCAAACTCCTGAAAGAATGAATTCGTATTAACCCGTACGACACTTTTCTCTTGTATTCTTGCCCAGGTGTTAAGGTGGATCTTCTTCCATAATTACATGTTTACTTTGTGTTTTGATGTTCACGGATTGCATATGTTATTCCATTCTGGTGTGGTAAACGAGTGATGATTATTATACGATGCTTCAAATGATCACAACTGGCATCAAGGCTGCAATCTGAGTCTAATATACAGAAACCCGCCTCGAGAATCGAGATCAGTCATTAAATTTCGCCAAGTCCAACAATTCTACCCTTTTGCAACAGATAATGAATAAATTCCCTGTAATTGACTTATTCATTAATAAGTAGTGGACGTTGGTTCTGATGCCGTCAGGATTTGACCTCTCATCACCAACTCTGAGACAAGAACGAGGGACTGCAAGCTTACAGTAGCAGTTGTTACTATCTCTTTTGTTGTCAAAACCTCTAGGCAAGCTCCATTTGACGCAGGTGTACATTTTGCAGAGGTAGTTGAAGTAAGTGTGATGTTTTTCACTCTGGTCTGAAGGCTGGTAGTGTCAGGTAAGCTGAGTGGTGAGAGATTAACGGCACAATCTGCTCCAAATGCATCAGTCCCCCATTCAGTGGCTGAAAATAACTTGCACCATTGCTGTCCGGTCGTCTCGTTTGTATTGATTGTAACAGCATAACACGAGTCATTGGCATCATCCTTGCTGCTGTTGGACCCTCCTGCATTGTGATCTAAACATGCTTCCATGCAACCATTCATGTTTGCCATAGAATCAGGTATTGCAAACTGCATAAGACGTACACTCGAAGCTACATCGAAAGTTCGATTACAAAATAGTCGGAAGTTGGTGGGTACTGTATCCTGATGTGACGTTACTAGGAGTATAGAGTTGTTGTTTGCCCCCGAATCAATCTGGCATGGCGATGTAATGTTCAAGCGCTCTGTGTGGTTATGCCTAGTATCCATAGGTTAGCGATAGTTGCCCAAAACATTACAAATAATTCTTACTTTGGATGATTATTTTTGTTCTTATCTTTCATGCCGCTGGCGATTCCGCCCCAATTCCAGCAGCCAGAAGAGCCACGATGACTACCATAAGGACCCAGAACCACATGACGCTCACTCCCAAGATTCTACGATAACTTCTTAGGAATTGTCGGTTTCCTTCCAGCTCCGCCACAATTTCTCGCTGTATGAGCGCCGCCTCGTGTTTTGTTTGTGCCTCCCAATCCACCTGCAGCCCATCCTGATGGCTGATAGGTCTCGGACGCCCAACCTCAAGACCAGCTTCGGGCGGAACAGGAATTGGTGACTCCATCATCCTACTCGATTTCTCAGACATTGTCGATCAATTGATACTATAAAGAAAGCATATATAAGAGAGTATGGAAGTTCCTAAGTAGAAGAAAAGTGAAAAACCAAGGCGGACGAAGTGCGGAGAAGTAGCTGAGTACTAATGAAGAATTATCGAGTGCCATAACTCAGTAATGTGTAAGTACTATGTGACAGTGGGAGCCTGGGAAAGTAGCAACATGAGGCACAGTGAGTAAGTTATTTATACTCGAGGGGTGTGCTACTCCTTCAATACTGGTGTTGGAATTCTTTCGTACCTGCAGCAGAAAAAATGATGCGAGTGGTGGAAAGCGAAAGAAGGTTTGGATAATGTGCTCTTTAAGTGAAATAGAACTTATGAAAGCCGGTTTCCCTGGTTTCGCTGATGAATATTAATGAATGGATGTATGGTAGGGCCGGGCCGCAATCCTACAGGTTCTTCAATATTATGTCACAGTTCGCGAGGGGGTTGTAGAAATGGCATAATTATCGTGAAAGATTTGTTGGGGTGATTTCTTTACATTTTGCAGAAAACCTTCCAATAACATAACTTGCATCAATCAATCTCTTAGCCAATTAAAATTTCAAGTCCGGATACGCGGACTATACCGCAATGATTATGTTAGCTACTTATATTGCAGTAGTCTGGTCTTCATTCAAAAGGTCGCTTCGGCAAGTCACGCCGCACACCTCAAACACCAACACGAAGGATTCGCTGCAACCCTACATAACTGCCAGTGCAACCACCCAAGTACTTATTTAGAACTTGGAAGAATAACTTCATCGCTCCAAAAGGAAATCTTCGATTATAGTCCGTTGCGTGCCTCAGTTCATGCAAGGTACCGTCACACCCAAATGTAACATTGAGCTTCACTGTTAGAAAATAGTCTGATTGGTCTTCCTTCTATTGATGAAAAAGCATAAAAAAATTTCATGGTCAAAAATTTACAAATTCAACTATGACACGGCCCTCAAACAGTCCGACGTACGGCGAAAGTCTGATACAAATTCCAAGGAAATGGAAGGCATATTGTGATTGTACTCGGCCGTTCATGGAACTCAAAGGTTAAAGGTCTTCTTTCAATGTCCTCTACGTATAATAAGAGCTCATCTCATTGATACGTAGTATATCGTATAAAGCTCCAAGAGGAAATGTAGGAATGCTATCGAACACCTGTGTGGGCCACATCGTTTACATCACAAGCCAAGTGAATAACTTCATCTTTCTCAATGCAATATTTCTAGACTGACTGAATCAACTTCCGATCATAACACCAACTATCAGAGAGCTACTAAGAATACCTAGGTATATTATTTTGCGTCTTAAATTCTTCCTCTCTTGGTTTTGTGGTTGCTGAAAAAGTCTTTATTTCTGCGAAAGAAAAATAATCTTGGACGTGGGTAATTATCCCCATTCTAAATGATTTCAACCTTGATAAATACCATCGGAGCACACTCTTTTCATAAATAAAACTTCAATTGATTGATTATTCGCTCTAAAAATATCACTAAAGAGTAATATAAGATATCTAGAATATTAGTGACCTACAAATATTTTTAAGTGATTATGCTGTGACCTGGCCGTATTTCTTGATCTCCAACAGACCAGAAGTCTCTCGCCACATGTGAAGCGTGAATGTACTGATATCCTAGAACACAAATTTGAGTAACTACTACGGATTGTAGCTTCCTTCAGAATCTCCACTCAAGATCTTAGGTTGCATATCTACAACTCACGTGTGCCTTGATAATGCGAAATTTACAGGGTTTCGAGACTAGGTACTGTCTATCAGGGTACTTCAACCTGAAAAATGGAACCAAATGTTGCACGTCTGAATTAAAACCCACGTGCGATAGTGTCTGCTAGAATGTGAAGGTCTAGTGTTGCACGTCTACAGAAAAGCGGCATGGAATTTCTCGTTGGACGAGGGTAAAATGTTCCACCACATTTATATCTGCTGGCCTGCAAACATTCTAAAAACGGCACCACTGGGCCGAGCTTAGATATATGAATATCCCATGTCCGATTCAGGCCATACACAGGGCCAATGATGCAATCTTGATTCGTACCCATAAAAATAAGAGTTCTAGACTACCCGTGGACTCTCCAACTTCCTATCTTTGATTTCATCTCTTCCCGTTTCCTCAATAAGCCATTCCTTGTATCGGCCAATTGAAAGAGTTAAAATGCGGCAACTTTACATGTAATAATTTTTAGTGTTTTGACTGAACTTCTGACAAGATATGCTAGTCTACTTCTTGCGAATTCAGGTGACTCATTTAGATAATGTTGCATGTCTGATGCGTTTCGGATTTCTAAAGATAGCCAGTAAGAAACGAACAACCTATTTTTTTCGCTTCTTGAAGTACAGGGTGGAAACTAGCTTTAATCCTGCACTTTATATCACATGCTGTGGACATTCACTTGTTCTACAATCAAAGCATTTTGCATATCTCAATCTCTGGCTCTAGAGCTTGCCGCTTTGCCAACCTTGATATGAGATGAAACCACGGCATTTCCAGTGATACCATTGTCATCAAAGGTTCTGTCTTAAAAACCTTTAGTCATATATTTTAAGAATGTTATTTTTATTGCAAATCTTTATATGTAAGATGTCGGTCTATGGGTATCAGCTAATGGATACTTCCTTTCCTGACTTTCACTTTATCGGACAGAAAACCTACATGAGATCAAAGCTTTAAATTGCAGGTTAAGTTGATCATCATAGCAACTTATTCAGCTTTATTGCATATCTTATGATCTGGTGGCTTAGAATCAAAGCCTGGAAGGTAATCATTTTTTATGATGAACTCTCAAATTCACTTTCATTGTAAACACCGTGATTGAGATTTCTCTTTATGGGGTTTTCAGCACCCAGATAACCAGAAGAACCTTTCATCTCAACATTTAAAATCTTTTTGAACAAGTATCATTTATGATGAGACATCCACAACATCTTACAGATGACTTTTTCTACATAGTTGGAGGCATTATTCATTCATCAGGGGTTGAAGCGACTTTACGCGACAGACGCTCGGACTCTTGTGTTCTTATTTTGAGAAAAATATCTATAATATAACAATCATCAACAAAGCAACATTGGTTTTTTCCGAGAATTGTTGTTGTCCTGCCGCTAAAATTTGACTCCAATGAAAGCAGTCTATATGACACTAAGTTCAACACAGCGCTAGAATTCGAGAAAGAGCGGGAAGTAAACAAAAGACAGGTCATGTAGGGCCATCCGAGGTATATGAATTGCATGCGGAGTGGCCCATACAGGTATTCCAATATTACCATCATGTAGATAGCCAAGTTGAATTATATTTAACGTGCTCAATCGTAACTTCGACATGTTCGCGGATGCCGCGATTTCGTGCTTCTACATACTTTCTGTCCCCTCGCACATCACAATTATAAATATACCACAAATATGTCAATCAAGCTTTCTGTTGGACCTTAAGATTGAAAAATGAAGTCTTGATGAGCATGAGAGATTGAGTAAATTGGCACGAAACAGCTGACAATATGCCAGTTCTGAGTTCTGAGAACATACTTCAGGTCCTTCCAAACACAGGAAGCTGGCCCAATATGATTTTAAAAAAGCCTGTAGTGGATGTTCCAAACTGAACAATAACTTATCTTTCATAAATATGGCGGGATGGACTGTATATAGAGCCACCATCTTTGCTATACTACTTGAGGATACAGTTTGGTAGTAAAAGTTCTGATTGATTGCCAACCATTCTGCCGCGGAATAAATGGTTAAAAGCAGTCATACCGCTTTAAGATATGCAACAGCACAGGAGAAAGTCACGATAATCTTTTCCTATTGGCTTATATATTATTTCTAGCACTTCCTTCTGCGGTCGGGCTAGATTTAGGATTCATCCAATGATAGCCGCGCCATCTTGAGATATGCAACATTCAAAGTCACGAGTACCCTCTATCATTAGCTATTCTAAAGTTCTAACTTCTACAGGCAAAGCCGCTACAGATGCTGCCGGATTACTTTGAAGTGTGCAGAGTGACTGATTTTCCATATTAGAATAGAAATTATTCTTTTCAGCGGAGAATTATAAGCCTCGGATCGAAAGATAGATACATTAATCATTATTCACATTGACGGTATTATCAAAGATCCCAATCGATTTGACTATAGATGATATGGGCGGTAACAACAGGTTAGAAAAACTAAGATCACCAGAAAATTCTATGAATATTGTCAGGAACAAGTTGGAAATGAGTTGGGAAATCTCCTGAGAGTTGAAAGATGAAGTTATTCGTGGGTTCCTGGAACGCACAAGTTTGAATCTCTGTGGGAAGTTTTCCATTTATTGTAGGGTATAATTAGGTACCGAGTTTAGATGCGTGTTTATTCCACGTGGGCCTAGTTTTTTTTAAAAAATTGGAATAGCCAAGAGTAAAATATTAGAAGATTTAACTGATACAGGAGTAAAGAGACGGAGAGAAGGCGCGATTTCCCGCTCTTGTTATGCAACTTTTCGTTTCTGCCATTACGAAGCTTGTTTTTGAAGAATCCCACCGCTTTACGACATGCAACAAGAATGTTAGATTAGGGGAGCTACCTAGCCTGTTAGGTTAATCTCCATTATGCCAAAGTCTCCAACTATAAAATATCCCCACCGCTTTATGACATGCAACATTTGAATCTAGATTTCCGGATCACCCCTTCTATTGGTCACAACCTTCCCCTTCTCTCGTGATCGAAAGAGTAGAATCCATGATATTGCCAGAACATACGTTGATCCACCGCTTTACGACATGCAACATAACAATTAAAAAAGGATTTCACTCTCAATCTATTGGTCCAAGTCCAAGTCCATGGGTGATCTACTTTTGGTGACTTTACTTCCACCGCTTTGCGATGTGCAACAAAAATAACCCTATCTCCTCGTTGCGCAACAGCACAGCTTCTTCTTTTACGACTTTTGTTAATTCGTAACCTCAATCAGGGGTTTTTAGGTGATAATTGAGTAAGTTTTGGTTTCTATGGGCTGGTTCATACCCCTAAAAACTTTACACATTATATTTATAGAATTACAGATTTTCTTGCACTTTTACACGCACTATCAGAAAATCACAACATTTTCTATAGAGAGAAATTTTATCCTACCTGCTACTATATGCCCAGTTTGGTGATTTAAATTGAAGTTTCATCTAGTTCTCTTATAAGCAAACATCAAATCTGACATTGACCACTCGAAGCGAGAATATCCCCTTTAATTGATTGCCCTAGGACCTTTCACTAGCATCTAGAATACATATCATGACAATAAACGTCAAATTATTATGCTTTCCACCTTAAACTTGGAAAGCCACACTGACAATTTACACAACCTGGAACCGGAATAATTAACTACATTAATTCTTTCATAAAGCAGATCAAATAATTTTTGCACTTCGCCTCCAAATGTTGCATTTATAAGATTTTACGAAAAACGTCGCAGGTAAGAAAGATATCAAAACAAAAATGAATAAAGAAGAACCTTCAAATCATCCACCCATTAAAAACTCTCGCCAACAGAAAATACACGAACTGTTTAAAGGAAGCTTCCAAAAATCCAGAGTTGTACCTAATCATGTTTTATTTCCAGAGGAGGATATTTACGTCGGCAAAATATTAACCCTCGCCAAGAAATTAATCTTAGCCAATGATAGCTTCGTCAACTTTGACCGTCTCAGTCTACAGCCACAGTACCTAATGCCATAACGAGCTTACTAACACTCGTATTCTCAAGCAAATAAGGTTGAGATTGGAATGATAAAAACTACATACAACGAAACCCCGGAGATGCTAAATTGACACTCGGACTTCAGCGTTTCTAGGCATAGGTAGGTAAACATGAAAGGCGGGACTTGCCGTTCAGTGTATAGCCTCAACTCGGTATTAATAATTCTACACCTCTTCCACCTCTTCCACCTCTACAATCTGAATGTTCACAACGTCCACCTTGGTAAGCAACCGAGGCAACACACTGGTATCGATATCATCATCTTTCGAGAAAACCACGCCCATCGGGAATTTTCCCCCTCTTCAAGAATATCGTGGTTTACACGGGGAAAACTTTACTTTGTGGGGATCATCCGTGCTTTGAATCTATGCAGGGGGGCGATGGGTCGATGATCTGCGAACGGGTTCATCGATTAGTACTCCATACTAACAACTAACAGATACACACACGCACGAACCTCTCCTTGATTTCTTGATGGTTTGGCAATACATTTGGAATTCCGGGATCGTGTAACGGAAATGTAACGGGGATTTTCCAGTCCAATGATGAAATGCCCGTTCCAAGAATAGGATTGAAAAGAAATGTCTTAAAGCCCGGATGTCCATAAATCTTTCTCTGTGCATCGCGTGTTCCCTGGCGCTTTGCTTTAATTTTGGGGTGCATATGAAGATCTTACATTCGCTATCGATAATAATATGTAAGATATCAGATCATCAGAATTTGATTCGGAATGACGGAAAGTCATGCATGGCAGCTATATGTAGCTGTGTGTGTTTGTTACCCTTTGGCATTTATCGGGGTGTTATTAAGAACTTATGTCAGGTACTTTATGCAGAAGGTTATGGGATGGGATGATTGGTTGATGATACTCAGTTTGGTGTGTAGACATACCATTGTTTCAATTGAATCGAAGAATTGATAGCTAATTGAATATGGAATAATAGGCCGTTTATACCATGTACACGAGTTTCGTTTTAACAGGATTACACTATGGAACCGGACGACATCAAGTGGATCTGGAGGAAAGTGATTTCCTATGGGCAATTAGAGTAAGTCCTTCCCCATCTGGAACATGAACCATTATTCAAGTCGCAATCTGACTAACTTTTTAAAAGTACTGGTATTTCAGCGAATGGGCTTATGTCGTGGCGATGACTATAATAAAAACTGCCATCGCTCTTTTCTACCTCCGAATTATGGTTATCCCCTGGCATCGAGTCGCTGTAAAAGTCATTATGTGGATTGTGCTACTCTTCGGCTTTGTATATTTCTGGTGCGTGGTTATACAATGCTGGCCTATACCTTACATTTGGGAACGATACGCCACGACTCTTGATAGAAGCACGGGAAATTGTTTGCCTAGAGGAATCGTTTTGGGTGGAACGTATTTGCATAGTATTATAAGTGCTGGAAGTGATTGGGCATTGGCTTTACTGCCAATTGTCATGTTGTGGAATGTGCAGATGCCAACTGGTATAAAACTTATCGTCGGGGGAATTGTCGCGTGTGGTGTTATGTGCGTTAATCCTTCTCTGTCTTGCCTTCTCTACTTCCTACAATCGTACCTTGTGAAAAAAGAGCTAACGCCATATGTCGTACAGTGCTAGCACAGCAACCATCATTCGTATTCCCACTGTTTCAACTATATTGGATCGTGAGGATTTCCTTTTCAAAAGCATCCCCCTAGCCGTTTGGTCGACCGTTGAACCTGGAATGGCTATATTCGCCGCGTCTCTCGCTACTCTCCGACCACTACTTCGAAGAATCTTCCCCAATCATTTCCGAAACGCAGCAATTCCATCACTACCATCATTGAGAATCCCCACAAATCTGGCGAGGGAGGTAGAACCGTCAGATGATGTTGAGATGGGAACTAACACGGCATGCTACAGCGAGCCAAGACCTGGGCAGACTTCAGAAGAAAGCCTGGAGACTATACAAATTCATTTGGATGACCGCATTGAGCTCGGTAGAAGTACAAGTAAATCAATGGAAATTTACGAGGAGTCTCCAAGTCTTGATTCGAGTTCAGAGGGGAGTGATGAAGAAATGATGGAATTGTCGCATACATCTCGGGGACCATCTCTACGTCTCGCACCATTAGTTTTCTCTCCAACATGTCTCTCGCACACAATTCCTTCGCCATCAACACTTTCACCTTCACATGTCGCGTCGTGTATGAGGGACAGTCAGTACAATAGGAATTCGAAGGTAGTCATACCGTCTTCACCTATTTGAAGCTATTTTGAAATCTTTACACAATCAAAAGTATAAAAGCGGAGTATGAGTAGACTCCTGCACTCAATCATATACGCAATGTGATCTAGGATTGATGTCTGGGTATCGGACATGGATGAAATATCAGACGGGTCCCAAATCAATCGAAAGACACTCCAACGAGATGCCAAACGCTGGTTTGAATACCTTTAATCACTGAAGACACAACAAAGGTGTTGAACCTAAATTGAGAATCAAAGGTGAGAATGCAAGAGGAGCAAATAAAAGCAGGATTCCGTCTTCCACACAACGCAGATGAATCAACGGGAGACCCTTTCTGCAGCACGCCAATCACTATCTGCGGATTCCATGCTCACATTCTAATTTCATCTCGCCTAATCTTAGTAGAGCACATCGGTATTTTTACATCATTTCGGTTTGAAGGACAATAGCATCAGACTGACAGATCGATCCTGCAAAATGGACATGGCCTTTGCGGGTTGAGGTGGAAGATGGTGTAAACGCAATAGGTTGAAGAGAGAAAGAGCATGATTGGTGGGGCTCAATGGTGTAATGAAAAGTGTTCGGAGTAAGAAAAGAACACATATACGGCATGATGTTGGGATATTGTCGAAATTTCGCCGCTTAAGGCTCACTCCTTGGGGGTGGGGTTGCAATAGCAAGAGCCGAGGCCTGAACTTCTTTAATCCTTGATGATTAAATCTGTATCAAGTTACCAAACGTATTAACATGAAAAGAATTAATAAAATTGTTTCCAAGAGAACAGTTGTAACATATTGAGACGCAAGATCGTTGGCTATGCTACCAACCCCGCATATCCAAATTGTACCGAGGACAATTGTCTAGTACACGTTGAAGGTCCAAGTGAAAAGCAAACTGGGTGGCAATCACTAGCACAACGAACGAGCGTTTGTATCACTTCATTCCCATTTACTTATCAAGTGACTTATATGGTATCATACCAAGAGTAACGGCGCTCAATTGGGGCGTTTACAAGAAGAAATCCTTCAAGCTATCACTCATCCCATTTGTTTCACCCTTCCTCCCTTTCTCCAGTATGGCAAGTGCCTCTTCGACTGGAACTCTCACAGTCTTGACATCATCGACAGGCAGATCGAGTAGTTCATCTCGAGTTCGGTCCCACAAGTTCCCATCCCATTTTCTACGGACAAGCAACAACCCGGTCTTAGTCATATCATCACCATCTACACAGATGAAAAACTCCTTATCAAGACCCTCAATGAAACGCTTTTCACGACAGAACCAAGGAAATCGTTTCACAGCCTCATCATAACTCCATTTAATCTGCTCCAGACCATGACTTGGCCGCTTGATCACTTGCGGCGCATAAACCAATCTCTCCTCTCCAGGGCTCCTTTTAGCGGCCTCAGAATCAATCGAGTCAGCACAAAAGCCAAGCTCTTTTCCATGTGTGTTGTACTGGAAGACGATGAAGACTGGTTGCTCGCGCACACTTTCCGATGGCCAGTCAGCATCACCATTAGCCAAAATTAGGAAACGTGTCTGAAGACCATCGTTGCAAGAATACGGAATTCGGATGTGCGGAGGGGTAGTAAATGTTCCTTTCCCAATGCCGCGCAAGTTTCTGTTTCCTGTTGTTTCCGAGTGACTTCCATCCCACGATGGTAATTTAGCCATCAACATACCGTTTTCATCAGGATTTGCCGTGTCGATAACCAGGATGTGAGTTTTTTGCAGCCATCTGTTCTTCGAACAGCGCTGGGGATGAAGGATAGCGGCCTGTTGGATGAGGTCACGAGTAGATGTTGGGCTGGAGGTAGAAAATGGAGGCGTGAGTTTGGCTTGAACGCGGCAGGCCAAGTCCTCTAGCGACTTATGTTTAAACCCTGGCTCCAGCTTGGCAACAACATCTTCTTCGAGTAAGCCTGAGTGGATATAAATGGGAATGTAGTAACCTAGAGGGATATCCTTGATTGGTGCTGGTGGACCATCGTCTTTATTAACATCATCGTCGTTCTTATTTTTGTCAGTTTTATCGTCTTCATCATCTCCTTCGTCGGAATGTAGCCCAGTGAAATCTTTCAATTCGTCCCAACCCATATTCGCAATTTGTAGGTTTGCGATATTTAAGCCGGAATCAGCAGCTTTGGTACGAAAGGAATCAACATTACAATTAGAGTCCTCGGCATCCATCTTGTTCAGTGTGACTAGTATGACACCTTTGCTTCTCCAGTCTTTTTTGACAACGGCGATAAAGTAAAAAGGCTCAAATATATTTTGTGCTGCCAAATCGATGTGATAATCAAATGCAGCACGCAAAGGTTGGCCGACAAATCGCGATTGTGGAGCGAGACGAACGGAAGTGCCCCGATCCCTCTCACACTCGACGCACTTACTTTCGCACTCGCGTTGGCACTCTTCAAGCTCTGTATCGGTCAAATCGACGAGAGTGTACAAGGCCGTTGGAGGTAAGTTAAGTGTGTGCTCACGATAACGTGCCATTGACGGCGCCGTTAATGGTAGCGAAAGATCTGGCTCATTGGACATGGCGATTTGAGTTTTGATCGAATGGTGGCAACGGTGATTGTTTGAGGTTTGAAATAGTATTTGCTACAGGAAATCGTTAAGTAAACAGGTAGAATTGGCTTGATGGCTTGGAAAAAGCTAAGGGGGCATGGTGTAAAGTGAAACTGCTTAAAGTTTTGTTTATCTTCGATGCCCTGCAATTACCTAGTACCTTCATAACAAATGTGTCAGAGTATGTAGTTGCCCTACCTAAACAGGTAAATATCACAATTACATAAGCGATCGCTTTAAATGTGTAATCACTGACGTCAATTGAACCAGTCAGCGTAATATTTCGAATCCTTTGCGGCACGATAGGCACATCTTACAACCAAATGTTAACGGTTCTTCAAACGAGTCCCAATTAATAAGACGATAGCGATTAGCGGTAATATACGCTGTGTTTCTAAAACACATTGCGGTAAATTTGTATAATATGAGTTATCAAGATGTGAGATAATGTCGTCATTTACCACTTATTTCACTTATCCGCAAGACATTAGGATTCATGCCTTCAGCAGTCACATACGTGACGACTTATGATATTTTTTGGATCGTCGTGAAATATGATATGCCTTTCAGCTTCAGATATACATAGTCCATAATACTGATGGCGATCTTTGGGGCTCTGCAAGTGAATGCGATCTCAATTACTTGCGCAACCGTTTATAGAAGCATTAGAAAGCTATCTCACATCAACGGTAAAGATCTTCGATAGTTCCATCATTATAGCATGGCTGAAGTACGCCAGATCTTATGCACTACAGCTTACTTGGAATATTCCGAGCCAAAATATTGTTCTACTCAAAAGTGTGCCACAGCCTTGCAAATCCTAAGAGGCGGGGGCTAAAGATGCTGGTAATCATGAGGTCACAATTCATGGGACAGATTGAGTCTGTACGAAGATTGCACGATCTTTCCAGTTCTTATTCTGTAGAATTTGTCGATTGCGGTCTGTACCAAACATCTATCTACCTTGGCGTGTCCCTCTTTCATAATTGTTCCACAAGCCGGGAAAGGACAACTATTGTAAGAATACAACCTATGTTTTGTCAAGTGCGTTAACCCTCAGCTTCTTTCGGCATTGAAGGTGATAGTAATACATGTATACCTCAACCACCACCTCCTGTGACTGCATCCGGGTAGTCCGGGCACAGGTAAGTTCAAAAGTATCAGAGACATTGACACCGGCGCCCGTGGTAATCATAGCTTGGACCGACCGCATTGTCGGCAGATAAACTTGTCTGCTATTCAATAACACTTGGTGCTACTCACCCGAAATCCTACTCGATCTGGCCAACAATTTGCCAGGAAAATTGTGCCAAACTCACCACAGCTTCATTTTAGCTAAAACCTCACACTCGCGTAAGTCGCGTTAAGAGCCCGGTGATCATTCGTTCAATTCGCACCACTTGAGATATCTTGAATCTGCAGTTTTTTTGGCCTCAGTACGAAGGATCGAATCATCTTACGACAGCAAGGCACAGAAGTATGACAGATGATGTGGAGGCGATGAATGTAGCGACGATTGCCCAGGTTTTGATATAGAAGTTGGGCTCAAGCAAGACTCAGATACTGGCACAGCAAATGCATAAAGATGTGCTGTCGTCGCTTGTGTTGAGTCCAGTCCGAAAACATTATCCTACAACTTCACCCAACAAATACCCAGATACAACAAACTCAATATCTTGTTATCCGCACTTCTCTTTCTTCGGAATCTATCCATCACCATGAACAATATCAGCCTAATTGCTTCATTCCTCGCCATTGCTGTGGCAACATCTGCCATTGGCACCCCTGACCCAAATCTCGAAGTTCGCGCGGACCCCGATGATCTTATGATCTTTGTGTGCAATGACGGCTTGGACGAGATATGCACTAACATGTGTTATGATAACTATACTTCTTTTTCTTCTTCTTCAAACCCTTCTTTTCCATGAAGTCCCTAGTTGACACTGTTAATCACAGGAGCTTTCTGCGCCGGAATAGGAGAAAGTTTGCAATACGACAAACCTGACTCGTCCACAAAGCGTAACCGCCGTAAAGCTGCTGGTTGCATCGCTTCAGGTGGTAACCGCTGTTCAGTCAAAAAGGGCCACGCTTCCGGGTTTCAATGTGATGAATATCCATTCGCGTCGTCAATTCCTAGCAATGGTGCTACAACACGCCTCAACCGTTGTGTGCCGGCCGCTCAGAATCGTAAGCAAGAAAGAATCATTAGCGCTTTTTACAAGAGCAGTTACTACACGGGTAACAATGGTGGAAAGCTTACATTCACGGCCAATTTTTCTAATTCGGGGGATATTGGGTATTGTAACTCAGAAGAATGTGACGCTGATGACGATAACGAGATCATTGGTCCTGGTGGTACAGCGAGTGATGGCGACTCGGCTGAAGATGGAACGGACGACGATCCAGACGCAGGTCAGAAGAAGAAGAAGAAGATCAAAAGACGCAATGGCCTCGGCAAGAGACTTCCTGGCGCGCCTGTATATCGTACAAGCTCAGGTTTAGAGCTGGATATCCCCGGCGGTGCTGTGATAGGATAGCGGGCTTTTGTTGTCTTGCCACGAAATGCGACAATGTAGGATGAGCAAGCTCGGTTTGGAAACCCTAATCAAACGAGAGAATTCCATGGCGACGAAGATGAGGATGAGGATGAGGAGGATTATGACTATATGTTGGCGAATTTGGATATCAGAGAAGACACAATCGTCGAGGAGATTGTTCCTGCTGTCTGAATTCAAGGAGAACATTTTTGTATGATAACATTGTAGCTAGGGTCTGAGAGAAGTTTATAGAAGTGTAGCACGGGTGAGGAATAATCAAGCTTTCTTTGATTATTTTCACTGGACGTAGTGGTCGATTAAGCTTGATGAACCAGTGGAAACGGGCATAGTAAACTGGATCTTAACATGCGTACCATGGTTAAACAGAAGAAGAAAATCGTCTGAACACATGAAATGTGGATTGAACTTTGCTCACAATATATTGGTGAAGTTTTCCTTGGAGAACCTTGAACAATGGACTGTTTGATTAAATGAGAGGAAGGGGTCGAGGGGGTCTCAAGTGGTTTGAATTCAGAGAGGTCAGGCCATGTTTGCTAGCGTCGGAGAGCCCTTCTTCAAATTCCGCTCCGAAGAATCACCGACAATTGAACAACTTTAGACAGAATCAGCATAACAAAAGCATTGTGACTCCATTTCACTTCCAAAACTACCATGTATCGTAACGCCCTTTAGAAATATATCCTGCCTTTCATTACCTCACGAAAATATGCGCTTTGGTATGCAATGGATGATTCGAGAGCTAGAACCAGTGTTCGCTAGTCCTTGATTCCGTGCACACATGATGGCACATACCTATGACAAGTCCCTCGAGTTGAAGGATCAAACATTGAGAGTCCAGCCTCATTTAATTATTCCTGAGTAAAGGCACGGCTCTGAAATTTTTGTAACAAAGAATGAATAGCAAAAGAACTCGAAACTGGAGAATGGAATGACTGTCTTCTGTTGGAACCAAGTGTCATCGATATCTATGTAGGACAACATCTTACTTTCAAGTGGTCATTATAAGAAACGACCAAAATCTCAAGTGATATTCGATCCGAAGCAATTACCCTTAGAGTTCTAACAATATGGAGTATAAATTTATTTTCAGCACTTGCTGTCATTTAAATACTCTCCTCTCATCGTTGACCAAGTCATTATGGTAAAAGGGGATGACTGTGGTGAATCACTACATTAATTCACAATCGCGCATGCGCACTTCTATTCATATAGAGGGGGGTCGTAGGTCATATTCGAATCATCTCGCTCTGGTATTGAAAATACTGAAAGGTGACATCGACTTACCTACACCGTTCATAGTTGTGGTTGGCGGCTTGCTTCATTCCGTTGCTGAATTTAACCATAGATTATTTCCATCAAAAGCCATCTTATCGAACTGTCAGAGTTTCACATTAACTGCGGGGTAGAACTTTCCTTCAACAAAAGAATCACTCGTAAACTCTACGTCAGTGAAATTAGAGTGCTCTTGCCATCTCTGATTATCTACTCTTCTTCGAAGTGAATTCCATGTTCGAGATATTCCGACCTGTTTCAGACTTCAACTTATCATACGAAACTTATGGAACATGTGCAGCGACGTCGGAGAATAGAGTGAATTATCTTTGTTAACTCCATTAACAGCACTCCCTCAAGTCACCTGCTAGATACATTTGGGATTGGATAGAGAGGGATTGATTGTGAAACATTTTGCAGTTTCTACTGAGCATTCCATGCTCCAAGTATTAAGGAAGAGATATCCCCAGTTGCTACCTCAGCGATAAACAAAATAGGAATTGTAGGAAGACTTCTCCCAGATTCCTCATCATAAATCATAATCCTCGAATATCTTCAACGCAAATTACCATAAGCCCAGCTTGAGCTCATTGCCAGTACATCAACAAAATCATTCTCTGTGTTGACATCGTGCTTCCGCATCGGAAAGTTTTACCGGAAACCCCTCGTCTCATATGACCCCCTCGAATAAAATTGTTTGCCGATTTCGGTCTCTTCTGATCCCGAGACACAAAACCAACTTGATTTACCTTCCAGGAGTGGATCAAGATCCTCAACAATCACTTTTTCGAATTCTCGCAGATTTCACTATTTAGGTATCCGATTTCTTCCACCTATTCAAATTTTACAAATCTGTCTTTCTGCAATCGTCATACACGCCGATACCAACGACATACAGGCAAGAACTTCTCAACTCTTTTAATTTAACCTTTCCGCTTCGCCGCATAAAGTTCGATCATACTGAGAAGCAAGTACGACACCTGCGAATGCTCATAAAGATGGCAGGCTCTCTTGATATTGAAAAGAGTGTCGCGGAGCTTCCTGCTCATGTTGATGTTCTTCCGCCCACAATCTATCTTCCTCCAGGACGAATCTGTCGTGGAGCCCCAGAACTAATTGCTGCCAACGCCCTGTTATCCCGACGTGACCTCTTCAATCTACGACCCTACAATCAAAGAATGCAACCTCGAGCCAAGTGGATTGCAAATTATGACCGACCACGACACAAACTCCCGACCCCGCATGCTTCTCAAACTTGGCCCAAGAATGGGCTTTCGTATTGACGGTTATGCTTGCTTCGTCTTCCACAACTATCATTCAGGGTGTCATACTCATCATGACCAACACGATTGGCCAAGGATTAAAAGCCTCTGCTTCTCAAGTAACCTGGATCGCAGCTGCAGTTGGGGTAATTCTCCCATATATATTTATGATGTCCACTGTCACAGACGTGGATGAAGCAGCAAGATGCTAACAATCAATTAGACTTGGCAGTGGTTCTTTCATGCTTTTCTTTGGTAGAGTAGATGATGAAATGGGTCGAAAGATTCAGTTGCTTATTGGATTACTATTATGAGTGCCTTGCTCTCGTCGCCGCTTGGAGTCACCGGTCCATACGAACTAATCGTCATCTGTGGTCTTCTTGGAATTTGCACAGCAGCAATTGCTCCACCAGCTCTCGGTATCCTCTTCACTGCTTATCCAGAAGGTCGTCGAAGAAATATGGCATGTGGTGCTCTTGGGAACTGGCAATCCGCTCGGCTTCATTTTAGGAAAGTATTTCATCCGGTCTCGCCGTGAAATATTACGGATGGAGAGCGAGTTTGTCGTCATGGCCATCTTCTTCTTTCTTTTGGTTATACTTGCTTTTTGGACGGTGCCTGTGATCACACGAGTGGGTAATAGATCAGATGCGATTCGAAGATTTGATTATGCTGGTTCTTTATTCATTGTCTTGGCTGTCGCTTTGGTATCAGCAGGACTGACGTAAGTTATCAATCATTTCCAGTTCTACACTTATACTAATGACTTCACAGAGAAGGACCTCAAAGTGGTTGGCTATCAGTACACGTCGTTCTTTTACTTGTATTTGGTGTTTTCTTCATCTTCGGTTTTATTGCCTGGGAATACTTCTACGAAAACCCCCTTCTCGATCTTTCGGTTTGGCGCAACGGCAACTTTAGTCTTTGTGTAATCTGTATGGGATTCGGATACATGTCATTCATCACAACGAATTCTGGATTGCATTGTACATGCAAGATGTTCAACATTACACACCATTACAAATTGCTGCTCGTATGTGCCTCAAGCAGTGCAGGAGTATTTTGGAGTTTCTTGGGCCAATGGCTTATTCAAAAAGTGCATGGAACCATTGTGATGGGTATTGGATCTTTGATGTATTCTGCGGGGGCAATTTTATTGCTGTTCATTAAGGAGGACACATCATATTGGCTATTTCTATTTCCAGCGCTTATCATTACAGTTATTGGTGCGGATTTTCAGTTCATCGTCGCGAATGTAAGTTTTCTCCTCTACCTTTTTCTTCCCATCACTTTTGTTCTTCCTCTCTCCTCAATCTACCTACTCGCCTCTGACAAAAAACAGCTCTACGCAAATAAACAAATGCCAACTCAAGCATCACTCGGTGTCGGAATTATTCAAACAGCCTACAGACTTTCCATAACCATTGGTCTAGCCATTACATCCGCCATTTTCAACACCACCACCTCAAAAGAAGCAAGTATTGAAGATCCAACTTTCCCTTATCGACGCGTCTATATCTGCTCTATAATATTTGCCAGCATCGGACTCGCATGCATTCCATTCATGCGAATCCAAACTCGCACCAAAGACAACACATCTACGCATGCTCGCCCAACAACTCTGGGAGCAGAAAGCAACGCCAGTATGATTGTCAACCATTCTTCATCTCAATCGCATTATGACACCTTGCTTCGACAACTCAATCTCCATCGCGAAAACCCTCTCAACCTTGACGAACGAGTTTACCGTGGACATCGTGCCGAGATCAATAATGCGCAACGCTACGATCCTGCTCTGCCTAGATCGATGACTATGAACGATATTGCTCAAGGTCTTCTTCGTCTTCCTCGATGGAGCTGGGAAAATAGACCACGAGCGGGTTTTTGGCGAAACCGCAGAGGTAGTCAATGTCACTGGGAGAGTAGCAGCGGAGATATCTTTGAGGTTTGCAAAAAGTGCAAGGAAGAGAGAAAGATTAAGGATGAAGAGGGTGCGTGGCAGGAGATTGATGAGGCGGGTAGGGATTGTGTTAAGGAGGGTGGAAGAGGTAAGGGTATGAGAGCTATGGAATTGGAGATTAAAGATGAGAGGAGGTTTACTGTGTAGGGAGTTGTTTGCGAGGGGTTTTTGATGATGGCGCGGTTGCACATTGCGGGAATACCCAATTTGATTTTGCGTATGGAGTTTTGCGGTTTGGAGCTGGATGCTTACTTGCTTTTTTGCTTGTTTGCTCCCCTGCTTTCTTTCGACAATCGCCTATTGCATCAACATCTTCGCTTACGGTGTACATGGATGGAATGGAGTAACGATCAAAAGGGCGCAAATACGGATTTGGGATAACGCGAGCACTGAGGAATAGATGATACGACGAAAGATACTGATGGAGAGACGAATCATAAAAAGACAGTATACTAATTATAGATACGACGACACGACACAATACAGTAGATAGCGGGAGAGATGTGTATTGCAAGTTCGGAGAGTAGATAGTTAGATAAAAATTAGAGAAAATACAATGGGATGTTTTACACACAACACATAACACAGCACCCCTTCATTCTCAAATATAGACTTCAGTTCCCCCCCTTTTACCCTATCATTTCATTTCATCTCTACCAATTCTCTTGATATGAGAATATCTCACCACCTTCTATCTTCTACCTCCCACCTTCTACCTCCCACCTCCCACCTTCAACACAAGCATTCAGCCCCCTCCCCCCATCCCTTAAGAATTAAAACTCACCAATAAAATAAGCGACTCCAGCACAAAAATATCCAATATCCAATATCCAATATCCAACATCCAACATCTAATATCTAATATCTAATATCTAATATCTAATATCTAATATCTAATATCTAACATCTAACATCTAACATCTAACATCTAACATCTATTAAAACCTACCTAAGACCTAATACCAGTATCCATCAATACATCAATACATTACCTACCTACCTCCAGCTAACTCTAGCTAGCTCTAGCTCTAACTCCATATCTCCCCACAAATACACACATAAATACACACATAAATACACACATAAATACACACATAAATACACACACAAATACACACACAAACACACCTTATACCATCGTCAACAATACATACATACATACCAAAAACCCAACTCACAGCCATGATCCCTCCCCTTTTCCTCCCTTCCCTCATCATACCCAGTATCCAAATACAAAAGACCTTTGATCGAGACCTACCCGTCTCAATCGATCAATTCTGTTGTCTACCTATCCTAGACCAGAAGTAACATTCTCTACACACCTACTCTTGAGCCCAAATCCGACATCACTCTTCGTTCAACATCGCAAATTTCAAAAGACAACGAAAGGAAATATTCCGCTTCTTCCCTCTTCCATCCTCCTTCTCTCCATCAAGTGGCCCTCTATCTCCTCATGTTTCCTTAGCTTTCAATGTTCCTTCGCACTCATATTGATAATCTTCACCAAACATCCCTCACAATGTCATCACAACACAACTAAAAACAGTCAAATACGCTCTTCAAATATCTTGACTTCATTTCTTAATCTTATTCTTGTTCTTGATCTTGATCTCAAGCACTTCACTTTACTTTATCCGACCGCTCGCATGCATTCTTCTCCAGTGTCCCTTGACAGTGCCCACCAGATATCTTTATCCGTCGATACCAATCTCCATAACTCAAGTCGTAGCCTCATGAATCATATGCTCCAGCAATCCATAAATCTCCTTTCTTTCCTTTACATCATGGAAATTTCATGGGGAATCTAGCATCGATCATCCTCGAAACTTCATCCTTCGCAAAATAAATTAAATAAGAAAAAACGCAAAATCTTGAGTGATATGACTTTTTTGAATCCATCCGTGCCGATAGAAAGTTGGAAAAGCAAGGGCCAAACTCTAAACTCAGATATGGAAGCAACGCAGCATAAGACTCCAAAAGAGGAATAGGTATTTTACTTTTCAAAAGGAAATAGAAAATGAAAGGCGACAAATTTTTCCGAAGTCGCAAAAAGTCGGTACAATTATACAAAGAGGTTATCTGTTCCCGTAATCCTTGAACGAAATTACTAGTCTTCGAAAAAAATCCCTAAGGTTTTGTCGTTTCGTCATAATTCCTAACCGTGAATGTGTGAAATAGTCGACCTCGAGGTAGTCATGTGCCGTGCATCAAGCACTTAAATTTATTCTTGGCCGAAAGCCTTCTTTCTCAAAGGGCAGTCAAGCTTCTCGTGACCCTCTTGCTTGCACTCGTAGCATCGACGAGCCTCAGAGGTCTCTTGACTGCAGTCACGGGACAAGTGACCAACCTGAAGGGTTTGTTAGTATACTGTCTGGATGAGAGATGTATGTAGAAGAGAACTTACTTCACCACAGTTGTAGCACTTTTGACCTTGGGTGCAGTCACGGGAAAGATGTCCGTAACCGCCACATGAGAAGCAGGTTTGGCTTCCTTGACGGGCACCACTGCCGAATCCACCACCGTATCCACCTTGGTTACCTCCGTAACCTTGGTTTCCACCATAGCCACCAGCCTCTGGGCAGTTACGGGCGATGTGGCCGCGATCTTGGAGCACTGTTAAAATAAGCCCAGTTAGAAAGAGATTATGCAGCGAGAGTAATGAATCTTACCTTGTAGCATTGTTGTCCACCACCACCTCCGTATCCGCCACCGTATCCACCACCACGTCCAGCGCCCTCAATTGGTGGGTTGGAGCAGTCCTTGGAGATGTGTCCGGAAGTACCGCACTAAAGAGATTGTTAATAACCTCAACGAATCAATCTTTGAAAAGCTCAAGACTTACTCTGTAGCAGACCTTCTCCTTTGGTCCCTCTGGGCAATCACGGCTCAAATGACCTGGGTCTGAAAGTATGTTAATACGATGTTAAATTGTTGATCGTAGGGTAATATCTTACTGTCGCAGTTGTAGCACTTTGGTGGTCCACGGCTTGGGCATTCACGGGCTTGGTGACCTTCAGTTCCGCCTATAATTTTTGCAATCAGCTTGAATTCCAGAGAGCAATTAAACGATATTCGTATGGTATTCGTAAGATGTCCCGAAGATGCTAGGAGCTGATTGATTTGAAGCAGAGTGTTGAATGTATTGTTTGTGGTGCAGAAGTGTGTTGCAGAGTTTTCGCTGGAAAGAATGTGTCTTGATCCAATATTCCAAACTTCAACCACCAGTTTCCCAGCAGATGATGAAATTTAAATAGTATCTTGAGCAATGATTCATCCTCCGTAGTAATTCTTCTTGATCCTCTAACAACTTGATGGATTGCAAGGTCGAATTTGTTGGAGAATGGACGTTTCGACTTAAGGAATGAAGGGTAAAGGTAAAGAATCTGATCCCAACTCACAGGTAAAGCATCCACGGTTTGGGGCACCGCCTTGTTGTTGAGCTCCGAAAGAATCCATTATGATTGGAGAGTTTGAGGTTTCTGTAATGAATTGAGTACCTGGTTAGTATTTTCAATCCGTCAAGGTAAACAAGTGAAGCTTTGATGGGTTGATAGAGCAGAAAGTTTTGAAGGGATTTCAAGTTCGAAGTGGGTTGAAGTGGGGTTAACGAGGAGGATGGAAAAAAACAATGCGACGAGCAAGAACAACTTACAGATTTGTTGATAGAATTGATTGAGGTTGTCTTGAGGGAGATGAGAGAGAAGTTGAATTAACAAAGTCTCTTGTTGAAATATCTTGTTACGTTGAAGAGAATTTTCCTGTGACTGAGATGTTTCTTGAAAGAGGATGAAATCTTTTGTATGTAAAGGGTTTGGGGAAAGTACCGAATTCGAAATATATCCAAGCTCTTTACTTAATTCTCTCTTAGCCTTGGTTTATTTTTTTTTATTTTTTCTATTTTTTTCTCGGTTGGAAGGTTTTTATTCTAATTGTGCGCAGATGTGGCGTTACTGAATCCCTAGGTATGTATGCTTTTAATGTATTTTTTAATGGGAATGTAGCAGATTGTCACCAAATAACAGGTCCGGCAAGATTCCCAGAGTTTTAGTAAAGTTTGGGGTGAAATGGATTTGAGCTAGATTCAACAAATCAGAATGAATCGAGGGAAGAGGGAAGAGGGAAGAGGAAGAGAAGGAGGGGGGCAAGGGCAAAGGCAGGGAGGGGTTATTATGTATGTAATATGGAATATGTAATATGTAATATGCAATATAATATAATATGTGATACCTAGGTATATATGTATATATGGATATATGTGTGGAATATGGAATATGGAATTAATGAATACCTCGTAGGGCTTCCGATTTGTGTTATGAAGTTTCTACATACCCAGAGACTTATGTACCCAACAGATGACAAGAATAGCGGTCAATGTTATTTACATTGTAGGTACATTTGCCTAGCACGTGCCTGGGCACTTTTCATGATTTATCCCGAGTATTGGGTATGCAGCATGATCTACCTATCTACATGGTAGTTATATGTTAGTAGTGTGTACCTAATATGTTAGTAGTATGTACCTAAACATGTAGCCATGTAAATCATCACACCTACAAAGTTTCCTCCATTTCATTCTTTTCAGTCTCTCTCCCCCTTCCCTTTCTCTCCCCCTCAACACTCACTTGCTCCTTTCCCCTCTAACCTCAATCATGTAAGCGTCCATTCACCATATCATCTCGGCCCGGGGCTCTCAGAATAAACTTTCCCTCCCGTACGGATCAGCACCTAGCGAGCCTAGATACCGGTACCTCCTACATGGAATCACCATCCAAGAATTGGTTGTGTTTCCATAACAGCCCATTCAGATACATACATACTAGGTACTTTACCAACAGTACAACAACCTACACCGTTATTCAATATTGAAAACTTGCTTTCTAATGAGATTCATCAATTGGATCAACATCATATCATGTATTGTAACATATCACTACTCCAGGTTTAACTATCTAAATTGTCGATTGGTCCAACTATCTACAGTCTACTCGAGTACAACCCATTGCCATGTCTCGAATACAAAATATCGAAAATCAATTCTCCATATTACCTAGCTACCCGTGGACATACTCAGATGTTACCATATGAATAACTACCTAGTATTTCACCATCATTCACTCTTGTTCCCCAGGTACAGATATACATACCCATACATTGAAAAAAGGACCCTTGATCATCATGACGGGTAGATACATCTGGGGTTACGGATGACAACAGATGGTAATCTTTCACACAACCGGATTCTTTTGATAGGTTCCCCGAAACTTCGGTAATCCCATTCTTGATAACGACAATGGAGGGGGTTACACATTGAATATACTTAGGTAGGACACGATGCAAGTGCTTGACAACCTTCTCGTTGCACATCATCAGATTTTCACGGAATTGGCGCCCGAAAGATATGAGTGTAAAAGCAAGTGGGAGATTGTTTGATGGGGTTTTCAATATTTTGTCCGAAATCTTCGAATTTGGAGGTAAAACGGTGCTCAAGTGTTTTGGCGGGGCAGACGTATTACCTGGTATCTCCTTTCACCAACAAGAGTAATAAGGGAGTGTTTCTTTGGACGGTGTCTCTCTGCATCCACTTGTTAAAGGGGTTCTCTAAAGGCCGGTATTGAGATGTGTTTTGATCAATATCGATATATGAAGAGTGTATGTACGTTTGTATGTATGTCTGCGTACATGCATGCAGATATTATTTGAATGGATGTTCCTATGCTCTTCCGTATCGATATACTAACCCTTCCAACCTTCGTAAGTTTACATTCATACTTCACTTCTCTTCTCTTCTTACTCCACAAAATTCTATCACTCATAGGAGTCAGTCATAGCACGATGTACGGAGTAGTAACATACCTAACATACCGCCGCCCGGTAGATAGAAAGAAATTCTAATTCAATCTTCCGAACCAATCAAATCAAAGAATCAATACTAAGATCACGTTATGTTTTACTTTACTCACCCCTCGAAACCAATCTCTCTATTGATTTGTTCATTTTTTGAATCTGACTGTATCAACAACCAGGATAACCTCCTCCCTTCATCTTGTTTTCCTGTCGAGTTTAAACAAAGTCAAGGGGACGCGAGGTTTGCCCCGGCGACGCGACTGTCAACATTAAAATATTACTGACAGATACCCTGAGACCTTGTGCCACATCATCTGATATTAAAGTATTTACGAAATACAGTACAATCTCCAAGTTCTGATAAGCTTCAGTTCAACATTCATTTGCATCCCATAACATACTACCGTACCTATTGTCTTACTCCAAAACTAATACACCAATACACCTAAATTATCCCATATTGTTATTTTAAGAAAATATACCCAGGTAACTTCATCCAGGCGCATACAAAGGCCATCTTGACGCCGGGTATCCATCAGAAACCTAAAAAGCAAATAATTCCGCAATTCCTATGAACGACATCTAACGATAACAACAATGATAACCACGATACACTGATCAGTTTAACGTCCTTCCTTCTCCCTTTCGATGATTCATAAAACCTGAGCCGCATTATCCATTGGGCATCTGTCTATTCGACCACAATCTACGATCCCCTCAACCAAACAATATCTCTCGCAGACATAGCGGCTGTGAAAGGAGAGCTTCACAAAAAAGATAATCTGGACTATTGAACATCTGCAAACATGGCGCCCGGTGGTGGAGGAAATATTAAAGTCGTTGTGCGGTGTAGGCCGTTCAACAGTAGAGGTATGCGGTGGATATGTTGTCAAACCCCATTTTTGTGTCAGGACTGATGCCTCGGGATAGAGATCGATCGCGGAGCAAAATGTATAGTGCAAATGAAAGATGCGCAAACAGTCATCACCCCACCAGAAGGACATGAGGCGAAATCAAGAGATGCAAAGGGTGGAAAGGGAGATTCGGGCCAGAAGGTTTTCGCATTCGATCGTTCATACTGGTCCTTTGACAAAAATGATCCGAGTTACGCAGGACAAGACAACCTCCACACCGATCTGGGAAAACCTCTCTTGGATAATGCCTTTCAGGGTTACAATAATTGTATCTTCGCATATGGTCAAACGGGTTCAGGAAAATCTTACTCGATGATGGGATATGGAAAAGATGCCGGTGTCATTCCAAAGATTTGTCAGGATATGTTTGAGAGGATAGGGGAATTACAACAGGACAAAAATTTGAAATGCACAGTCGAGGTATCTTATCTGGAAATTTACAACGAGCGAGTACGAGATCTCCTAAACCCATCGACAAAAGGCAACCTGAAAGTTCGAGAACATCCTTCAACTGGACCATATGTGGAAGACTTGGCGAAATTGGTTGTGAGTAGCTTTCAAGAGATTGAAAACTTGATGGATGAGGGAAATAAAGCCCGTACCGTTGCAGCTACGAATATGAACGAAACTTCTAGTAGAAGTCATGCTGTCTTCACTTTGACTTTGACTCAGAAACGATTGGATGTTGAAACAAAGATGGCAATGGAAAAGGTTGCGAAGATTAGTTTGGTCGATTTGGCAGGTTCCGAGCGAGCAAATTCTACGGGTGCAACTGGAGCTCGACTGAAAGAAGGTGCGGAGATTAATAGATCTCTATCGACACTTGGTAGAGTTATTGCTGCGCTGGCCGACTTATCAGAAGGAAAGAAGAAGAAAGTGGGAAAGGGGAATCAAGTCCCTTACCGAGACAGTGTATTGACTTGGCTTCTGAAAGATTCTCTGGGAGGAAATAGTATGACAGCCATGATTGCAGCTATTAGTCCTGCAGATATAAATTTCGATGAAACTTTAAGTACCTTGCGATATGCTGATAGTGCGAAGAGAATCAAGAATCACGCAGTTGTAAACGAGGATGCGAATGCTCGTATGATCCGTGAGTTGAAAGAAGAATTGGCTCAATTGCGAGGTAAATTGACAGGTGGTGGAGGGGGCGGAGGCGGGGCAGGCCCAGCAGATGAGATCTATGCAGAAGGTACACCTCTAGAGAAGCAAATGGTCACAATTGTTTCATCAGACGGTGCTGTGAAGAAAGTATCGAAAGCGGAAATCACCGAACAACTCAATCAAAGCGAGAAACTCTACTCGGATCTTAATCAGACGTGGGAAGAGAAATTGCAAAAGACTGAAGAAATCCACAAAGAGCGAGAAGCGGCCCTGGAAGAATTGGGTATCAGTATCGAGAAGGGATTTGTTGGATTACATACACCAAAGAAGATGCCTCATCTTGTGAATTTGTCCGATGATCCACTGTTAGCAGAATGTCTTGTGTACAACCTCAAACCCGGGTCAACTTCAGTCGGAAATGTCGATACGAATGCAGCCCATGCGGCGGAAATTCGACTTAATGGAACTCGTATATTACATGAGCATTGCACTTTTGAGAATGTCGATAATGTGGTTACTCTTATACCAAATGAAGGAGCGGCAGTGATGGTCAATGGACAGAGAGTCGAAAAGCCAACTCGGTTGAGAAGTGGTTTCAGAGTTATTCTTGGCGACTTTCATATCTTTAGGTTCAACAATCCAACCGAGGCTCGAGCGGAACGCGCAGAGCAGAGCCTTCTGCGGCATTCTGTTACTGCTAACCAATTAGAAAATTTTAAAGATTGGGACAAATTCTCGCCTTCATCTACCCCTCGGCCAACCCATGATCGAACTTTCAGCAAAGCTATCTCCGACCTCGATTTTGATGGTAGTAGTCGAGCAGACTCCCCAGTGCCTGGGCGAGGTCTTTCTGATTGGTCATTAGCAAGGCGTGAGGCAGCTGGTGCTATTTTAGGAACCGATCAAAAAATCGCAGGTTTGTCCGATGAAGAGCTCAATGTTTTATTTGAGGATGTTCAGAGAGCAAGGGCTGAACGTGCAACTGCAAATTTGGAGGATGATCTAGACTCGGTAACATCGTATCCCATGCGAGAAAAGTATCTTTCAAATGGCACTTTGGATAACTTCTCTCTGGACACTGCACTGACCATGCCATCAACGCCCAAGCAAGGAGAAGTCGAAGACAAAATGCGTGAAGTTAGAGAAGAAATGCAAGTTCAGCTGGAAAAGCAAAGAGAAGAATTCCAGGAACAACTTGAGACAGCCAAAACCTCAAATGTCGAGGTTGAGGAAATCAAAAAGGAAAAAGTGAGAATGGAAGAGACACTCAGAGAAGTTAAAGAGGAGATGCTCAAACAATTGGAGGTTCAACGAAAAGAGTATGAACAGAAATTACAAGAGTTGTCCCCGGTTAAATTGGGACCAGATGGACCACCTCCACTATCAGAGAAAGAAATTGCGATTGCCGAGAAAGTTGCAAAACATTGGCAAGGACGAAGATATGTTCGAATGGCTGAAGCTGTATTTCAAAATGCCGCAATTCTGAAGGAAGCCCAAATAATGAGTCACGAAATGGATGAGAATGTTGTTTTTCAATTTGCTGTTGTTGACATAGGGCACGCTTTATGTTCTTCTTATGATATGGTTCTTAATGATATAGAGGGGGATGATTTTCATCTCGAAGATGCAACAAAACCTTGCATCGGCGTACGGGTAATAGACTACAGGAATAATGTGGCTCATCTATGGAGTCTTGATAAACTTCAGGATCGTATCCGGAAGATGAGGCAGATGCATCAGTACCTTGATCGGCCGGAGTACCTCCAACATTTTCGACTCGACAATCCTTTCATGGAAACTTGTATGCCACAGTATACACATGTTGGAGATGTTGATGTCCCTCTATCAGCAGTTTTTGAGAGTCGAGTTCAGGACTTTACTCTTGATGTTCTTTCGCCATTTACAATGCATGCTATTGGTATCATCAAGCTTTCATTGGAACCATCTTCAGCAAAGGCCCCTTCAAACACCTTGAAGTTTAATGTTGTTATGCATGAAATGATAGGATTCGCTGAGCGGGAAGGGACAGAAGTTCACGGTCAATTGTTCATACCTCCTGCTTCAAATGAAGGCGGCGTTACAACGACTCAGATGATTAAAGATTTCGATGAAGGTCCAATCCGATTCGAAAGCGTTCATAGTATGAGCGTTCCAATGTTTGGCCCTACAGATGTTTCTCTTCGTGTGGCTATCTTTGCCAAAGTCTCATCAATGCATTTGGATAAACTTTCAAGTTGGGACGATATGCGAGACAACATCCCCCAACTCAAGAAGAAGCGCAAGGGTGCTCGTATATCAGAGTCGCAGTTCTATTCTGAAGAGAAACATGATGTATTTGCTAAAGTTCAAATACTGGAGCTGGCCGAAAATGGTGATTATCCAGCAGTTGAAGTGATTCAAACGAGTGAGCTTGACCAAGGAACATTCCAACTTCATCAAGGTTTACAACGCAGAATTGCTGTTACCTTGACGCATAACTCCGGCGATGCTTTACCTTGGTCGGATGTCACTGGTTTACGTGTAGGGCGGATTCAACTCGTTGATCACATTGGGAAAAGTCCGGATCTCAGCTCCCCTTCGACTCCTCCCCTTTACCTCAAATTACTCTCCAAGCCCATTGTTAAAGCAAATGCAAATGGCACCAGCAATGTTTGCATTGTTGGAAAATGGGACTCGAGTGCTCATGAATCTTTACTCCTTGATCGGGTAACAGCAGATAAATACAAAGTTCAAATGTCCCTTTCATGGGATGTGAAATCCGAGAAACTATCTCGCCCAATGACTTTCAATATGGATGTCTGCTCTCAAATTATGTCGCGTAATTATGTTCGTTCTACATCGATGTTCGCATCATTATTTCAAAGTGTACGAATTGTTCATTCTATGACTAGTATTTACTCCATCTCTGTTCGTCCAGTGGCCGTAAAAAGAGTGAGTGATCTGTGGAGAATTAATACATCGGAAGACTATGTTAAAGGGGAAGAAGCTCTTACGAATTGGACACCGAGAGGTATTAGTCTGGTTAAAGATTTCATTTCGGCGAGGAGAAAGAGACAGAGACTGGCAGAAATCGATGCTGCTCAGCCTTTGTTGAGACGTATCGCATCATCACCAGTACAAATATCAATATCAATACCCGCTCCTTCGATTCCACAGGTTATTAATCGAGATCCAGCCGACATACCACTTCCTGTCAGTCCGCCAGCTACAAAGGAAGGCTTTCCATCATTATCGATAGATGAGGCACTCCCATCATCTGTTGATGGAAATGCTCTAGGTATACATGGGGATGGTGAATTCAACAACGAAATCACGGAAAAGGCGGAATCTGCCATCGGCACTGATTCTATCCCTCATGATCCAAGTCAAGAACAAGAAAAATCCCAGAATCAATCGGCATACAACCCACACCAAACCGCCCTTCTTCAAAAGTTTACTAAATACTTCCATCTCTGCCGTGATCCATCAACAACTATCCTCACACCAAATAATATCGAACCACCTATCAATGGTTCGCCCGCTCCATCTCTCTTCCACACATCCTCTTTCACATCCAATACTTCCCGCTCAAACTCACCCCGTCCATCAAATTTTTCAAATTCACTCCACCCATCCACCGCCAACTCTCGCCAAACATCTCGATCCCGTCAAACCTCGCCCATTCCACATGCCCACCCTATCTCATCCATACCTCAGCATCTCGCCACCATCTCTCAGATCAAAAAGAATCCCAGTGTGCTTAAAGCAGGAATGCTTTTAGTCCCTTCGGCGGATAGCACGAAATGGATACGCAGATTCGTGGAGCTCAGACGACCGTATCTGCATATTCATGCGGTTGCGGGCCCGAATAGCGGGGAAGAAGTAAATGTGGTTGGATTGAGAAATGCAAGGGTGGACCATAGTCCCGAGATTGCGAAATTGTTGAGGAATGAAAGACAGGGTGGGAGTGGGAATGCGAGTAGAAATGCAAGTCGGAATAGTAGTCCTGCTGATGCGGGTGCACAGCAAAGTTGGAGTAATAGCGGCATAGGAGGCATTTATGGGTATGGAGGCCGAGGAAGGAGTGGGAATGGAATGGGCATGGGGATCATGGGGTATGGGGGGAGAGAGGAACCGGTAATTGCGAATGGCAATGGTAATGGAGGAGAGCAGAAGAGAAATAGAAGAAACGGTTCTTTGCAGTCTACGGAACAAATAATACGTGGTTGTTTAGAGCGAGGAGCGAGAGGGAAAAGGTTAGAGTGGATTTGGAAAATTGATCAGGGGTATTTCTCTGGGGGTGGGGGCAGAGGTGGAATGGGAGTGGGAATAATAGTAGAGGGAGGAGAGATGATGGAGTGGAGATAGCGATGATGTAGATGTAGAGGGAGATGTGGATGTGGATAGAGAGGATTATCTGGCGGATTAATCGTAATATAATGTTACCTCTCTAGTTGATGAAATTTGGGTGTTTTCTCATTGAATGATTGGCTAGATGAATGAATGAATGGGAAGCGAAGGTCCCACTCCCTACATCGATAACTCACTCACTCACTCCCCAAGAAAAAGTGGAACAAAATAGACACAACACCCATCCCAAACTCATTAATCAAACACACAATAACACAATTCTACCACTGCAAGATCACGAGCTCAATAATCGAGTCAAAAAAAAAAGAACTTTTTATTTCATCCCCTCCCCCAACTACCCACTACTTAGAACTGGCTTCCCAGTTCCTACTTCTCACTTCACCCGTTCGCTTCCTCGTTTCCTATCCCCTTCCTCGAAGGGTTTTTCTTCTTCACCCACTACATACATCCATCTCCATAAAAGATTTTAATTTATTTGTATACCTCTTCCCCATCCCTCATCATATCATTCATTCCCAACGCCAACCAAACTAGTAATTATAGAGAGCGAGAAATAAAAAGATGTTTCAAAAAATACAAGTGAAGAATTCGAGATACTGTTTCTCATATCATCTCAATTCATCCTATCCCTCAAAAAGATATCCCAGTACCATGCCATTATCTGCGGTCATAAGTTCTCTCTTTGCCACTACCACCCAATCCACGCATCAAGTAATGCACTTAATGCTTTCTCTTCTTCTTAGGGGCTTCTTCTTCTTCCTCCAATCCACTTTCCATATCCTTCCTCTTGGCCTTCTTCTCCAATTCATCCCAATCCTCTCCCTCACTTTGTTCATCACTATCCTCTTCTCCTTCATCCTCACTTGCATTACTATCAAAATCACTATCTTCATCCGAACTTTCTTCCGTGGCCGCCATTTCATCATCACTTATTTCAAAAGCAGATTCCTCATCTTCTTCATCACCACCTTCATCATCTGATTCCGTTGCCAAGAATCCCCATCCACCATCCTCAAAGAATCCATGAGGATCGGCTGTAACAGTCTTCATGATCGTTGGCCAATTCAAATTGAGTGGACCTTCGGAAAATGGAATATTGACGGAATCTAACCATTCCTTGACATTTTCGAGTGATTCGACAGGAATGGTATTAATATGGTAAGGAGCACGGTGGAAATCCTTAAAGACAAAGACCATATCAAAGTTCTTGAGTCCGAATTGAACACGCTCAAGATGAGCAATTTCGATATCCTCAAGAGTGATGACCATAAAAGGAGGTTCAGTAAGTTGAACTAAACAATCTGTGGAAGGTTGACAGAAAACGCTGGACCTATTTGGTACACCACCAAACCCAAGTTCACGGAAAGGTACGTCAACATCAACGTTCTCATTCTTACCAGCATCGGCAATCTTCTCGGCAAATGCTTTGAATTGTCGATCAAGATCAGCACGACGTCTTCGTTCTTCCTGCTCTGCTTCGAATTCTTCCTCGTCGCCATATCTATACTTTCGCTTTCTGTTTCCAGTTTCATCAAACTGAATATCAGTAGCTTCGCGATAGAATTGAACATCCTTGGTCTTCTTTTTGCCAATCAAAATTGGATCCTTTAGATGCACATGAATGATGACGATCAATTCATGGTCACAAGGTTGGAAGAAAAGATGCTTGACGTTACTGAAAAGGATATCAACTCGGTGTTGAAGATTAAGAGGGGATTGATATCGAAGACCGTTCTGATGGATTTCAACCTTTCCGGGTACACGTTTACCATCCATAGCTGGACGAATGAAAACGTTGTCCATAACAATTGGACGACGATCTAATTATGTTAGTAAGATAGAAAGAAAGAAAAAGAAAGATTCGCTACAAGTTGCGAACTTACTTCGGATTTCCACCAACTTGTCCTGCTCAACAACATCTTCCATATCCTTCTTTTCTTGTTCACGCTTAACAGCATCTTTTTTCATGTTACCAATTTGATTGGCAATGTCTTGAAATCTATCTCCATCGTGAGATCTGAATGTCAAACTTCTAACAAAGTGTGCTGAAGCATCTTCGAATGGTTGATCGTCTTTTCTACCAACACCTTGACCGGGAGATAAGAAATTGATTCGAAGGTATGAGAATTCACCCTCGTCACTCTTACTGGCGTTCTTGATAGTTTGGATGTGGAAAGGTACTGGACGGCCCATAATGGGTAAAACAACAGTTGAGTTTTTGGCGTCCATAACAATAGCGAGATCTCTGATCTTGGGAGGGAATTGATTCTCACGCTTGTAAGATTCAAATCGCTTGAATTTTTTCACGGCAACACCATTTTGATCACCAGTAGCTTCAGCGAACCTTGCGAGGCCTTCGGCTTGTTTTCTTTTTGCGAGCTCTTTTTGATGCTCACGCCTCCTGGCTTCGGCACCTTCGTCAACCTGAGTTGATCGTTCACCCCGGAGTTTTGTCTTGGTGATATTTTTAGCTGCGACAGCCCCAACACTTGAATCCTTCTTTGCCTTAGTAGCTTTTGGTTCTGGTGCAGGCTCATCTTCTTCATCTTTGAAAAAGAATGATGTTGCATCAAGTTCCGAGGGGGCATCGCCTGTGAAAATAACAGGTTCCGCTTGGGTGACACGAACAGTATCCGATAATACCAAAGAGTAGATTTTGCTCTTCTTGTCTTGAGGATCTTTGTTCTCGATATCATTGAATCCTGTAGTGACACAAAGAGTCATTCCGTCTTTTAAGCTGCGAGTGCTCTTGGCATTCAGGAGTAAAGTAGGGTCCCTTGTTTCGATACCGATACCAGCTCCAACATTCTTCAAGAAATGCTTCTCCAACTCAGGTTTTTTGGTTCTAATGAGGGCTAAAGCTTTGGCGTAAATATCTTTGACATGAGCGCCATCGCGAATTTCTTTCATAACAAGATTGTGAACCTGCAATAAAAATTTGTAGTTGCTCTCTTGGGATTTGTTTGGGTCGACGAGATAAGTTCGGCCGATCAAGGAGCAGTAGGTTTTGTATCGAAGACCCATAGAACAAATGATTACACCAGCATGTAATAACTCATCATCGACTTGAGCACTCATCTTCAAATCGTATTTTCCACCACTTTGTATGATAGGTCCATGGGTCCAGTCCAATTGTGATGGATCGAAGTCATTTGGCATCCTCTGTTTATTAGGAAGCTCCACGGAAGTCCAAAACTTGGCGTCGTCCAATTTGCCATCCACTTTGTTGGCCAGGGCGCTATGTTTGACTTTTTTCTCTTCATCTAAAATGCCTGACATTTCCTCGACGAAATATGGGTTCATGAGTGCAGTACATGCTTTTGAGGAATTTCGCATAGCGCGCTGCAGAATGTATTAGCATCAGCCAATTGTTCCACCTCGTAATTAGCGTCTTACAATTCATTCTCATCTTTTACTGCCAGAGCTGCAGCAGATAAAGCTGGCGCAATATCTACTTCTTCCACGTCCTTGATTTCGGTATAGATTTTCTTCCACTCATCGATAAAAGGGCCACTTGATGTATCTTTTGGTAGAATTCCGACTTTCTTCTATAAACAGAGATTTGTTAGACTGTTCTTGTTGCGCATAGTAATATTGTTTCATGGCTCACCCCTGATGATTTAATGACATCTGCGATCTTTGTGAAAAGCTTCTCGTTGGCTGCTGCATCTTTGCCTCTGACCAAGACTTCGAGAGGAATCTTTCCACCTTTCAAAGGTTCCAAATGTTTCGCTATTCCATGTTAGCTTCCAATTTGTAGGCGCACATAGAATGAAGATTCACGCACCTTTCTTTGCTGTTGTCACAATGTATAAAGTTTCGACTGTGAAAAGGAAGAGCGTCGCAGGAAACTCATAGCCTAATAACCAAAACTATTTCTTCATCAGCATTTGACCTTCCCTTCATTGTACTTTCTCGTGAAACGTTTCGCAGGCATTTGAACTCACATGAATCGCATTATTTTTCTGAAAGCTTGCCACATCCTCCGTCTTTCCCATTAACACCAAGATACTATTTGCGCCATTGAAAACCGCGTCGCCGCCTCTCTTATCAGCTTTCCATGATGATATAAAGTGTGATAATCGTTCCTGAAACAAATTCTTGTCAATTCTGATATCCACCATGATGATTTTGAATATTTGTTGATGGTATAGAATTGAAGTGGAGTTTGTTGAAGAAAGAGAGAGAAGATATCAAAGAGGAGGACGCGATAGTCGAAAACTCGCGTTGATTGAAATTGAGAAATTGCGTATGTGGTCTTTAAGGGTTGATGGAATTGTTGTCTAAGTGAGCTTCGATAGCTACATCGATAAGGGATTGTCGAAACCTAACGCCGAACTCCTTTTAAGCCTCATTGACCTTTTACTGTACATAAGGCTACATGAAAAGTTAGCAGCCATAAATCTATGATAGATTTGCATGCTTTATTGACTATTATCATATTTTGATAATTACATCTTGTATTTATTTATAAAGTCAAGTCTTCTAACCTTTCTATCGATAATTCAGGTCTTCTAAAATCACGAGTAATATAAAATATATCTCCCTATTTATTAATGATTCAACCAAGCTTCATGAAATCAATTTTGGGTACATTGTTCGAGTACAATTGGGCATTAAAAGTTATATCAATAACCTATGTACAAGAGAAGTTTAATACTACGCCTACTATACGAGCTACCCATGTTCTTGTTTTAATATCTAGTGCTAGCATGGGCACTTCCAATCATCCATCTAGATTAGATGACTGGGACCGAAGTCATTCGGTATTGTTATATATGGTATATATACATTTAAAAGATACCCTTTGATTAAATTAGCAACGAACTAGAGTCGATCAAATTGATGGGAACAAGGCGGAACTTACTGGAATGAACAGATATGGAACCAATCTTTCGTACTCCTCCCAAGCCTCTCCATATCTCTCTCGGCACTTTTGAATATCTCTATATGCACGATGAGAGATCATACCGGCAAAGAAGACACAATAAAACCAAGGAAATGGGCTCTTGAAGCCAGTAATAAGTCCCCAGCAGAAAGCGAAGAAGAAATCGCAGGTGTAATGGATTTTGCGAGCCTTTCCGTACCAGCCATCAGCCAAAATTGAGTCACCAGTTTTGGTTTTGATGACACGTGGGTTCATAACCTCCTTCCATGGCAATTGAGGGAATGCTTTACGATCTGTGACGGTTCCGCGTTCACGAGATCTGAATCTGTTCTTTTGGCTGTTGGTGGTATCCCAGACCCAGTATACGAATAGGTACGTTGTGTACAAGAAGAAAAGGAAGTACTTGTTCCACGAGTATTCAGATGGCGGGTGGTTAGCCAAATAAATGGTGCAGTGGCAGTAGCTGAGAGGAACTCCCGCGAGATTCCAGAAAATCAACATGAATCCCCATTTCTCGTAGTACATATCCCTAAAAGAGTTAGTAAATTGTATTGAGGTGGGTATGGAGATCTACATACCAGGTTGTTATGATCAATTCTTCTCCTTTAGCGCATGCATTTGCATACAAAAAGTGAGCCATGACCAAGAATCCGACTTCGCCTGATACATAACCATATTGTTCATATTGCCTTGCTGCAGCGGCACAGGAAAGCCCCAAGAGAATGAACCAAGGTAGACGAACTTCGAAGAACATTTTGAAATCCAAGATGCCGAACATTCTTGGATTCAACTCGGCTCCCATGAAGAAGTCATAAATTGGATAGCCTGTCATTCGGTGTTGAGCTCCACGTGCCAAAGCCGACAAATAAGCAACAATTGAGACCAAAAATCCCGAGCAAATGGCTACCGACATTATTGGTCCAAACTCATCTAAGAGAGTATAAATTTTGAAGATGTCCAAGTAGTGCAAAACAGCCCCGGTGATGATGGTGAAATAAAAAGACCAAATTCCAGAGCAATAGTATGGCAATTGCTTACCTCCCTCGTGAGGAAGCGGTTTGCCATAACCCCAAACTCCTGGCATAAGGCAGTACAAGATAGCCTCAAAGACGAAGAAAACCCAGTAGATTTTCCAGGCACGAAGACTCGGGTATGCCCCTGTGTAGACGAGATCACCCAGATGTTTCACAAAATCGAGGAATTCTTGACCTGGTTCCGGCGTGGGGAATTTCCCATCATAGTATGTTGCTCCAATCCACATATACCACATGAGACAAGGGAAGCCAATCATCATAGCACTAACGCCGAAAGAACCACCAAAATCGAAATGGCCAGAAGCATCAATCTTTGGATCGTTTGTAACCTTTGTAGATTTCCCATTAACTGCCTTCTCCTTGGTTTCGCTCTTGGCATTTGCGCTTCCACTCTTCAAAGATTCGATCGTACTAGAGTCATTCAATGCGGAAGTGAAGCCATTGATTGCTGCGCCATTACTGACATGATTGTTGGTTGTTGCCGTCTCGACCATATTGACTTTTCGACTCGAAGATCTCATTCTGGATGGCGGATTATCTGTCGCGGAGGAAGAATCGTCTGCGTCTTCTGGGAATTGTGACTTTCTCTGGCGACGGATTCGTGGAGTCTCGACGAAACCAGCACGTTCCGTTTTTCTATATAAATTTTTAGATTCCTCTCTCCAATGAAAATAGAAGAGAACAGATAACAGTGAGTACTTACTTTGGCGTCTGCCGCAAAGAATATCTTTCGCGTCCTTCAGACATTTTGTAATTTCGGAACGAACGATAGTTGGGACGAGTATAACCAATAATTTACCACATGTAATTTCAAATGAAGCGCTTGTAAGGAAAGTGCTATAATAGAAGCTCAAAGATCATGATTTCACACGCGTACAAGAATAAGTGTCAACAAAATTATGAGAATCAAATCAGTCTCCATTTTACATTGGGAATTATTTAAAATTAATATTTGTTTACTAGTTCCCGTTTCCCATTTCAGTCGAGCCACTCGGAAGCCATACATTGGGTCGGATTGATCTTCATTTATCCCCTGCGACTCCTTAAAATAAAGCCTTCGAGAATCGAGTAACCCTAGTAAAAGATGGGGATCTTAATTGACAAATTACGTTTTACATGAGTTTAATAAAGGGGCAAGGATAACAATGTGCGTATGGGTGTACTTACCACCTATTAACCTTAAGTTACGAATACGATATCGATAATAGTGTTTAGTCAGGTAGTATTGATTAGACGTATTAATAAATGTATAGTTATGTAGGTATTAGATGCATTGGGTGTATCAGGTGTATTAAGTGTATTAAGTGTTGTCTAGGTAGTGACAACAAATAGTTGCGGGGCTATTTGCCTCAACCAACTCATCGATTCAAACATAAAAGGAATAGTCGAAACATTGTATCACCAACCGGACGTATGATGCTTTGTTAATCTTTATACCTAGGTAGGCAGGCAGCTCAACATGATCGGACTTGCGTTTCACTCTATGCATCCCAGCTGAGTCCAACACAAAAATACATTCTTTAACATTATGTGACTCCTTATTCATCGCTAATTTTTTATTGCCGTGGTCGGTTGCGAATAACCATTAGATATTATACATAGAACTTCCTCGTAACATATACTGTATTTTGCGCGCCAATTCCCTACCTAAACATGCGCCAACCGCTCATGCCATAGAAATGATGCCAAAATTCGGAAGTTATCCGAATAAGTAATGTACAAGAAAGTTGCAATGCATCTTTTGTTAACCCTAATATAAGACTAGGTCAACCGCCCATCCAAAATTTCGTTGCTGAATAGCGAAACATGGATACCTAACTTTTGAAAGGGACGGCACCTTCAGCACGAATCGTCTCTCTTCTCGTCATTTCATCTCATTTTCTCGTAATATTCATAATTTTGAGAATCAATCATGACATCCCATTCAACGACCTGTCCGGCCTCCTCCATCGATCATCGCCGTCCTCTTCATCCTTCTATCCACCGTGCCCAGCCCTATCATTACACCAACAAGACCCTCATACTTTCTGATAGAACAAAAGATACGCGACCTTGTTATCCATGAGTGAGGATTTACCAGCCCCGTATCCAGTGGCAGGTTTGGACTTTGGTGTAGAAGCGCCATTTAATACGCTTGACCATTTCTTTCCAGACCCACTGGCTTGTTTCCATCCATCCTCTTCAGTTTCTCCATTTTCTTCTCCAATTGAAGCAAAAATGTTTCCCGACGATGAACTATCCTTCTTGTGGGCCTCCAAAGCAGCAGCCAAAACTTTGGGATCTTCTTCGCTTCCTCCTTCAGCTACATCTTCACTCCTTACACGCTTGATAACAGTGTCGTCAAGTCTGATCCACTCTTTCCCATCTTGTCTTCTAACGTCTACGGTATAGTGTCCACCGCTGGCATTCTTACCGTGGTGATAGACAACGCCAATTAGACGGTACTTTGGGTAGCCATCATGAGCAAAAACACTACGCTTAGTTCTTGGGAAGACTTCCTTTGGTAGTTCGAGTTCCAAAGGATATCCAACCTTCTTCCAAATCTTTTGTGTGCCGCCGGTGTTGTCGTATTGGAAACGCTTCAAGTGCAAGATGAGTACAGGGGGTACTGTCTCAATGAATACTTGCTTTGTCGCGGTTACGTTGGGACCCTTAGGAGACTTGAAATCGCCATGAAGAACCTCTGAATGTGTTAGGCCTTTCAAGGCATCAACGATGTTATGGATATCCGGAGAACCGATATCCAATTGTAGTGGTTGATATGGCTCAAGAGTAATGGAGTCTTTCAAGCCTGGTACACGCAATTCGGATCTCAAGCTACCACCAAAGATTTTAGTGACTGGAGAACCAGTAAGTATAGTTCCAGAAGATCTGGTGATAGCAGCTTTTTGTTTAGGCCCAACCTGTTGCCATACGTCATCAACAGATCCGCGTCGACTCGCAGTATCGCTGATAGGAGACGAAGGTACGTTCATGGGTGTGGTGACAGCCGAATTTTTGCTCGAGTCACTTGACTTCATGACATGTACACATTCATCATGAAGCCCTTCAAGTAAAAAGCCAAGGAATTCTTCCGCGTCTTGTTGATGTCCTCTCTATGTCATATATTAGTAAATGCAAACTCAAAGGATACACTCAAACTAACCTGCATTGTGACAAATCTTGGTAGACGTCGCATAACATCGTAGACAAAATCTGGCGTGAAAGAATCTCCATATTGCTCAAGTTCTCCGTCCTTGAGTCTCATTTTGAGTTGCTCAGTTGATTTTGCAGAATCAATAACTTGAAACTCCCGCATAAACATAATCCTTGTAGGTCGTTAGTGACAATCACACCAAATCCGTTGTTGGTACTTACATGGCATCAATTAAAGGTGTTTGACTCTTGAAGCTATGCGCTGCTTTCTTGCTAACTTGGTCAAGAAAGTCATAGAAAGGGGTGCAGAAAACGAGAACTTGTAAAACCGAATTCATATAGCACATGTTGCCAGTGTTCACTAGACCTCGAGGCTCAAGAAATGATATTTTGGTGTCCTTGGCTTCGGCCTTGAATGAACGCAATGCTTCAGCTAGTGATTCAGAATTGTTTTTGCCAAATTCGGAGGATCCATTCTGTCCACCATTGACAGTAGTAGGAGCTGTAGGAGCGCCAGATGAACCAAAAAGACCAGTCCAAGCTCTTGGTGTAGCCCATGCTTTAGCAGGGGGAGGTGTTGCCTTGACTTCTTCAGTAGTAGGACCATTGGCTTCAGTCTCATTCGTCACTTCGGACTTAGTCAGTTCTGCCTCAGCTGTAACTTCGCCATTGGTATTTTGAGAATTCGTCGATGGCGTACTTTTAGGTTGAGATTTTGGGATGGCACGTATGGCAGGGACGGCAGGGACAGCAGGGACAGTGGCTCGCTGGGATTTTGTTGCCACAGGAGTTACTTCTCCACCTGCAGGTAGGGACGAAGCTTTTGTAGAAGATGGAGTAGTTGGCACTGTAGATTCAGTATCTTCTGATGGACCTTGGGTAGTGGTAGGTGTTTCAGGTGTAGGCTCTGAAGCTTCTTCAGTGCTCGGCTTTGGTTCTGACGATGATTCTGACGTCTCCACGCCCTTCTTCGACTCAGTATCAATCTCCTTGTCTAGACTTGGAAGCTCCACAGGATTCATAGACAACTCTGGACTCTGCTTTCTTTTCCGACGCCGTCTGGTCGGCCAGGGTGCAGTGGTGTTAGGGGATATCCAAGGCAGCTAGTTGTGATGTCAGCAATTGAGTAATGCGTTTTTTGAGATTATAACATACAGGTGCCTGAAAAGGTATATGATGTTTGGGAGCTGGAGGTGGAGACTGAGCAACAGGTTGTATTTGTGGAGTTGGGGGCGTGAGAGGTCCTGCAGAAAGGGTGTTGGACGATTGTGTCGAGAAACTCGAGGGAGTTTGAGGCAGTGGAGGCGCAGGAGCTGGTTGGTAAGACGACGCAATTACTGGCGGGTGAGAGGCAGCAATAGCAGGAGATGGTTGAGGTCGAACGAAAGGTTGTGCTTGGGGTTGAAGCGGAGGTGGTGGTGGTTGGGTATAATGCGTCATCATTGGCGGAGGCGAACGACCATAGTGTTGGTATGGGTTATACTGTTGAGTCAAGCCGTTATTATAATATTGAGGAGGCAATGGTTGTGGATGGTAATAATTCGCGTTGTACGGGTGCATGTACCCATTGTACAGAGGTGCCGCCGGTGGATATGGTTGAGCTTGATGACTGTAAGGTCTCCGTCTTCCCAGGTCTTGTTGCATACCTTGCCCTGCCGGCAGATGACGACCGTTCATCATGCCGGCTTGCTGAAGTTAGTTCTTTCCAAACCTACCTTGTCCAGGTTGGTTTGAATTGGCAGGAGCTGTCGCGCGAAACTGATATTGGCTCTTCGTTAGATGGGGAGCTCTTTTGAGTGTGTTCTCCAAAGTACTAGCGCATTAAATAGAAAAGATATCTCTATATTTAAAAGGCGCGCGATGGCAGTACCTTCAACGACAAGTCTGCATAAATAAAGCTATTGATATAACTATTATTTAAATATATGATGTTGGGTTATACTGTTGGATTTGGGGTAGGTAGATTTCCGAAGTCCTCCAAAATTATGGAGATCAAAAAAGAAGATGACTGAGCCAAAAAAGTGAAAGCCTTGCCAAGACTTTTTGCCCCCAAACAAATGATAGAGGAGTGTATGTAATCTTTGCCTACCTAGGTACCTCGTACTGGTAGAACAATCAAACTGGACGGGCTCTCGTTGTATGCCGACTAGAACGATATAAGAAATAAATCATTTGATATTACACGTGAGGTGGAGATGTACATGGTCTTTCTAACTAACAATGTACCTAGGCAATGCTTTGAAGTGAGTCAAAATATTTCTTCATACATTTCTTCATGGTCTCAGACATACCCACCCATACATAGCTATCTGAGTACCTGAGTAGAGGGTACTGGCTGGTATGACGAACGGTCGGTCTAATTGCGCCTTATGTCTCTAATGTTTCCCTACAAGATTACCTACCGATAACATTGAGGGAACTTTCAAATCGCCCCTCCTCATTAAGTAATCTGGAGTGACTCTTCCTGTCCTCCAGATCTATCAATAACGTCCTTGTGGCGCCTGAAATCTTCTCCAAAATCAAACTACCTGGATCTTCTTACTTTTCATAGTAAAGTTACTTTGTCTTATGAGTTTGCCCGTTCTTACCATCTCATTCTTTTTGTTCAATTG